ATTAAAAGATAAAAGATTTAAAAGAGCGAGCTAGTAAGTAATTATTTTTATCTAATTTAACTAACATTAAACTACTATAACTTATTAAAATTTTCATATATTTTATTCTTACTTTCTTATCTTTAAGTCTTACTATCTTTATAGAAATAATTATTCTTTAAATTAAACTCTATAATAATATACTTAAAATAGCGCGTAATATATATTCTCTTTATTTCTAATATCGATACTTACTAGAATTAACGTATTTTTTAATAAAATAAGCTTTAATTAAAATTAAGAATAGCTTAATATTTATAGATATTTATATAAGCCCTTTAATTCTTTTATATATATTTATTAATTTATTTTTTTATAGTAATTAAAGTAGAAGAGATTAAGTCTAATAATTTATTATAATAAATATTAAATATTAATAATAATAGCGATATTAAAGAGTCTTAATATAGATTAATTAGACGATAATTAAGTTCTTAATTAAAATAAAAAAGCGAAGAATAAGCTTAATTAAAATAAAAATATTAAGAGATCGCGATAGCGAATAAATATATTTATATTTAAGAAGAAACTAGTTAAGAAAGTAAAGAAAGTTAATATCTTAGCTATTAATTACGCTATAATTATTAAAAAGTATAAAATTAAATATATTAATATATCGTTATTATAATAGAAGTAAGCTTTTAAATAAATTAGATAAGATATAATAGATAAGCGATAAATAATTTCTAGTTCTAATTATTATTCTAGTAAACTTATATTTTAATAATATTATATAAGAAAAGTACGCGAGCGTAATTACGAAGAAGTTTAAAGTTTCGCTTATCGCGCGAATTATTATATATATAAATAAAGATAAAAGCTCGAATTAGAAGAAAATAAATAATATCGAAGCTAAATAAGATATAAGTATTAAGAATAATTTTATTATACGCGCTAATAATTAAGTAGATTTTATTTTTTAAACTATTTAAGAGCGTAATATAGAATTTAATAATAAGCGCTATTATAGTTTAGATATAATAATATTAACGCGCTAACTAATAAGTATCGAGCTATTATAAAAATCTTAAAATATTAAATATAATTACGTCTAAAAGATAGAATTATAAATCTTTATTTATATATAATTAATCTAGCGTATAATAATAAAAAGTTTACTATAAAAGCTACGTTATCTAAGTTAATATTTTAATCTTAATTATTATTATCGCTATTATATAAGTAATATAAAGCTATCTCTTATTTAAGTATATCTAATTCTTAATTCTAATTATTATTATAGATATCGCTAATTTATTCTAGAATTATTAAATATACTTTTATATACTTTCTATATCTAATCTTTTTTTTATATATCGCGAGAAGATAGCTTAAAGAAATATAGCTTATTATATTAAGCTACGATACTTTTAAGAGAATATTAAGAAATATATTAACTTTTCTAAATTAACGATTTAATAAAAAGGCTATAATTATAATATATATAATTTTATATTAGATAGCGATATCGAAAATATATAATAGGCGTATAAAATTATCGTCGACGGCTTTAATTATAAAGTATCGGCGGATTTCGCGCGACTAATATTAGAGAAAGATAAGCTTTTCTTATTATTAATAGATATAGCTCGCTTTCTTTTATATATATAAAGTAATAAAATATAATCATATTTAATTCTATATCTTATTAATTTAGCGTAGTTATTAACTAGAATAATAATTAGAATAGCTACTTCTAAATATAGAAATCTTAATCAAAATATTTTATATATATATTATATTATAATATAATTTCATAGATATATTATATCGTAATATATATCGCTAAGATCTTATATTATATTAGATATGAAATTCTATAAATCTTAATAACTTATATTATATTAAAGCGATATTATGAAGATAGTATTAATATTATTATATAATATATTAGTAACGCGCCTACGGCGCATAATAATTAGTTCTATTATATTATTAAAACGATATCGTAATAGATTAACTCTTTTCTCTTATTTCCCTATTAGAATTTAAAGGTTTTTTAATAAATATTTTATTTTTACTTAGGCGTCTAAGAATTAAGATCTAAAAGAGAAGATAATTATTAAGTCTAATACGTTATAGGCCTTAGCGCTACTTATATTAAGACGTCGATATCGTATATTCTATATTAAGATTTCTTTTAGAGTTTAATTTTAATAATATATCTCGTATACTTAAGGGCTTAGCGAACATAGATCTACTTCGTATATCTCGAAGTTTTAATATTTCTTAGAGATTAGTTCTACTATCAAATATATTATTAAACTCTATAACGATATTATATCTTTTATAGTCTATATTCGCTAGCTAACCGCTAGTAAACTATACTCTTATAAGAAGTATTATTATCTTAGTTTCTTAGATCTATTAAGATCGCTAAGTCTCTTCGAATTAGTCTATTAACTTCGTAGCTAAACGACGATAGATTTAAGTATAAAACTTCGTAATCTTATTAAATCCGCGTTATTTTCGCGTACGCCTCATATAAATTTTTAAGTTATATTTTTTAAGTATTAATATCTACTTACGCGACGTAATTATAATTTAATTTTCTATTATAATAATTTATTTCTTAATACGAAGTAATAGTTTCATATCTTCTCTATCGAATACGCTATTTTTTAAAATTATCTCTTAAGAATCCAGCGACGTTAATATAGGTATTTAAAAAATTCGTAGAATTAATATTAAATTTCGAGTATTACGCGATAATAACTATAATTAATTAACTCGAGATTTCTTTTATTAGAAGATTCGTATATATATATAAGTCTTCGAAGTATATATTTAACGTAAAAAATCAAGTAGATTGTAGTACGCTAATACTCGAGGCTGATTTAGCTTTAAAATGCTAAGAATATTAAAGAATTTATACGTTAAGAGCCTCTTCGATAACTATATATTTTTAAAATATACTAATATATTTTTAACTTTAATTTTTAAATAGGAGTAAGATATTATACTAAGAGTACTAGTATACTTCGTAATCGCTTATAATACTTTTCTCGAGAATTATAATAATCTCTTTAAGAATCGTTAAATTCTATAATATAATAGTAGTATTACTATTAATTAATACTATTTAAAAGAGTATAATTAATAGAAATAAGTCTTCTTATTTACTTAGAGAAAAAGCGTAAAATTTAAATCGCTATTACGTTAAGATTTATTTTTATAAATTATCTATTTAGATATCGTCTTTTTTAGACTTAAATTATAAATTAACTTATAATTTAAATATTTTTAAATATTTAATTCTTAGAATTAAAATCTTAATTATTAAATTTTAATCTTAATATTAAGCTTATATAATATTTTCATATATATATTAAATAATAATTAACTAACGAAAAGTTAAATATTATATTTTAAAAATATGTAATTATCGAAGGGGCTTTAAGAATATTAAAAAATGCTAAATTACCGCAATACGCGTAAGTTTTTTTAAAAGAAATAGAGAAGAATAAATAGAGAAGAATAGAGAAAAATAGAGAGTAATGGAGAAGAATAGAGAAAAGTTAATGATTTACTTATGTGTGCGCACGCGTATATATATTTATATATGTGTGTGTGTATATGTTATAAATGCTCAGCGATACGCGTTAATTTATTAACGTATTTTAATATATTTAAAATACGTAGTTAAAATTCGTATTTAAGTTAAAAATGCGAAATTATATAAGATTCCTTATATTTTATTAGAAATAAGCCGGATCTGCGTGTAAGATTAGGATTTGCCCTTAGACGTACTTTCTTCAGATTCCGTAGTAAGCAGAAGGCGCTAACCCGAAGGGGCTTAGCGATCTTGGCAGGTCTGAGGGACTGAGGCAAGAGTATAAAGTAAGAAGAGACATGATTACTAAGTATTTTCTACTAATCAGAGCAAGTCTTGGCATCTTTGGTCAAAGATTCCAATACGGAGCTTTAAATCTACAAATTACTGAAATCACTGTGACGATGCTTGAGGTATTTTCATGAAATCTGACGTCCCTAGTGCTGCCCATTTGTAGGATCCCGGCCGGGAGATGGGGGACACCTGAGGATTTCAAGGGACCTGTCCTGTTCCTGGCAAGTGCAGCTTCTCAATACGTGTCGGGCGAGTGCCTTTGTAGTGGTTGATGGAGATTTGGCGCACTGATGGGCGAGCCAGACCCAGGAAAAGCCTAAGACGCGATTCCAACCACCAATCGGACCATTCGCTGAGGGCTGTATAACCGATGGGTGGCAATCAGCGGGAGCCTAAGACGCGATTCCAACCACCAATCGGACCATTCGCGAGGGCTGTATAACCGATGGGTGGCAATCAGCGGGAGTGATTGGTGTAGCATTCTTAGCATTCTTGTGCGAGGAAAAAGCAGGCAATAATAGGCAAAAATCCGCAATCTCCAAGAGGAGTAGCGCCTCACGGGTATTTATCTAATCAGTGAAACCCACATATGGCCAAACTAAGGTCCTTTGTATATATCTTTCAATGACGATCAGTGACGAGGTAGCAATGCAATATGAAGGAGAAATTTCGCCGACAAAAACGAAGAAACATATAAGCGGAGCATACTTTATACTAGAAATTTTCTTCCACGTCCTTTGGGAGACAAAAGCTGAGACTGGGCACGGTGGTCATGACAACCGATCTTGGTACCTGCGGGAGCGCTAAGATGGGGGACGGGAGATAGGCATGCTTGATTCGTGATTATTGTGGCAGTGGTCTTGGCAGTCTCTCTCATTCTCAAATGCAGTGATTTTCAGGAAATCGGTGGGAAGGAATTGGATCCTGGTTGCATATTGCATCTTGGTTCTATGACTTGTCTGCCATCCTACACCTCACGAACCACAGATATCGCAAGTCAAGACCACTCATATTTGATCCATTTTGCCGTGGATCAATTGCCGACGAAGTCATATCTAACATATTCATATAGTACAACTCCTGCCAGCCACCAGAATTTTTTAAAGGAACGGGCATGATGCCAGCTCTGCCGGTTCCCCAGCAATCAGACTGGAACAACAACGTCTATGTCATCGCAGTCACCCGCATATTCATCATTTTTGCATTGGGCTTCCTGATCAGAACCTTGTATAATCTGGTACCTTCAATCTGGGGCACACGCTCTGCGTCCATTGCAGCTGGTGGGCTTTCCTTCCCTTCCGACTTTTGAGCAACGCACAAGAGGTGTAAAAACCCAATAGCTGACATCTTCCTGCATAGTTGTCGCAGATGGTATTGACCTTGAAGATATCATATCAAACGCTCCGGTCATGGTGCCTGGCGCCGTGGGCTCTGACCCTGACCTTGAGGCCAACCTTACGCTTGGAGTTCGTCCTCCACAGCCCAGCTACGATCCACGGAATCATGCAGAAAGATCTCGGGTCAATTCCCGAGCACAAAATGAAGGCATGGAGGTCTCAAGGCTCTCCGCTCCCGCCTATGTGATGCCGGAACAAGACGTCGGTGTCCACAATGAAGACCCCCATACTGAAGAAGGCATGGACGCTGCTGTGGGGCTGACTGGATAGCTGGAGCTTTGGCAAGACTCTGTACATGCCTTGGGTAGAGTCAATGGCTGTCGTCGGATATGGGTTGCTGGCGCAGAAACTCGCTCTTTTTCTTAAACTATTGCTTCATGATGGCGCGATGGTGGCTGGGTGGTAAAGATGTACAGCGATATGGGCCGGACGAGGATGGACACTCTTTGTGGTTGCCTAGATAGGAGTGTCTCGCAAAAGTTTTTCCCAGTTCCCGTCACTTAATATGTGCCATAGATAGTCTTTTTGGATTCCTTTTGCAAACCGCGGCTTTTATGATGGTCCGAATATAGAATTCACACTTCTGCTGTTCTACTTTTCAATTCAAAGTGACCTTGGCATGGAATGCATCGTTGTTGGGCCTGTGAGACAAGTGCGATCAAACAGATGAGGGCTTGGCGGACATCCCGGAAGTGTTTGCAGGTTCTGATGTGCACCGTTAGCAATGATCCGATACCAACTTTTTTTGCCATGTCTTGATTGTCCAATGACGACGGGCTGTGATGCGCTGTTGCCATCAATGCAGGCGGCTCAGGCCACGGCCTGACAAACGTTTCCGGGATGTTCTTCAATCGTTGCTCTGCATCTTAAATGCCTATGACCCAGGGATAGTACAAGAAGTCCCTTCTGCTATGTTGGCTGGAGTGTTATCTGGGTGCAGATGTCTTGATGAGAAGGCTGAGAGGACCTGAGGTTTGGTAAACGGAATCTAAATTTAGCGTGAACTCTGCTGACAAATGATCTTGGCGTCTTGGTACGCTTACCTGCGGATGAATTCCTTAACTTTGTGTCTACATTTGGTTAGGGATGCGTAATGACTGACATTTGACCCCTATGACAGTCATGTGACGGTCATACGGTGACAGGCCGTCTGACCTGACAAATGACGGCGCTAACCGTATACCGTAGGTGTCTAACCGTAAAGATGATAAGGCTAACCAAAGATAGGCATAGTAGATAGAAGCTTGGCGTTATCTATTCTTAGCTCAATAAGATACCACTAGTGATACTCAGTTTCAGCCCTGAATATCTCTGAATTCCACCATACCCTTCGAATCCCACGCTTCACCTTACTACAAGCTCTTTGCAGTGCGGTCATTTGAATACATATGACTGTCATATTACCGAGAAGGTCTAAACTGACGTCACGTGTCATATGACAAATCCACATCCCTATCTACATTGGTATCCTGTTCTAGCACCTTACTAGTAGAACGCACCATCGAAATTTGTGAGCTTGTTATTCTTGAGAACATTAGACTTGAGGTACCGTGTTAGGGGCGAGTCTTGCTTATGTATCTCAAGAATGAAAGAACCTTCGATTCAAAATCCAGCCGGGCTTCGGGAACGCATATCCTTCGTCGCTCGTCTCTGCTCTCACAATTCACCAACGCTACAGCTTTGTTGGCAAGTTCTTTGGAGTCAATTGAGCAGTAGCTTCCCTGGTCAGCGGTCGACTGCAACAGCCGTTCCTGATTTAGCGAGAAGTCCTAGAGCAAGAGAATCAATCCTCGGACATGATCGTTCGTACAGTCCACCTGGGCTATAACGATTCGCTACATAACGATATTCTGATTGTAACGATTGCACAGTTATGCAATAATTATTTTTGATAGAGAATAACGATAACTTGTCTACTACGATATCGTTAGCATTTATCTAATAAATTCAGTAATATCATTATATTCAATAGCCCTAAACAATATATCCTCGCTATCGTCGTCGCTATTAAAATAGAATTCCAGTAATTTCAAGATATCTATCTTCTTTTCACCGCTTAATTCTACTTAAAAATGATATTAGATAGTTACTAACGCTAAATAACGAGATATATTAGTATATATAAAAGAATAAGGTAGGGCTGAGCTTGAAAACCTTGATTTATATGTGCAGCCAATCATAAATTCAGGGTTACTACGCTCTTTGGTTAGATTGGCTGAGTTATCGCGAGTAAATAAATTAGCGTCCGCAACCATCAAAAAAATGTAGCCGGACAGCCTGACCAAAAAACAGGTACACATTACTTGATTTTAAAATAACTTTTTTGTTTTCTATTAAAATTTTGAGATTATTTTTTTAAATTATAGAACGAATTATGGGCTTTCAGATAAAAAAATAATTTCTAAATTTAGTCTTATAATTATTAAAGCGCAAGGAATTCAAATATCGCTCACCAAAGTTCGCTCGACAGCCGGACAGCCCGCTCACCAAAGTTCGCTCACCTATTTACTCGATAGCCCTGATTAAAAAAAGATTATGAATTTAATTCATAGGCCTTTACTTATTTATATAATATAACTAGATTAGATAGTAAGCGTAAGATATAGACGCTTTAAATCTAGTTTTTAAAGAAGGATTTAGAGGCTCTAAAGCTATTAAAACGTTTATAATTATATAAGGAATAATAAAATAACGGCGATAATGTATTAATCACACGTCTGAATTGATATAAGAGAGAGATTAAGGCTCGTAAGGCTTCTGCGTAAAAGCAGGCATCGATTTAGGCGTATTTCAGTAGTAATTAGTGCAAATCTAGGCTTAACGATAATTTGGTTGTAACGATACTGTCTCCATGAAACGATATATCGTTATAGCCCAGGTAGACTGTATTTACACGGATCCATCCCAATGAATTCCCCGGAGTCCGATTTCGATGGTTGGGTGCTATGAAATTCGGTATTGGGAACATTCGCAAAAATCGTGGACACCCCAGGTCAAACCATGGCCCACCCTCCATTCTCTCTCACGTCTATGTCGTGCCGCAGGCGTACCTGACCCAAAGCAGTAATCGCCCCCTCCTCAGACTGTTGCGCAGATGCACTCGCCCTATACAGACCGCTTTGGTCCTCCTTGTCGATCAATGGATCATTATTAGTGGGTAACGTAGTATCATCGTTGCCGACGACACATTGAAACCCTCCCTTGTTCCCTTGAAGCAACGCAAAGCCCGCCAGCCCCTTTTTCGAACAGCTCCCCGTACCAGCTGGATATTCCCGACGCGTGAACAATGCTGAGACTCCGTGTTGATGCGCGCGGCGGAGTAGCTGAGTCATATTTGGGAGGCAGATGCTCACGATCGAGATGGCTAGTTCGGCCACTGTCCAATAGAAGAAGGTACTGATGTTCCCTGAATCGTGTGCCCGGTTAGCACGCACTGGTTACCAGTAACGCCTCTGCATCGCAGCGAATTCGTTTCTTTGCTCAATACGTACATAACAAGTCTCCGTCAGATTTCTTGTTGAGCTGCAAGATGGCTACCACGCGGCCGAGCGAACAAGTGATCACGCTGTGGAGTTTTATAAATCAGTAAATGCTACCGGAGTAATTTGTTATCGTTTCCACGCGAGATTACTTACCAATAAGCGCAAAAGAAGAACCCCGTCAATATCATTTTGCGCTTGCGCCCCGCGTGCAGGCTCCACAGTATTGGTAGGGGCAGAAGCATAATGTAAAAATCTACGATCACACTAACTGTTGCAAGCCCCAGAAACCAATGGGAGGTATTGATGCAGTGTCCTGGGATCAGTGGAATCCACACTTTCCGTATTGGAGTGCATTGGAAGACATCAAACAGAAGCGAGAAGAGGAACCACACGGTGACGAGGCCTACGCAGACCAATATGTTCGTCCGGAAGAGGCGCGAGTCCCATTTGATTTCGAAGACTCGGACGTAGAATAGAAGCGCCGAGTATTTGGGCATTGTGATTGCAGGTTGGTAGAGGAGTTCGTGTACGTAACTGTATTTGAGGGCTAAGGAAAGCTTCTCTGAGTCAAATTGGCTTTTATGACGGCCAAGACCGGTAGGGACTAATAAGAGTATCGTCGATAGCGTTGCAAGCACCAACGGCTCCAGATCAGTTAGTGATTTGTTTGGTTCAACAAAATGCATTGTCTAAACACATACTAAACTCATAATGGCACACCAATCATCCCACCAGAATCTCTGCTTCTTTGACGTCAATCGGGACCAAATACGAAGAATCACTGCTAAGCTAGACAATACCATCATAACAATACAGAGTGCAGCGAGCCCCGGTCCACGAGACGGTTCTGGCGATACGGCCATACTAGCACCTGGTTTGAGAAACGAAAGGAGTGGATGAGGCGAACGATGAGCTGCGAGGAAAACTCAGGGAAGGGAGGTCACCCTATTATAGATCCGGCGTTCTAAAAAACCGCACCTGATTCTTTCGTGGACACGACAAATCAGAGGGCGGAATCCTTCGCCGTAGGTTTGCATTCGACCGGACCAGAATTACGATCATGTTTTTGGTGTGCCTTTCTTAGACGCACGATACAAGGAGGATTTGTTGCGTGCAATATGGGCATTGTTGGCGTTTTGGATGAAGAACGCTGAATAAGGGGCAGGGTATTCCTGCCTCACCGCTCCTTTAATCGAATGGGCTGAGCACGCACAAACAGTGGAGTATTTACTGGCACCAGTTCTTCGATAGAAGGCGAAGCATACTGCTAAGCTTTGCTTAGGTTAACAGTCCTCGGCTTTTACAATCTTTCATGCCATTTGTGATCCATAATCATGATCCGGCTTGACATCTTTTGAGTATGGGCGTAGTCGAAAAGTCCCCATTAAGAACCCTATGCTTTTTCCGTCGAGGCACAGCGGTTTGCTGCACAATGACAAAGGCTTTTGCATAGACGGTGGGTCTGAGCGCACCAAGTGCGTCCCGTAGTTCTCTGCGAGGCTTATGTCGTCTAAAATAAGGTAGTCCCGGATGCCAAGGCTCCTGCGCCAAGATCTCGGGTAACGCCCCACCTAAAAGGGGTGCGCTTAGTAGTATTTCGGAACTGCACCCGGGCAATATGCAAAGATCCCTCAAGTCCAGTTCATGCGCTCCCAGGATATATTCTAGGGGGTCCCTTACTACCGGGCTGTCTTCCGAGAGTAGGGCTAAGGCTGGTACTAGCGTTGCCAGGACTTTTGGTGCAGACCTCCGTAAGGCTGTTGGACCACCAGCAATGCCTGGTGGCATTCGAGTTCGCTCCCAAAAACATCATCCTTGGCCCTGGAATCTTTCGAAGGACCCACTAGCTTGGGCGTCAACAAATACAAACAGCCTCCGATTCTGATGGATAGCAAGTTGAATCATGCGTCCACGGTCTCCGGATATCCCTGTTGGAGTGCTCAATGCAGCCTCTTTAACCCCTGTGCAGCGAGTTCCCAAGGCGGCTGGGGCAAGGTCGAGGAACAATTTCCCTCTCAACATCTAGGAGCTCATATGAAGGCGGGGCACAAGAGAGAATTTCAATGACTAAGTTCAGGCAGGTCCAGTGATGCATACAAATCCGATTACAATCAAAGAGTGCAAATCATGCAGGCTTTAGTTCATGGATGGCAATTGCCCACCTTGGCATGCGGGGCATGCACGGCGTCTCTGCAGCGAGACTCAAGCCGAGCTAACCCTGATTATCCCACATGTGGCTGACCTGCAGGCTGCTTACTGTTCACTTTGGTTTCTATAACATCCCTGCGGCAATTGATGCCCTCTCAGGTTTTAGATTGTGGACCAGGTCCACTTCACAGATAAGATATTGTCGTTTGTCACTAAAGACTTTCGTTGATTTGCTGATGGCTAGCGGTAAACCCACGCAGCGGTGGCTGACATGCCGGGGAAACACTTGTTAGGGTGTGGGTAAGCCCCACGGTGCCCATTCGCTTCGCACTCTCTGCTTCCGGCTGTACGAGCTTCGCATCTCAGCAGTCCATGTATGCATTCAGGGAAGCACTATCGGTGCCGCATATCGAAGTGTGCACCTGGACAAGGCGAAAGAAGCAACGGCCGTTTCCTCAGCATCATAATAGCTTTAGAGAAACATGGCTACTCATATTGACCCATTTTCTTCCCCAGCTACTCATTTCGACTACTTGATTGCCCGAGGTGGCACTGCAGGCCTCATGCGGGCAGCGCGGCTGACGGAGGATCCAGATATTACTGTCGGCGTTTTTGAGGTCGGGTTCGTATATTTAAAGAATGACCATTCATTTTTGGTCTTGAGGTTGAGTCGTAAAACATGTTTCGGGAATTAATCGAGGTGTCAACTCTCGAGACCTGTCTTGCAACTCATCTACCTACCTTGAAGAAGCTACGCTGATCTCAAAATGCGCACAGCCTCGACCGAACTGATGATCCCAATATCCTCACTCCTGGATTCACGCCCACCATGTGGGACAACCCGGAGTATAACTGGATCTTCGACACAGTGCCCCAGACTAACGGCAACAATCGCGTTATTAACCATCCGCGTCAAGAGTCAGCTTGGAGGATCTAGCGCCATCAATTTTAATTCTTGGACCCACACGTCTCAATAAGACATCGACGACTGGGGCCAACTTGGCAATCGTGGGCGGTCTTGGAAGGAACTCTTCCCATACTTCCTCAAATGGAAGAACTACAATGCTCCACCCATTAGTGTATCGGAACAGGTCGACACCACCTTCATCGGATCGTATCTGCATGGTAAAAATAGCCCGGTCCAAGACATCTTTTCACCTTTTTACGGGAATTTCTACAAAGCTTGGGAGCCCACGTATAAGAGCCTGGGCCTGGGTCCTACTCTACCGGTGATGCGAAAGAAGGAATTGCAATTGGCGCTTACACGACATTGATGACTATTGATAAAACCAATGCTACCCGAAATTGTGCCAGTAACGCATACTGCAAACCCACCGCTGCAAGACCATACCTGAAGGTACTTACCGGTGCCTTCGCCACCAAAGTCATCTTCGCTGCTTCTACAACGCCTTTGGTAGCCACCAGCGTCAATTTCACTGTTTGCGGCGACACTTCGACTGCTTCGGCACAACGCGAAATTATCCTTTTCGCGGGAACATTCCAAGCAACTCATCTCCTTGAGCTTTCTGGAGTAGGGAATGCGTCCTTGCTCGAATCATAGGGCAGTTCAAGTGTGCTATATGAGAGTCCGAAAAGGGTGAGAATTTTCAGGATCACATCCTCCTTTCCTTGGCATTCGAAGCTGCTCTAGGAGAAGTCAGGTTTGAATCGCTACCTAACGAGACCTTTGTTGCAGATGCCCGTGCGGGGTCTGCTATGAACCGAACTGGTCCCTTCGCGTCAGGTACATGCAATGCGTACGTCTCTTTCAGTCAGATTCTTGTCGCTTTGAACAAAGATCCGTCACACCATTTTCTGCCCCAACGTCAATAAACAAGCCTACAGAAATGTTCAGACAAGATGACTTATATCATCCTAAGGACCCATCCCACAGTCTCTTCTCCACGCACCATCTCGGAGCAAAATCTCAGGCCAACCAAAGAAAGATGCGCTCATCCTGCTAATGCTCCTCGACACCAACGAAGCAGGCTTGCCAGAAGTCTGTCTTCCATCCGGTACAACCCCCGAGCACGCTGACAATGCCAGTCTCCTCTTCAGCCCGGACCTTGTCCTCTATCCTGGCAACCACTTCTCCACGCTCACAGTCCTTAAAACTCCATTTCCTCGTGGTAGTGTACATATCGTATCTGCAGATCCCACCGTCTACCCGTCCATCGATCCAAACTATCCCTCCCACCCTCTCGACCTCATCGTCATCTCACAAGCTATGTTGCATTTACAGCAAGTCGCTGGCACGGCACCACTACCGACGCATCTTAAGGAAGGTGGTCATGTCGTCCAGCCAGGCTTCCATGAGCTTGACGAGCAGAATGTGGAGGCTTTTGTGAGGAACAGTTTCAGCAGTGAGTATCACCCGATCGGTACCTGCGCTATGGGACCGAGGGAGGAGGGTTCAGTGGTAAGTGAGAGGATGGCGGTGCATGGAACGAGGCGTTTGAGGGTTTTGGATGCGAGTGTCTTCCCTTTGCAGGGGATGCGCGGGTTGAAGAGGACTTTGGTGGTGCTGGGGGTTGCGAAGAGAGGGAGGAGGAGAAGGAGTGGCAGGATCATTGGGGGGTGGTTGATGTTTGGGGAGGGGGGCGGGGGGGGCTCTGATGGGGAGGTGGGATGGAGTTGGGAGACTGGGATAGGGTGGGAGTTGCGCGATAGGATCTTTCTGAACGAATTGAGCCGATCGCTCGTCGCAAAGACTGGGGTTATAGAAATGGCGCTTGTTCAGCGATGGGAGCGACATTCGGAGATTTGTCTTTCCACCATCGACGATACTCTGTGGCATTCAGACGTGTGAGTGTCAACGGGCGCGATGGTTTGAATGTCGTTGCCAAGCGGTTGAACCTCCGGATGCGGTCTATTCACACGAGGACCCTTAATGTCTAAACCCGAAAACGTCCAGGTGTAGAAAAGCCTTTGCCATTACCCTCCTCCCCACATGAAAGAAGTGTTTTGTCATAGAGAAACTAGCGGTGGGGAAACTGCTGACAGTATTGGACGGAACGTCGTCTATGACAAGCTCCCATACTGCAAACGGGAGAAGATGGCCAATACGAACGTTCCACTCAGTCGTATTCGAGCGTTGATTGCTGTCATCCTTAGTTCGACCCGCAGGAGGCCATCTGAGAAACGACCTGTAATGCGTCCTCATATATAGACAAACAGCTAACGAAATTTCTTCAGGTGCGAACAATCTATCTGTTATAATTCAGTGGCCTAAAGATTCGCGACGGAAATGCTCGCAGTAGGACATGTCATCCCTCGCTCTTCTGCGTGCGAGCTTCCCCAACCTAGGTCTATCAGACCCAGCTCGCCTCTTGAGAGCCAAGTGTACGGGGTCCCGCATTCCAAGCGGGTCACCTGCAATACTGGCAAGGTGTACGTATGAAGCCTTGCCCTTGACCGCAATAGCGACACGGTATGAATAATGCTACCAGCCGCGCTCCGCGGCACCTTGGGCACTCAATCGCCGCGTCGCTGCGGTCCTGCTGTCGGCCTTGCCCGTTACAGGAGTTGCAAACGATCATGATGTCTGCGCCGCCTTGGCCACCACACCATGTGCACTCTATCGATATCGTGCGGCTTCCGTGGCAATGATGACAAGGAGCCATTCTTGTGTTATAGAGTCAGATGAATGCTCAGCCGAATCGGAGCAACCTACTTTCTCTCATCAAATTCGCGTCGTTTATTCAGGTTTTCTTATCGACAGAAGGAGGAGAATTGCGTTGTGATTCTATGGAAAATGACTCTGAAGTCTTTCACTAATCCTTTTTGATAATTGCGGAGGAGTTAAATGGAGAGCAATGTTTCCCGTCGCTGATCTACTTATATAGCTTAGATTCGCAATATTCATGTTTATTCACCGAAAGCAAAGCGGTTCTCATACTTTTCGAGACTTTTCGTATTTATCGTTAAAACCCTTATAAGCTTCCGGTAAGCCTAACCTACCGACTCATAGACTACCACAATCTCAACGAATATAGTAGAACAGAGGCAAGCTCTTTCGAACCTGTATCCGGTCTTTTAATCCAGTATGCCAGCGGGCGTGTTGGAAAATTCATCCGCCAAAGCTAAACCGTGAAATTTACCCACCGTGCTGAGTTATCGACAAGTCATCGAAGACGATACACAAAGACAGGTATGCGAAGGATTGCGGATGCGAGAGAAACACGACTCGACGGGCTTCAGTCGGGGAAGAGATATCGTCTTCTAAGAGGACTCATGACTTCGGGATACCTAGATTGTGAGAATCCCTAAAAGTGTAGAGACGGAGTTACATCTTCGATCTCCGTGTTTTGAGTGAGTTTTATCTGGCTTCCGCGAGTGCAACTGCTGTTTGGACTTCAGACTCAACAGCTGACAGCGTTCCGGTCCTCTGGCAAGGTCTCGCTCCCAGGAAAAGGCTTTTCGCCTCTGCCTCAGCTCGTCGAGATCCTCTCAGAGCCCAGAGTGCTGCTGCTTGTACTCAGTGCCGGGAAACGTATTCCGAGTTGGCACAGGAGTATATCTTCTTGATCATTCTGACCGGATCTCAAACATCAGCTGACAGATGAGCAGAAAATGTACTACGTAAGATCACACCTGTGTGGGCAGGTATTCCAACCCTGAGATACGAACGTCGTTTCCCAAGAAGGCAAGAGCAAAGTATCGCACTATTTGGACAGCGAACGAAGCTCCCCGGCTTGGGGTATGACAGCCCCTTGTTAAAGCATCAAAGAGCTGACCAACTACCCGTGAAGTGGCAGATAAGAAAGTCATAAAGGCTGCCGCCTTTATCTCTCACTTGTTCCAATGCTTTACTTACGGTCAGGTAGCTTCGAAATTGTCGACGACTTTTGTTAATTCTCTTGCAATTATGCGTGTGTGATTCCCTATGCATTTTGAGTTCGCGCTTGAAGAGGTTGACTGAGAATGGGTTGAAGGAAGAAATGCCGATTTTTGCAGGCTCACACAATCTGGCTCAGCTTCCCCCTCACCCGGCTCGACCATCTTTTGTACGAGAGAATGTGTTGAGAAACAAGACAGAGCCCAAAGTCAGCAGTGTCGAAGTCTCCATCTTACGATCGATGTAAATTGAAGAGTAATGTGTTGAAGAAACGTTGGAGGTTTAATTGATGATCTTGCTGACATGACGCTCCGAGCAAAATGTGTTAACGCGACTTTCAAACTTTGCCATGCTGAAAACCTCAATTTGTCTTAGCGCGCACTGGAAAATGTGTTGAGAAAAATGATGCTGCTTCAAGCTCGATTTGATTTAGTGTGTAAAGAGAGGGAGATAGGTTGAAAGGTGAATACGAAGTTCGACTGATTGAATATGTTAAAGTTTGGTGTTGACTTTGTGCTTGACAAGAATTGTATCGCAGGGCAACGCCTGAGGCTGATGAGGCATTTCGACGACGAGGGGGGCAGGGTGCCGAAATGCCAAGCATTCTCGAACAAGCTAAGTAACTAGCCTTCCCGAGCGGGCCCTGGCATCAAGCCCTGGGGTTTGCTTTTCTGCCCCGCCATTATTCTCACTCTTCTTCCTGCATCTTCTCCGTACTTGCGACTTCTCCATCTGAAAGAATAGCTAGCTGCACTCAACTTCCACGCTTGTACATCTGTCACTACAAGAGAGGCCAAACAGACTCACAACATAGGCACTACTATGGACTTACCCACAACGAGTTTTTCAAACGAAGTCTACCTCGCCGCTAATTCGCAGATCCGACGACTTGGGATTTAGTCGGATCCGCGAAGATGACGGTATTGACAAGATTTGCCCTGAGTTTCGTATGATTGAGAGACCAAAAGGTCTCTGAGATTGCTGGTCAAGGCGTCAAGACTCGTCACTCAAGGAGAGCTGAATGGATCGAGTCCCTACACCAAGTCATGTTTCCGCCCAACAGGAGACTTCTCCCACTTCATTCGGAGCGAGCCATACGGAAGGGAGGGGTGGAGAAAATAAAAAGCACCGCAACACCATTGTACCAGCGCCATTAGGAATCGAACCTGATACGAACTAAATATCTCCGCCAAACAGGTGGGAGGGTTCGGCCATACTATATCCAGATCTCCGATCTGATTCCCCAATGCACACTCTGACCGTAGTGGTGGAACTCGCCGCCCAAGATACGACTTACATGCAGCTTATCAGATAGTCAGCTTTCTGATACACGATGCTAAGCGCTGTGCCTCATGCGCGCTTTCGGCGACCGTTGATCACTTTATTCCACACCTTCCTTTTGACCAATCATGGGAGAGTCTCAACACACCATCATCCCGCATTGCATATTGAAGATTCGAGAGTCAAGACCCCGTGTCTCAACGATTTATCGCAATGCGCTCTCCAAATTATGCCTATTACCTTTGCCGCTTCCGTCTTTCCTTCTTCCACCCTCCTTATATTCTTGTCTTCCGTCATGTCATGACCATCTGTCATCCGACTTCACCATTCAACGTCCGCACGCTCAATACTCGGTAAATAGAAAAGCCTTGGGTCAAGATGTCGACTGGTGCTGCTGCAGCACCGAGTGCGCCTCCAAAGATCGGCCAGACATCCTTCCAGGTGACCATGCACAGTGGCACATCTGACTATATCTGAGCTCACGCGAGCGCAGATTGCCATTGGTTTCCTGCTCGGCATAGCATTGATCGTAGCAACTGGCAGAACAGTCATCCGCGCCCGCACATACAAGTCTCGTGGCTTCACTGTCGATGATGGCTTCTTCCTGCTCGCCGTAATCACCTTCCTGGCCGGCACCGTGATGACCTACGTCGACGTACCACACTTCTACTCAGAGGAACTTGTGGAAGCCGGCTTGGAATCTGCCCCTGCAAACTTCATCTCGTCCCTCATATTGGGCGAGAAGCTGGAGGACGCTGTCACGTCGCTCCTGGGAGTTGCCATTGTCAGCGTCAAGTTCTCCTTCTTGTTCTTTTTCCGAGCCCTTCTCCGGCAGCAAAAGAAGATGATGGTCTGGTGGTGGTGCATCTTTGCCATACTCATTCCTACTGCTTTCGTCATGATCTTTGCTATCTTCATCGTGTGTGCCTACTGGAACCAGGAAATCTTCGGTCCGTCAACTCTTCTTCCTTGTCAAGATCACTATACGATCTTTACTGATGCGCTTGAAGTCAAATGCGTGACACCAGCGGCTCATCAGAGGCAGAATGGTGTGCTCAAAGCCATCACAATCCTGGACATTGTTACGGACGCTTTCCGTAAGTCTTGGCGTTTTTTGTCGAGACTAGTGGCCTCGATAATATTGACCAATGAATCAGTCATCTCAGTCCCAGTCCTCCTCCTCTGGAATGTTCGAATCAGCATCCGCCGTAAACTCGCCCTGTGCGGCATTCTCTGTCTCAGTGTCTGCACAATGATCGTCTCCATCATCAAGGTCGCTGGCGCAAACACCAGCACTGGCGGAGTCGACTCCTCATGGGTTCTACTGTGGTACGAGATAGAAGCTGCCGTTGCGATTATCGTGGTATCTTTTACAGCATTCAGAGCCCTGTTCGTCGCACACCAAGCACTGAAGTACCGGACCCCGGCTGAGGACACCTCTACGTCGTGGAACTTATGGAGAAGGAATACTAAGGGCTCGAGAAGTAAGGAGCTGCCAGAGATACCGTCGCAGGTGCTGGGGGGTGTGAGGACGCACATACGGCGATCTCGGTACGGCGAAGGAAGCTTTGATAACCGAGGGGACGATATAGAACTGCCATTGCATGGGCCGGGTATCATAGTGACGCAGAGAATCCATTCCGAGAAGGTAAAGTCACCTAGCTTGGTTACAAGTAAATGAAGCTAATGATCGGTCCAGACACCCCGCCAGCCAACCACGAGACCTTCCGCCGAGTCTTTTGTGTGAATAACGAGTGTAACGGTTTTCTTATCTGCAGTGAAAACATCTTATACACAGGCTATAGGTATCCCGCATGAGTGTAACGATTATGTCTTCTTCTTTTCTGATAGAAACACCGTATATCCAGGCCAGGCGCGTCAGTCCATTTGATTACTAAAGCGCTTCCTACAAGCCCCGGTATAGAGAAGCCGGCAATTACACTCTGGTAGCAGGACCTAGATTAGTGCTATTTTTATTGCTGGTGTTACGAAAAGTATCACACTAGCGACACGACAAGCATCTTCGGCGCATACAATATAAGAGAGCAAATCTTTTCTCGCGACGGCAGGTTATCTACGCGTTCATTGATACACTCGACCGTACTCGAGCATTCAGGAACAACTATATCATATGTACCTCAATGTATGAAAAAACGCTGCAGACCCTTCTTCGCCACGCCTTTACATCATATCATGATACTAACCTCTTTACCGCCCGCAATGTTCTCTGTTCCATTCTTCTTTACAGCTGGGGTCGCATCACTCACGTTGAATGCCGCACAGCCTCTAATTCCAAAGCCCCTAGCGACACTGAACCCCTCAAATCTATCAGCCAACGCGTCGCTACCTAACGGACAACCAGCACCCTCTTCCAACCTCTCCCACCTGATAATCCAATGCGACCCGGATGGATACGGATCCGATCTGAATTACGACAGCTGCCACGACGCCTACGACCAGATACCGCACTTTATATCCGACCTGACATGGGGCCCCCGCACACAGGGTCGCTGGTCGGTAAATCTGCCTTGGAGGGTCTACAGCTGTGAGTCTGACGCCGGAAATCAATCCCATCCATCCATACCTCGCTCCGGGTGCGAGCGCATGCGGGACAGCGCACCGTGCGCATCCACAGCCGACGGCTCTTGCGTCATCAACGTGATCTCGCGCCCCGGCATCGCCGTCTTGGACAAGGCGTCCTGGTACCGCATCGCGCAAGCGGCGTGAGAGATCCTCGAGCAATGCGTGCGGCCCCGAGACATGGGGCGGGAGTCTCAAGAACCAAGGAAAGAAAAAAAACCCCCCCTCCCCCGATCGATCGATCCGGCGCGCGGAACCCGTCCTTGTTGACTCGCCCGGCGTTCCGCCCCGTACCCGCGTAGGAGAGAAGGCGAACCTCATCGTCAGCGTCCGATCCTTCGCGCCCCAGGTGCGCTGTTCCGCGCCCGGCGCGCGCCCGCCGGACGCCGACGCCCTGCTCGACGCTCCGGAACGACATGTTCGCGGGCGAGGCGGCGCGGGTCTTCGGGCCCCGCGGGGGAGGCCGGGGCTGCTGCCGCCGCCGTCGGCGACGGGCGTGCGCGGTGGTGGGGGGTTTCCAGTGAAATTGGGGCATCCATATCCGATTGCAAGCCCTGTGGGAAGAATATGCAGCCACCAGTGCATTGAATCGATCAATCTCCCCCATATGCCTGTTGTAGTAGAAAAGATCTTCGGAACACCGAAATCCTTTTGCCAGACGTCATTCCCATCCTCTTTGAAAGCAGGTAAGACAATGCGATTATTAGTACTTGTCCTACTGGGACGCTTTCTCTTTTTGGTAATAGTGTCATCAACCTCTCTGACACCGTAGGCAGTGGTAAGGGCCAAAACAAGGTTGTTATCCTGCCAGGCTACCATGAGAATATCGTCCTGAACCACTGCAGCAAGGGTACCGTACGGGATATCCTTAGCAAATCGCTGTTTCATCTCCACAAGCAATTCTGGAAGATCCGTCCGATTTGGCTTCATAGTCCCACACACAGCAATCCTTAAGGCCTTCAGCTTGCTAGCAAGCTTTGGTTCGGTAAAATAGTTGTCCATGAAGAGGATGGAGTCAGGGGGTAGTATATCAGTGGCCAATTTGAAGACCATGGCGCTTGTGTCTCCGAGACCTTTGACTTTGGGCCTACCCTCGAGGCCTTATTCAGGCGAATACCATGCATAGTTGTAGAGATAGCCCTCATCACCAATTGCAAAAACCTTGTATCCCTCCTTAATTGGCTTGCCTGGAGCCATGGTAGAATGATGAGTGCGCCCCGTCTCCTTGATCATGCATTCATCAATTGCACAGTGGCTACTTGGGGTGCGTAATTTCTTCCAATTACTTCGTATCTCATCGGCAAATGGAAGCATCTTCTTATACCATACAGGCTTCTGATGTCTACCCTTTCCAATAGTGAAAGAATCCTCTTCGTCAGGATCTGAACAATGAATCATTCTCCGGAGAAGCACGTAGCGGTCCCGTGCCATTTCGCTAGTAAGAATCGAAGGCACCGGAGCAATACCATCAGTCCTCCAATAATCATGAATAGTAGGAAAGTATCCAAGATAAAAGAACCGAATCTTTACTATTATTCTTGCGTATCTTTTATAATCCTCATTTAGCCTATCCGACTATAATCACTCATTATTCGTTCTTCCACTAAATCCCTCACTGAAAATCTCACTACGAAAGTACTTTCTTAAGTCATTCAGTCTAGAAAGCCTCTTATATCTATTAAATCACTTCTAGAGACTTAAGAAGCCTTTAGTAAATATCTCAAGAAGTTACTATCACCCAACTCGATTTTCTAAGCTATTATCTATTACTTATTAGAACTCTCTTACTACTATAAAAGTAAGTAAGTTATAATATTATTATTCTAGCGAGTATTAGAAATCTCCTCGAAGAAATTAAGCTTATTACTATCGTCTTAACATCTTAGACTTCTTAAGAATTCCTCTTAATAATAGTTCTACGAATTTTATAGTCTCGTTATTAGAATCTTATCGAAGCACGCCTTCTTTAGATTAGTCTAAAGCTCTTATATAGTCTAATACTCTTTCTAGTAATACTATAAAAGTAATTATATCTTATTCTATATTTACTATATATAATAACTTCTCGAAGATTACTAGCATATTAATAGCAAAGTAACTTCGAAAGTTTAATTTTAATATAAAGAATTATTAAGATAAAGAAGATTATTTCTCTCTTAGTTAAGTATCTAAGATATCTTAATATACTTTTTATCGACGATACTTTCGAGTAATTAGAAAGTTATTTAGAAGCTATTTAACTTCTTATTAAAGTAGAGTATACTAGTTTTTAATAGACAATCTAGTAATTCCGAGTTATCTTCTACGAGAAGTTTCTCTCGAAAGCTATAAAAGTAAGTGCGATCTCATTTAATATCGAGATTATAGACCTATATTAACGTTCTTAAAGAATTTCTTACTTTTTATTTTAAGCGTATTATTAACTTAATATAGAGAGTTAAAATTAAGAATAAACTCGCTACTACTCTTAATACTATCTTTAATCTTCTTAAATCTATTATACTTAATATTATTCTTTATATCTTTATTAGAGAATTAAATAATTACGAGATTTAAAAGAAAGTAATAAGAGGTATAATATCGTCCGATAGATCTCTATATATAATCTATAATCTCGCAAAAGAAGTATAACGTATTAACGTCGAAATCTAGAAGCTTTTAAATAAAGAATCGAGATTCAACTAGCTATAATTCTATAAGTCTCTTATAAAACGAAACTTATCGAAGTAGTAAATAACTTTCTTACTTGCCTCTCATTAAGCTACTAAAGCCTCGAGGCCCTTATACTATTAGTCTTAATTCTTTTATACAAATTCATCGAAGTAGCTACTAGAGGCTTTTCGCGAGATCTTAATATTTTATATAATTCTTAACTCTTAGAGTATCGTTATTCTTTATATAAAGTTTTTACTTTTACTTTCTACTTCGACTTCGATCTTAATTTAAAATCCTAATAAAGAAAACGCTAATAGAAGCGAATCTCTCGAATTCTATAGCTAATAGTCGCTTTTATAATTATTAATTTATTTTAAAAGATATATCTAATTATAGTACTTCGAAGAACTCTTATATTAATAATACTATCTACTAGTCTTACGGGAAAGATAATTAGCTATATATTAAGTGTAATATTAAGAATTACATCTCTTCTAATTATAATAGTACTTTACTACCTACTTAAGAATAATTATATCTAAGAATACTTATTTTCGAGGATAACTTATAATTAAACTTTACTTTCGTTAGAGTTTCGAGGAGTTTAATAAATCTTCTAGACTCTATAAGATTATTTCTTCGCCGAAGCCTTTTATAGCTTCTTCTTCTTCTTCTTCTTCTTCTTCTACTAAATCGAGTTAAGTAATACGCCTTTAAGCTTTATAAATTCTTATATTTCATCTTATTCTAATTTAGTATAGTTCGAAGTAGTAGGGCTAAATCGATCTCGTTTCGCTAATATAAAAATCGCTAAAGCTTTCCTCGGTAAAGGATTAGACTCTAATAAGCGAGCTTATATAAAAGAAGTATTAGTATTAATATTAATATCGATATCGATATCTTAGTAATAATAAGAAAAGTAATCTAAGAGGTCTTAATTAGTATTTATTTAATTATAGTAATTTATATTATAGTAGTTTTAGATATCTTAATATTAATAAAAGTAGTTTAATATTAATCTAAATTCTCAATACTTCTTTTTACTCGTAATAAGCTTCTACTTAAATAGATTTATAATAATTCTTCGATAGCTATAGATTAAGAATCTTCTTTTTAGAACTAGTTATACTAATCTTAGATTATTTTAAAAGAAAAGTATTTTAAATATAAGAATAAGAAGCGAGTTAATAAAAAAGTAGAATCTTAATCTTTAATAGATCTATTTAATAAATTAGAATATAATTCTCTTATATCGATTCGATATATATTTAAGAATATTAAAGTTAATATAAGTATAATAAATCTTATAATATATTTATCTACTTTATATAAGTAATTAAAGCGTCTCTATACTCGAGTTATTAAGAATTAAATATTAAAGCTTATTATAAATATTATATAAGTATCTTTAATTAGCTTTTAATCTACTTTTATTTAATAAATTTTATAGATATCTATACTATCTTTAGAGTATTTATAAGTCTATTAATCTATATCGATATTTTCTTCTATATCTATATCTTAAGTATTCTATATCTTAAGTCTTCTTAATAGACTTTAGAAAACTCTACTATATTAGTATTCATATTTTAGATTAATATTTCTACTATAAAAGCTAAGAAGTATATATATTTTCTAAGCTCTCTTATAAGTATATAATAAAGCGTTTTATATTTTTATTATTATAAAGAAATTGAATAGATTTAACGTTAGCCTCGAGAAATCTTATACTTAGACGAATTAAGGTTTTGATATAAATATAATATCTTCTAAACTAATACGCCTTTTAAGTTTATATCTTTATCTATTTTCGAAGATTAAATTTAAAGATCTTTTTATATATATAGCGAATTATTATAATATTATATTAGAGTATTAAATATAACTTATAATTAATATAAAAGAAATCTAAAGAAATATTCGATACTTTATAACTTCGAAAGTTATATTTATTACGGAATTAGGGAGATCTAAGTATCTTAGTTTAATTCTCGAAATTTCGTAGCTTTAAACTATAAATACTTTTATTTTAATTTATTTTTCTATTATTTTTCTAGAAGATAGATCGAAAGGCGAGAAAGTTCGAAGAATCGTAGAGTTCGAAAATAATTTTCTATAAAGATTATAATTTATTAATATATCTTAAGTTCGCTATAACTATCTCGAAAGCTATTAAGTAAAATATATTAAAGACTTTTTTTAAAGAAAGTTAATTCTTTAGAATCTAATAGTTCTTCTAATTCTAAAAATAATTTATTAGATATTAAAGAGATTAAGCGTTAGAATTTTTAGTAAATTAAGTCTATCTTAAGTAGAATATTAAATTACTAGAGCTCATAGTAGCTTACTTTAAGAATTTAAGCCCCTTAAATACTTCTATTATTATCTTTAAGAATCTTAATTCTTTTTCTTTACTAAAGTAAGTAACTATCATAAACTTTCTCGGCTAATCTATCGAAGTCTTTAATACTTTAAAAATACTAATATTATTATTTTTATAAATATCTCTTAAACAAGTATTTTCTTCTAGAAGAATAATTCGTTCGAAGTCTTTTATAGTATTTCTTATTATTAGAATTCGAAGAATAGATTATTAAGCTAGAATTAAAATTAATTCTTAAATCGCTTATTATTATAGTAGAGTAGAGATTATAAATATTATAATTATTATATTAATATAAATATCTTAATAAAAAAGATCTAAGAGATCTATCTTATATAGAATCTTATTATATATATCAAGTATATATTATATCTAATATAAAGCCTACTTTCTCGAAATCTTAGAAGTACTAGTTTCCTTATATAGAATAATAGCTAAGAAAGCTTATTTAGAACGATCTTAAAGATAATATCTATAAACTCACTAAGCCTACAAATAAACGCCTATTTCTATAAAATACACGGGCTATTATAATAGATAAAGTCGAGGATTTAAAATCTACTAACGAGCCTCGAATAACTTTCGATTATTTATAAGTTATAAAGCTTTTTTTAGAAGCTTATCTCGAGCTAAGCTCGAAAGTTTATAATTATCTATTTAATTTATATTATAAATACTTATTCTTAACTAATTTAAAGTACACGTATCTTATAATATCTCTATATTCTAACGATAGATATTACTTTATTTTTATTATTTTAGATATTAATTAGATATAGTCTATAAGAATATAAGTAGAGATTATAATCTATAGACTTTATTATAATAAAGCTAGCTTATAAATTATTTAATTCTATTTCTTTTAAATCTTCGTTACTATATTCGTCGAATTCTAAGATTTTATTATCTCTTATATTTTATATAAACGAGTTTTTTAATAGCTTTTATAACTTTAAGAATTTATTTTCTTTTTTATAATATTACTTCTTTTCTAGAGTTAAGTAAATTAAGTTACTTTTATTCTTTAAGAAATTATAACTATCTATATTATTAATTAAGATTCTTAATATAACTTATATTATTAAAGAATATATTTATATTCTTAAAGAATAAGTTATTAAAGTAGTTAAGTAATCTATTTCTTTAGATTAATTCGAAAGTTCGAGATTTCTTAGAAACTATCGATATTACGCGTCGATAAGTAAAGAACTTCGCGGAAATCGCGAGATCTCTTTTTAGACTTATAAGAAAGATAAAATAGAGATAGACTTAAGTAGAATAGCTATTATTTAATAATTTATATATTAAATATATTATAAGAATTAACATATACGATATTAACTTAAGTCGAATCGTTTATATATATATTAATACTTTTTATTTTATAGTTAAATATACTATTATATAGTATTATATTCTTATACTATAAGAAGCTATCTCTATTAAGAAGCTTTATAATCTTAGAAGTCTATCGTAATAGAAAAGAATAAGAAAGTATTTATCTTATATAATTCGTTTATCTTTAATTCTATTTAAAAGAAGTACCCTACTTATAAGCGAGAACTCTACGCTATTATTATATTCTATAAGAAGTATAACTACTTATATAAGTACTTATATTAGTCTACTATAATATATACTAATTATAAGCCTCTTATATACTTTCTTAACTTAGATCTTTATAAGAAAATCTATAAATATTAGAGCTAATAAACTTTATCGCTTAAATCTTACTATTTAGTATATATCTAAACCTCGAAATAAAGCTATTAACGACTTATCGAGAATCTTATTCGATATTAAATACTTAGAGAATATTATAATTATACGAGTATAATAGAAATTAAAGAATTATAGCTCAAAATAAATCTAAAAGAATAATAAGAATAAATTTAATTCGTTTTTAATAGTACTTATTAAATCGAAGTAACTTAAAATCGTTAATAGGGGCACGCTATATAATATTTCTTCTTTCTCGCTAAAAGCTATTTCTACTACGGAAGCTATAAAATCATCTACGAAAGACTTCGATAAGATCGATAAGAACGTTAAGATTTAGATTAAAGCTTATCATAATAGTATCTAATTTAATAAAATCTACGAATTTCTTATTATAGAATCTTCGACTCTTACTACTACGCTACTTCGAAAAGCTTTTAAATATCGAATAATATAATATATTCTATAGATCTTTCGAGAAGACATATATTTATCTTATATATCGAAAGAAAAGATATTTATAATACTTTCGAAAAGTTTATAATAAAAGCGAATATTAGACTAAGATTAATATTCTAATAAGACTACGTAACTACTATTAGTCTAGAAAAGTATAAGATATTAAGAAGTATATTATTAGAGTATCTTAAGTATACTAAGTATAAACCTACTATTAGATCTTAGCCTTTATATTCTATTAAAGTTATATACTCTTTTTAACTTATAAAAATAAATTTTATAGACTTACTTAAAACTATTAAAGTAGAATCTACTTTTATACTTATAAAAGTCTACTATATAAGTAGATTTACGATTTTCTTTATTACTATCTCTACTAATATAAAGAATATTATCTAATATCTTAAGTTATTCTTTACTATATATAGAAAGTCTTATATCTACTATCTTAATCGCGATTAATATTTCTATAATAATAAGTTAAAAGAATTCTTGAGATTCGAAGATATTATCGTTATATATAGCCCTTCTAATACTTTTAAGAGTATAAGAATAATCGAAATCTATAATAAACTACTAAAAGCGATACTTTATAAGAATTCCCTTTATACTAAATTAAAATAAGATCAGCGTCTACTAAAGACTAGAAGTTTAATTAATATACGAGTTATTAAATACTTAAAAATCTCTTCTATTAGTATCCTCTTCGGACTACTATAAGAAGCTTCTACTAGTATATCTACCTTACGTATACTTTTTAAATATAATATTCCTACTTAGATAACTTAGCTAAAGAATTCTATTAGCTATACTTAAATTATATATTAATATCTTATTTATTAAGCGAATCTTTATAATATGATTAGATAACGTTTAAATTAGTAGAAGAAAGATATAACTTTCCGATATAATAAAGAGATTAAGCAAGTTACGCATTATATTAACGATCTAATTATATTATACTAGAAAAATATAGAAAAGCTAAAAGCCCGCTAGAGAGGTCTATTTCGAATAAGTAAGATATAGTAAATCTTATAAAAGATCTTTTATACTTATATAACTTAATAGTTAAAAAATTAGATATATATTTTACGAAGATTATCTCAAGAAATTCGTTACTCGTATAGACTACCTCCTAGATCTTATTACCCCCTTATTATCATAACAGCAAACTACTCTAATATCCCCGCTAGAAGCTTTTCTAAAGGTTTATACTTCTTATAGAAAGCTTTAGACTTATCTTTTTCGCGAAGTTTATGCTTTCTCGAGAAGTTTATACTTTTTTAAGGAGATTTATACTTACTTAGAAGAAGACTTTAGCGTCCTTACTTTTTATAGTATTATATGAAAATGATTATAAGAATAATAATAATTTTATTTTCTTGCTTTAGGTGCTATGCTATATCTATAGCTTTATTTCTTTTATCTATATTTATATATAGGATAGTCTCATCGCCGGATTGTCCTCTTCCAGTGATGTCGTTGATTTACAGCCTTTCTTATTCCGCTTCACGTTGGCCACGACTACCGCACTCATCTTCGGTCAATCCGTCGATGGCCTCGAAGAAGCCCAGCAGGATTTTGCCAAAGACTTTGACTACGCGTCCATGATAAGCTCGCTTCGTACGCGGCTGCAGGATTTCTATTGGGCGTACAGCCCATCGAGATATAAAGCCGCCTGTAGAGGAGTCAAAGACTTTGCCAACGTCTTTGTCAAGCAAGCTTTACAAGAAAAGAATAAGACGGGACCAGATTCGGATCGCTACGCTTTTATCCAAGATCTATACGACGAGATGCAGGATCCAGTGCTCGTTCGTGATCAGCTCGTGAATGTCTTGTTGGCTGGAAGAGATACCACTGCGTGCCTATTGTCTTGGACCTTGTAAGCCTCTGTACCTCTCGACTACTCTTCTTGCTCTGCGCCACGGGAAGTGGTTGCTAAACGCCATGCTGAGAGTTCGGTCCTAGCTTCCTCCTCGTCCGCCATACTTCCGCTCTAGATCGTCTTCGCAACGAGATTCGATCCGTCATGGGAGACGACCAAGAATTGACCAGGAATCATGTCCAAAAGATGTCCTATCTCAAATGTGTACTGAATGAGAGTACGTGAGAATCTCGCTCGTTCCCTGCACCCCGCTGACCAAAGTTTGCTCACCCCCACAGCCCTCCGACTCTATCCCTCCGTCCCCATAAACGTCCGCATAGCCCAAAAAACCACCTGGCTGCCCCGCGGTGGTGGTCCAGATGGCGATGCTCCACTGCTCGTACGCCGTGGAGTGGGTGTAGGATTTCTAGCCTACTACCTGCACCGACGAAAAGACTTGTACGGTGATGACGCCGATGAGTTCCGACCAGAGCGATGGGAAGGTCCTGAACTCGCGAACATTGGCTGGGGCTATATACCCTTTCACGGCGGACCCCGGCTTTGTCTCGGCAGTGAGTTCCACTTCCAAGCTATCATTGTGAGGAGGAGGAGCCTGCGGGTCTGACAATCTCCCAGAGGACTTCGCATTGATGGAAGCGTCTTGCGCCATCGTTCGAATCATACAAACCTTCCCGGATATCAGATTGCCACCAGGGTATCCCGTTGTACCGACAGGGCAAGAAAAGCAAGCGCTGACCGTCTTCCTCTCCAGCGCCGACGGCTGCAAGGTATTGTTGGACTAGCACGAGACGAAAATGAATCAGACCTTCTCGGAACAAATCTTAAACCCCCATCCGGTCCCATGTCACGCAGTCATAATCTTATGCACATCCGATCCACCCCACCTCCAATTCAGAACATCTCGTCCACCTCAACCCTCCTCATAAACCCCCCCCCCTCCCCGTCCCCCAAACCCCCCATCCGTCCCATCAAGAAAAACTTCCACAACGACCGCCCCAGCATACGCAATCCGGACCGAATAACCCCCCAACCCGCCCCCCCCCCCCACCAGCCCCCAATTTCCCCATCCCCAACAACCATATCCTCGACCGAGAGTTTATCGCCCACGCGTCATCGCGGAACACGAAAACAACCTGCAGAGCTCTACACACGTCCTCGTCCTCGGGCACCATGCGGGGCTGAAATGGCATGGCTGGGGAAGCTTAGGTAGGTAGGTAGGTAGGTAGGTGGTGAAAGAAAGGCTTTGAAGGCAAGGAGGGAGGGAGGGGGTCGGAGGAAGTCAGAACACAGCACCGGGGGCCCGATACTTTCGGAGCCAGGAGCGGCTCGCCGGCTGCGGTCTGCGTCGTGCGTGGGGAAGGCGGATGCGGGTAGGGAGCTGTTGCGTTGGAGTTGCAAATATAAGTCTCCCCCCTTCCTCCTTTTTGCCTTTGGATGACGAATTTACGCAGCCGTGATCTGACGACGTTCATGGGAAGCTCAAGCGCAAATGACGAGAGGGGGAGGTCTGGCTGAATTTGCGTCTAAGTGTTCACGACGACGTTATGACTAGCTGCCCGATAATATTACGTTACGAACCGCCGAACCTGAAGCACCGACCGAACGCCCGCCCGCGCGCGAGTTGTAAAAACATGGTTAAGGGCAATTGGTTAAGGGGATGATTTGAAGATCTTAAAGCTGTCGACGATATCTGTCCCGTCGGTCAGCCGGTTGGGAAAAGGACGGAGGGAGGGCATGAATGAAATGAATGAACTGACCTTCCCTACGGCACCCGTGTGACGTGCCTGTGATATCGAAGGCTCGTCGTCGCGCTATCAGTATCCAAAGATCGATCCATTCCTGAGCCTTCTGGGAGCAGGGACATGGAAAGAAGTGGGTGGCTGAGGATCAGATGGCGGGGGGGAAAGCGAGTCGCCGGAATTACCGTCCGTTCCTCCGTCTGGTGCGCCACCTGGCAGGCCACCCTTTAGTCCTTTTATACCTCCGCCTTCTTTTCCTGCAACACCGTTACCGTCACCGCCCTTTTTGCCTCCGGCCTCGGGACCATCGTCAAAACGTGGGAACACGACCGGCCAGGCATGATCGGGAAACTTCACCTCTTCAGGCTTCGATGGGCTGATCGCTTTGTAAGGTTCCCATTCGCCTGTAGGCATGTTGTTGATTTCGTTCCGGGCGTAGTAAAGAAGACTGTCGGATTCGTATCTTGCCCGCCAATCGTTGCTTGATTGTCTGTATTCTCTGATGATGCGATCATGATATGACTTGATGCGGGCTCGGAGGTCTTCGAGCTTTATCCGTTCCAAAGGTTTGGGTTCGATGCAAGCTTTGATCAGGTCTCTTAGATCTTGACTGTACTCTGGCTCCTTGTTGGTTTCGATGACTCTAATCCTGCCAGCGTCATTATATTCGGGGTCGTTGATATAATCCAAGTGTGCGTACAAGGTCAGCAGTTCGAGCATTGTTGCGCCGATGGCCCAGACGTTGGTATATGAGGACAATTTGCCCTGCTCTTCCTTGGGGGTGTCGTCATTCACCTGCTCCTACGGAAGAGATAAGCCACGTGTGTATCTGCAGAATATATTGTACTCACTGGCGCAAGGTAGCCTTGAGTTCCGGGGCCTCGATACCTGCTCGGGTTCGAAGGATCTTTGGCGCTGGTCATTACAGCTAAGCCAAAGTCACCTGTCTTGGCGACCGGGTAAAAAGGGAAACCTTTATCCTCATTCACTTCTCCTAGAAAGACTAATTCTCATTGAGTAGTTGAGTAATTGTACCAGCAATCAAATGATTCAATGTGGATGGTCTTACCGTTACCGGGTTTTAGGTCTCGGTGCACAATCTCAAAATCCCCTATGCCACATTTTGATCCCTTTCTCATCGCTGTAGCCGCCTCTACCAAATGGTAGAATGTATCCCACAGAAATGGTTCTGGCAAGTGTTGCCTATTGACACCGTTGAGTAATGGATCCTACGATGGGCATATCGGGGGTGACGAACCTGAATCTACCGTACCTCTTGCAAAGCACCGACAAGTCCTTGTAAGGACAGTATTCCATATACATTCGGTGTTTAAAAACGTGCGGGTATCGTTTGTAATTGAAAAGACGCGGTATAGCATGACAGTGTGTCTTATTCAGTTTGCTCATGACTTTTACCTCTTGCGGTACTTTTCTTATGGATGTGCGTTTCTTCCAGTTATTTTTCGTGTGTGTTTCCTGTTTGATTACCATTTGCTTGTGTGATCATCAGTATCATGGCGACTGGTCGACGAGTGCGGACCCTTACGTTAATTACCTGGCCGTCATCGCCCCGAAGCTCCCAGAGACCAGCGATGCCACAACCTCCCTTACCCAGAGGCCGGATGCCGACCCAACTCGTTTCGAGACCAGACTGTGACCGGATGAACTCAGCAGCCCCTTTCTGCTTTCCCCAATATTCAATGTCTCCGGCTTGTGGAGTTCCGGCGGCTTCGACACCTCGATCCACGTCGTAATTTGTAACGTCCTGGGAATAGCAAGTCGAGGTCTCGCTGTGGCTTGACCCTGGATCAGTAGACTCCGCTCCGCTCGGGCCCGTTTGGTTTTGGAGTCTTGGAGGAATGAGCCGTAGGCGTCGTGGTTTACCTCGCTGTTTGGATTGCTCTGATGGTAGCTGGACGTTGGGAGGATTGGGCTTTGGCCGTGAGCGTAGTCTACCTTGGGCTCCCCAGTCTGATTGTTCAGGCTCCCTTCCACGTTTACGTATTACCATTCTTACCCAATTCTCGCTCGTGCGCAGTGTGTCTCAATTGAGATCCTGCAAGGTGTTTGGCTCGATCGTAGACGCGGGAACACCGTGCATCTCAAGTACTTGCGAGACTATGGAAAGACGACAAGGCTGACCTACAATTCTATTTTTGGTCGTTGTTATTGATACTTATCTTTAGAATGACAAAGAAATGCGTTAATGGCAGAGTGCTGCACAATGATCGGTCAATCGGGAAGACTGAGCCTTTCAGACGGGAACAAAGGGGATGGAACGTGCACCTTCCACTGGCGTAATGTGGGCAGCATCTAGTGCTTCGTTCGATCGCTCCGTCCTCCCTGAGTATATGACAAGCAGAACTCCGTGTTTCGCACAGTCTTTGGTGTTTGAAAAGCGAGAATTGGGTAGAATTTTTAGAAAATGAAATGCCAGGAGTCGCCCAATAAGGATTAGTGCTTCGAGTGCGTAAGAAAGAACCCCGAGGAGCGAAGTGGGAGGTAGTATCGGAGACTTTCATTGATATGATCCCTGTCTAACGGTAGACAAGGAAGTGGTATCCTGTTTCTTGCTGTTGGACCACGTTCACGCTAGTATGATTGAAGATTGGAGCATTAAAGTAGGCTTATTGAATTTACCAGCAAGTCTGAGCTCGGTGGGATGCAGCACCTCCAAGCATATAGAGAGGCTGCGTCAAATGTCCTGTGACTGATTCAGACGGCTCCTTGTGTGGTCGACTTCCGTACACAGACTTCCAAAACTTTTGACAACTCATATGTAAATTGAGCAGCACAATAAAATGAAAGGATGCCATAACGCCGAGATACATTTAATTGCCCGAGCCCGCTGCCTGTTATTTGTTGGGACGTTGATGCCTAGATCGAATTACCGAGGCAGAGTACTCCGCGATGTCTTTCAAGGACTATACTTTATTCAGGGTGTTACTTGGCAGGCTGACAGCGGCTTGCTAAGACAAGAAAGAGTGTTACAAGGTTCTGCAGACCGAGGGAGGGACGTAACAAGACATACTTGGACATCAATGCTCATGGTTGGGAGCTGGTTACATGATGCCCCCACCTCTGTATAACTCAGCAATACATGTTCGGAGTCCAACGGTGGTTGAGCTTCTTGTTATTGGTTCTTGGATTATTCCTATAGGCGGATTGTGGATTTGTTGCTCCTTTCCACCAGAATTTCGTGTACAACTCTTATCGCCTTATGGAAGCGGGCGATTGGTGGGGCGGCTAAATGACATCAGCGATGAACCCTATCTCAATGCAAGGCCAAGCGCGCTGTCCCTGACTTTAGCGCAGTCCCCAAGATTCCCAACAGCTTCAGCCCTACAATATCCCAACCGATCTAAAGAAAATCGTTGAAAAGCCTCATGATTGGGTGGAGCATTCGATCCTGACACCCTTTTTCCCTACCATGATCCATTATGTCCCACTCATCGGACACCACCAACAATTTAATTAAGCCTCCAGCTGAGGTAAACATTAGGACTGACCACTCACATCATCGCTGAACTCTCCGGCGATTATCGGCAAATTAATCATACCATGCCCGTTGGGTTTCGCCGCAAAATTCTATTAGCTCACCACATTTAATCCTCAACTCACCACTCTCTTCTCCCAACTTTGTCTTCGCCCACATCACTCTTCATAAACAACACTTTGCCCTCACTTCACATTTGTTCGAAGCCTACGAAAGACCCCGTTTCTACACATATCCTCCTACATACCTCGAGGACTGCACACACTATGCCGTCTTCCCAGCCGGCCGCAGGCCACTTAGCCGTAAAGCCTGAATACTTGTCATCCCAGCCATCATCAGCAGCGAAGAAATCGGAGCCAAATCGGTCACAGTCATATCGACCGAACAAGTCTCACATCACAGACAGTCCCATCACGAAAGGTTAGTCTTCTCATATTCACGGTCTTTGCTGCCGCAAGCTGACAATCAAACTCAGCCAACTGGTATAAGCATGTCAACTGGCTCAATGTATACTTGATCATTGGGATCCCGCTCATCGGCTGCATCACCGCCTTCTGGACACCTTTACATTGGCAAACCGCCATCTGGAGTGTCATCTACTACTTCGCCACGGGACTGGGAATCACTGCTGGCTACCATAGGCTATGTGCGTGTAGACTCATTGACAATGTACTGGCCATATTACTGACCTGTTTCAGGGGCCCATACTTCGTACTCGGCCACTCTGCCGCTGAGAATATTCCTTGCTGCTGTTGGCGGAGGAGCTGTGGAGGGATCGGTACGCTGGTGTCAGTAAACTCCATGCAGCATTCATATTTCAACGAGCAGCAGGACGCTGACGAAATTTTAGGGGCCCGTGACCACCGCGCACATCACCGCTACACCGACACTGACAAAGACCCTTATTCCGTGAGGAAGGGACTGCTCTACAGCCACTTCGGCTGGATGCTGATGAAGCAAAACCCAAAGCGAATTGGCCGCACCGACATCAGCGATCTGAACGAAGACCCAGTCGTCGTCTGGCAACACAAGAACTATCTCAAGGTTGTCCTCTTTATGGGTCTCGTCTTCCCCATGATCGTGGCAGGCCTAGGCTGGGGTGACTGGTTCGGTGGCTTCATCTACGCAGGCATTCTGCGCATCTTTTTCGTCCAGCAAGCCACATTCTGCGTCAATTCTCTAGCTCATTGGCTTGGTGACCAACCTTTTGATGACCGTAACTCGCCTCGCGACCACGTCATCACAGCTCTTGTAACTCTCGGTGAAGGTTACCACAACTTCCACCACGAATTTCCTTCCGACTACCGCAATGCCATCGAGACCTTCCAGTATGACCCTACCAAATGGAGCATCTGGATTTGGAAGCAAATGGGCTTGGCATACGATCTCAAACAATTCAAGCAGAATGAAATCGAGAAGGGCCGAGTTCAACAACAGCAGAAGAAGCTCGACCAGAAGCGTAGTAAGTTGGACTGGGGTGTACCTCTCGATGCTTTGCCAGTCATGGAATGGGACGACTTCCAAGACCAGGCAAAGAATGGTCGCGGTCTCATCGCTGTCGCCGGAGTGGTACACGACGTCACAGAATTCATCAAGGTTCACCCAGGAGGCAAGGCCATGATCAACAGCGGCATTGGCAAGGATGCCACCGCTATGTTTAACGGAGGTGTCTATATGCACTCTAACGCTGCCCACAACCTCCTCTCCACAATGAGAGTCGGTGTCATCCGTGGTGGCTGCGAAGTTGAGATCTGGAAGCGAGCGCAAAGAGAGAACAAGGACGTTCAATTCGACAAGGACGGTCAGGGTCAGAAAATCATTCGTGCCGGCAGCCAGGTCACCAAGATCGCGGAGCCCGTCGCCACAGCAGGAGCCGCGTAAGTTGCTTGACGCCTGCCCTACCAAAGACATGCGCCCTACGAAAAATTTCGACCTACACATTACTTTTTGCAAGGCGTTTGGAGCTAGCTCGGCTTGAAATGAGACGATACGACATAGATAGGTACTCGATTCAGTTCGAAGCGGAGGATGCTTATCCTGAGACGGATGTCTCTGTAGATGAGATGGTTTTTCTTGTACATAGAAGCCAACTCCAGTGGCCTTGCTCCTGCGAGTTAGCGACATAGACTACTGGCTTTGAACCGAAATACTTAATAACATGACCACACCGCGAAATGTCCATGCTGCATGTGTCATACATCTAGAGTTGTGGGGCGAGTTTATTGAACCGTTTCTCTTCATCCCTCATCTGTATATGAAATGTATGTGTACTCTGTATCGCGCCACTAGTCTCGTGACTCCAAAATTAGCCACACGACTGGACACAACAACGTCATGCATGAGAGTTGGCTAATCTATCTACCTCCCACACCTTCAAGCAGCTCCCAAACGGGCTCGCAAGCTCCTCCCGAACGCATCCTCATCCAAGCCCCTCCCAATAAGTACCAACTTCCCCTCCTCCTTACTCTCCATACCCTTACCATCACTCCTGCCTCGGTCCAGATCCACAATCTCAAATACCTCCCTCACGCCCTGTATCATCTTGACGGTGTCGGTGGTGGTGAAGATGCGGCCTTTGAGTCTGTGGATCGCGAATGCGGATTCTGATTCGGAATCGTGACCAGGTATCGGGACAACCGGGAGGATGGATTCCCAGAGGACGGAGCGGAGCCAGGACTCGAGCGATGAGAGCTGGCGGGGCGTGAGAGGGGGAAGGGGGAGGGCTATTGTTGAGATTGTCTGCGTGCACGGGGCTTTTTAGTACAGAGATCGGGATGCCTCAAATTCAGAAGTCTTAGAAGAGAGGGGGGTGATTTACAGGATCCAGATGGCTGTGTCCCTTGCTCATTGCATCTAGAGACTCCACCCCATCATACGCATGCAAGTCGAGCAGAAAGCTTTCGAGCTTCGGCACCTGGCTATACTGCGTCCTATGGATCTTTGCCAGCCCGTTGATCCCTGCTATCCTTTTTTCGATCGTCCCCAATTGTTCAGGCGTCACGCTATCGCATTTGTTGATAACGATCACATCAGCGTGGGAGATCTGCAGGTGTGCAGTGGTCATATGCATCCCTTCATGCTCTGCATCGCCCTTTCCTTCCACCGGCATCTCGTCCAGGCTCAGGAGTATGTTCTTTGCATCAACAAGCGTGACGATACCATCCAGGTATATCGTGCTACCCAGGCCATCATCAACCCAAAAGAGGGGAGCAAGATTGCCAGGGTCAGCGAGACCAGACGTTTCGAGGAGGATGTAGTCAAAGGTGCCTCTGCGAGACATTAGGGACTCGATTGCGTTGACACCGGAGTCTTTGATAGAGCAGCAGATGCAGCCATTGGCCAATTCGAGCCATTCTTGCGTTTCTTGGCCGTCTTGGGTGACTGTGAGGGCTTTCTCGACATCGGCGGCTGTACGGAGATTATATTAGGAGAAACCGATAACTTTACTCATTAAGGGAAGCTTACAATCACCGAACTCTACTCAGCATTAGCAATGCAATGGCACTGAGCAAGGGCCTCGAGGTGTATACAAGCCGTTCAAGATGACTGCAATCTTCTTCCCGTGTTGCTCCTTAAGGATGTAGTTGACCAGTGTAGTCTTGCCTGCCCCAAGGTAACCAGTAACGATAGTCAAAGGGACCTTAGCCAGAGAGATGTCCTGCAGTCGTGAAGTTATGGGGTTTGCCACCGCCGAGGCACTAGGATGAGTCACATCCACCAAATTTGGTGGTTCTTCTTCATCTACAAACATCATTCCACAACAAAATTGATTGCTTTTCTCGCTTGCAGACCGTGCACTATCATCCTACAAGACATTTGCTCACTCCAAAAAATGGCGTCTGATGCCAAGCCGGCAGGTGCCGCACCTGAGAGCCCACCGATTGGACAAACAAACGACCCTGTCGATCATCACGGATCGGATGAACCTGCCTCCGGAACTTCAAACCAAGCAACACCAGTTCAGCGTTCCCTTCAAGACACCCCAAAATGCGTTTGGTGCAGCAAGCCAGCAACTGATTGCTCAGGAGAGTGTCTACATACACTATCAACCTCACCAGTCACTACTCCGCGCAAGCACTATCAAAAACATATAAAAAAAAGAATCTTCGAGAGAGACACCGGCAGAATGGTCACCTCCCCATCACCTTCGAGCTCACCACGAGCTTACAGCCCTCCACCTGCTCCTGAAGTTCAGATCGCTGGACCGCAATCACCTGCAATGATCGGTGAACCCGGACCTACGATCCCAGAACCTGAAGACACGGCAAAGCTCGATCAAGGAGCAACGAGGAGGATCCGCCCTGGCACAAAGGCAGCCGATATGGCATCCGGTCCACCTTTGGTCCCCCTGAATCAAGTAAGCCCATGTACTGCGATCTTGTTAGACGTGACTCCGTCCAGAATTACGCGTCTAATCAGTACACAGCTCGATTCGCCCTTTCAGCTGCAGGAGCACCTCAAAGCACTTCACTACGAGTACACCCGCTCCAAAACTGATCCCACAGCAACCGTGTCCCTCACCCACGAAACAGCCTTGCTCATAGCCACCCCACCTCCCAACATCGACCGCTCGCTCTGGCTCTACGAACTCACTCGCTTCCTTACCCAGCACGCCAACGATCTCCTCGTCGCACTCCTGACCAAGATCGACCCAGCCTGCTCAGCAGCCTCATGTCCCGAGATGCGTGCATCAGAGTGGCAATACCTGTGCGCTGTACATGATACACCCAAAGCCTGCTGCGCGGTCGACTACTGCATCCACACTCTCGACTGGGCAGGTGACATACTCACCTCCGTCAAGCTTTTTCCAAGTCGTATGACGCTTGGCCCGCCAGACAGTCCTAGCCATCAGACCGCCGTACGCAACATCACGAACATCATGAGGCGCGTCTACCGCATCTTTGCCCATGCATGGTTCCAGCATCGTGAGGGCGTGTTCTGGCCCGTTGAGGCAAGTGGAGGGATCTACACGCTATTCAAGACCGTCTGCGATGTTTACGGGCTCATCCAAGAGGACAATTACACCATCCCGCCTGAGGCCGAGGGGTTGCCATCCAAAGAGGAGATAGAGCACGATCGTCAAGAGAAGGCTGGGATGAAGAAGACAGGCGATGAGGAGGGTGAGGAGGATGCTACCGCTCTTCAGATCGCGGGCGCGACTACGAGACGTCATAAGAACACACCTTCTGTTGGTTCGGCTGTCGGTACTATTGCCGAAGGCGAGGAAGATGAGTCGGAGTCGCCTGTCAAAGAGAAGGCTGGGCCACTGGCTCAAATTTCTAATGCGGCGGAGAAGAAGGATGGTGTGCCAGGATCTGCGGGGAGCGGAACGGCTGTCGGGGATGCAATGAAGGAGGAGAACATTGCGGGGATGGTGAAGGAAGGTGAGGATAGCGGAGATACGCCTGAAGATGACGGGGATGATACCGCTTCAGTGGTCACCGCTATCCACGACGATACGGAGGAGAAGGCAGAGAAGGAGTGATAGTTGGCAGTATGTTTCTTCATCAGCACGGGCAGCAGCCCTTCCATTTTCCGAAAGCATAGCGTCGAGATACCCCACAAAGCGGGCGTTTACAGCGGCATTGTACCATAGTCATTCGTCTTTACAAGCAGAGGTCTCTCTTCTCAAACAACTCAATCAAGCATTTTCTCGATATCCAAGACTCACTTCGGATGTCCTACCCATCACGGGGAACAACCGAGCTATATGAACTTCGAGAAGCAATCGTACGTACACTGGTGCCTTGATTGACTATACAATAGACAATCCGAGCACCGCCCTTATGAACACGTACTCCCTCCCACACAGTCAACCACTCTCCCCCATTGACGCCCAGGACCGACCCTTCAGTAAAAGTGGGCAAGACCCCGATCCCAACAGCTTTCCCATATCCAAGAATAACGTCCAGACGAACGAACGATGAAAGGAGAACCCGTCACCGCGCAAAGGCTTTTCCATCGTGGACCGGGTGACGAGCAAGCGCGTCCATCCAAGAGGGACTGATTTCCTTTCCAACACGTCCGCTCTATAACCACCCTCTACCCACCCGTTCTATCCCGAGGCCACATACCTACGCACAGATCACCATGGAAATCAAACACCTGAAACCAGAGACGACGTAGTCTACCACTGCAACCGGTACCGGTATTACCGCAGCGAAACGATCGAAGTCGAACGACGGGGATGATCTTAACATCCGTACCCAAAAAAAAAACACAAGCCTTCCTTCCCACTCCACGGAGTCACGGAACGGGGAGAATCACGCGGTCTGTGTGTGCGATTCGGAAACCCCTTTCTCACGCGCTATCGCGTATCGACATCAATGGTCCCGGAGCAGGAATCGGACCACTGGGACTCGTTCTTGCGAGATGAGACGCCCCCCCCCGGCCATTCGAGTGCTTCATGAGGAGTAATGGCTGCATTCGGCATCACAGGGAGGAAGGGATGGGTAAGCTGCCATCTGACTGACGCATGAGGAGGGTTGTTGGTTAGGAAATGTCCCTTCATTCATTCATTCATTCATTCATACACAGGCCTGTGCCGAAGCAAAAGATGCGGGTGTCGGGGAAGCTGTCTGCGTTTGAGTTGGTTACAAGGGTGGAAGAGGAAGTTAACCCTGTGAGTGTGGATGGATTCCAAGTAGGGGTGTTGGCGGACGAAGGTTCATATCGTTCAAGCTCTATGGCAAAAGGAAGGATGCAGAACTTAGGACGTGTTGACTCGATTTGACATGTCTGGCAGAAGAGGGTAGTGCTGTAATATGGATAGGGCTCCGTCTGGACGAGATTCACTCATAGGATGTTCATCCGTGTAGACGAGCTCTGTGTCAAGCTTGCGAAATGTGCCGGGGTGTGCAATCTGCCTTACCTACCGTCTGCACTCCATTAGATCTGTTGCGGACGAGATTGGCAGAGTATCAGGGGTTCAACAATACTAGAAGTTTGTGGATGAGGACAGTTTTTTCGCTGATTGATTAGGCATATAGGCTATCATCCCTCTTGGAACCAACCATGAGAAGACAAGATCTCATCGGGTGTCTGAGCTGATAGGCATCCTCCTTTCAAGAGGTCAAAGCGTGACCTTTGCTCCGATCTCAGACCACCTTTCCAGAGCGAAGTGCCTTCCTTGAATGCCTGAACTCCTGGTGTGCATGCGCAATTGGCACCGTCGCTTGAGACCCTCCGTTGAAGTGATTGCCATTGCGCCCCAAGCGTCCCCTTTGCTCGCTCATCTCCGGCACTTCTTCCCCCCCTTGTGCGCGTGATAGACGCAGCCGGTCCTGCGATCCGGATCTCGAATCTTAGACTTCGCGCAGAGCTGAAACAATGCTTCGTAGCAATCGAGCACGAATTCCTGATTCCCGGCGTCCAGTTGGAATCTGAGCGCACTCTTGCGGGTCAGGAAGAAATTTTCATCGATCGGGCCTTCAATCTCTGCATCTTCATCCCATTGAATGCCCTTGTAGATGAAGCTGTCGACAATGTAAGAACGCAGAGGTGATAGGGGTTCTGTGCTCTTGTAGATTGTCTTTATGAGCTTTCGTGGGAAAAATCCATATTCACAAGTTGTTCGAATTCTCATCCGGTCTATGAGCGCGTTTTGCAGTTCCGGCATGTCCCATTCGCATGCTCGGAGGTACAGGTCGACGCTAAGTGCCACCTCTTCCTTAGCGACCTCCTCGTCGGTGGTAGAGATCGCATTCAGATTATTGCGGTAGAGCCAGCCGATCAGAAGCTCGAAAACTTTGGGGTCCTCGGCGAGAAGATCGATGGAATCTAGGGAGATAAGGCTGTCGTCAGAATAGAGGATTTTGTTGCGGAACCATTCATACTGGGTCAGAAGGGCTTTGTGGACGCTGTAGCGTTTTCTTTTTGGCCCAACATAGACCTTGATCACGTCGCCACTCAGATAGCTTTTCAGATTTGTTAGCCGATATAGGAATGGAAAGCGCAGGGTGACAGTACCCTGAAAGATCATCGTTTGAAGTGCCTGCCATCTTTGCTGGCGCCGCGGAGCTCTGGCGCGTTGAATTCGAGATGGAGTTCTAGAAGGAATGGAGGAAAGGCTGCGACCAATAAGGACGCTGGGTCAAGTGATGAGACTGAGAAGCTGCGGTGAGGGACTCAATTTAGCTTCAGCCGTCAGTATAGGGAATTTCTGGTGGACTGAGATCACTGACACAAGATGTTTTGATTCCTGAATCCTTCAACGAGCTTGGAAAAACATGAAACGCTGGCCGAGGATTCCGAAGACTGGCCTGAGCTTTTGAGCTCATGGATCAGACTGTAAAATACGGAAGTGAGGTGGACCTATTGTAAGGGAAATGGGTGAACCGGATCGACAATGAGCGATGTGAGGTGACAATGAGATTTGTATAATGGAATCACGGGCTGATAACTGGATTGAGGCCAAAGACAATGGCCGGTCAGCGTAAACTCGTGAGAAATAGATTAAAAGCCCTAATCCGATGAGGTTAGGACACGCGGTTGATGGTCGAAGATTGAAAACTAGGAGCAAAAGTAGGTGAATGCAGGTGGATTGGCCTCAACCATATGAGCCGAGTGGGAAAGTCCCAATCTGCCAATCAGTCTGGCATGCTAGTAGAGGAGGTTTCAAGATTGAAACCAAGACCAACGCCCCAATGCCGATCTGCAAGTGCATCTGTGTTTCCGGAACAGGGCGGATGCAGACATTACATTCTGCGAAACCTATCGTTCCCTACTCCTGTCCAACAAGATTGTCGCCTTCCCGCAAGCCTTCTACGACCAGTTCCTCTTGCTCTGCCCGCCTGTAAATATCTCTCACGTCGTCTGCCAGACAGTCAGTATGCGCGTACCCACGTGGAAACGGGATTCATATACCTGTAGTCGTCTCGAAATGGCTAGTGGCGTCGTAGCTCTTCGAAATGAATATGTTATCGTTCCTTCCGCTCTCCAAAGGCTCGTAGAGCGGTATCGGTGCGCCCATGAACTTCTCCTCAATTTTTCCTAACCTGTCAAACCCAGGTTGCAACTCAAGGTGGTGGTTGCTTGAACCCTCTGCGATGGTGGAGACGATAGCGATGTAGTAGCCTTTAGGACAGACATTGTGCGCTGAAGAGACAATGGCGATGTATATATCTGTAACCGTCAGAGCAGTGCAAGGTGTGTAAGATTATTGGAAGTAAGCCTACCGTTCCTTCGGCCGACCTGCGATTGTGGAATGATAAGCTGTGCGGAGTCACTGTTCTCTGTGTTTGCTACCGGATGCGTGAGGATGCAGATAGCCTTCAGCAGATGTGCTACGACCTGGACCTTGCCGGGAAAGTATGATGGGTCTGCGATGATTTTCGTGGTTTTTGTCGAGAACTTCATGCCTTCGCTATCTTCGCTTCTTTCTCGCATCGTCGCTTTGATGCCTGACACCTTCCCACCCTCGTATTCGACCTCATCGATGTTCGTATTAAGCATGTAAGTTCCACCGTAGATGGCTGACAGACGTGCGAAGCCTTGCGGCAGCTCGCCGAGACCGTAGAGAGGGTAAATGTAAGGAGACTTCCCATACCGGGCCATCGAGTTCGCATAAAGCCGTATTCTAACAACCGTGTCTTTGGCAGCGCCTTTCTGGTTGATGTATTCATCTGTCTGGTACAGAGCCATTGAGTGGCCGATAAAGTCGCGCGTGGTTGCTTCGAGGCCAAATTTGTCGTAGACCTCCTTCATCGTACACCGATTCAGGTCGAGGCCTGCAGATCCAGTCAACAGCATGCCCTACTCATTAAGCGACAGCATTCCTCCCTACCTCCGTACGTCGACGGATCGTCCTCCTTGAAGGCTCCAACCCACTCGAGAAATCTTTTTGCCCTCCTCTTCTCGAAGAGGCCCATCAAGGGTGACCGCAGGGCTTCGCCTGCATCTGATGGAACCTTCGCCACCGTTGCCCTTGTCCCACTCCCTTGTTGAACATAGCTCCCCGCAATCTGCTTGAATTCGAGGTATCTCGTGACGTCCGTCGACACCAAGATGTTCGTCAATTCACCATTCGACATGAGGAGTTTCGGTACCAAATCCACGTTCCAGTCGTTTACTCGGCCATATTTCTTCCATGGCTCCTCGCCTTGGTTGTAATTGCCGTATCTTTTGAAAAGCTGTTGTGTCTCAGAAAGGGGTAAATGCAGTCCGCTGTCGTACGTACAGCTTCGATATTCAAGGAGGCAGATTCTCTAGTTTTCGTCAGCAGTCGCCTCCGAAGCAACAGAAACTAACGAACCCGCCATAGTGGTCATTCCTATCAATGTGTAGCACTTTCTTGCCCTTCACGCTCATAACACTGCGATGATAGTCAGCAGCAGCTATGAACTACATACAAGGCCGCTGGCGTACCCTGAAAGCACACATTCTGTCAAACCTGGTATTCTGTCAGTACCCTGCGTCCGCTGCTAAAGTGGGGCGCCCTTGACCTGTTCCAAGCACAACCACGTCATATTCTGGAGCAACCTCATCCATCTTTGCATTCAAAGATTTATAGAGAACGAAAAGTCAATCGAACTGTCTCTGAAAAATAGGAAACTTGAGTAGACGTCGTAGCACTAAGGGCAAGCTGGATGACGCCTCCCTCAAGCGGTAGGCGGAACGCGGAACACATGCGTCGGAGTCTGTGAGCGCCAAGCCTGGATCTTGGCGGCCATCGGACCACGGCGCTCCCCCTCCGCACGCACTATCTACCTTACCGATGATTCGGTAATACGTTCAGTGACTACAAGAATAACGAAAAACGCTTACAGGGTATTAGCAGTCTCTCTGTCTGTTGTGACCCACTTCTTCCAAGCATGTACGATTTCCGATCGAATTGAAAAGGTGTCCTTTCCCACTCCTCGAAGAGCGATTGACCTCTGTCTAGCTGGATTTTCAGGATACCTATTATAACACCGAACATCGATTTTGACAATCCTGACGAAGACCTGAAACCTAGATTCTGTGGTCTGAAATGTCCTTGCAGATGGTTAAATGGCGGCTGAGAAGTACTTGAAGGCTACCGTCTAGGAAGCTTCCAGCGGATTCCGCTCGCCGATGGTAATGAAGGCGGCTGCTACTTATCAGATCACGAGGTGGTGGCAGGAGGGCAATCCTCAGTGCCCGACTAGAGATAACAGGGCTCATACGAGGTTGCAGATAACAAAGGACGGCTTAGGTCGCTGACGGAGCACACATTGGTGTCGACCGCGGTATTCTCAAGGGGATGCAAGTAGGCAGCGAATTGAAGGTATTTCGCCGGCCAAGGTGGCTGCTAGTTCTTTTTGGTTTGGGTCGCTGCTAATTGAGCAAGTAGGACAGGGGACCTGTCGCATTCCTTTGTCCGCCTGATCCCAGCAACGAAACTATTGTAAATCAGGCTTCGTAGTACCCTTGACCTCACCGTGTGTATAGTGCCAAAGGGTCCTTTCAGAAGATATGATAGGGGACGGTTGTTCTTCTGCCTTTGAGATTCGTAGTTTTAATTACTCCACATACACGGTACAGGTCATCGAGGGCAAGTGCAATGGATGAGGTAAGCTTTCAAGGGCAACATCAGACCTCTGATGGAAGGTTGACCAACGATGCATCGACAGCGGACAGAGGTTTTACCTTTGATGAAAATGACATTGTACATCTCGTAGAATTAAATCGACCAGCGGACTGGCACTTGGCATTGCCAACGCAACACCATGAGCTGACTCAAACCGAGAGGCTCATGTTCATTGACGGGACGAGGAGCCTATTACATATTGCGGTGCATGTCATGGCGATGTTGCGCATCTTTCTCAACGGTAAGAGATTGAGCTCGACATGCTAGCGCTCAAAGCTCTCGCCATCATGCCATTTCACAATGCGGTTGATAATGTACATCCACTATGCGGGTCCAGCTGCAGCTGCAGCTCGAGGCTGTTCGTCAACCTCCTCTTCATCCTGAGCTCAGTCAGCATGTGTGGTTCGTAGAAACACCACAGCAATTGCGTACCTCGAAAGATCTTGGCCGATATGCTGGAGTGTCTAGATCAGCTTTAAGGTTGACTTCAGGGTCGTCCTCGGCCACCTTCCGCGCCTCCTCCCACGCATACCAGCGTTCGGTAAGCGTGTGCTTTATCTTGGCTTGTGTTTGCCGAATCTGACCGAATCACGGAGGTCAGCCTTGACATCAAGACAAGCTTTGAATCTTACGCGTGGATCGAAGGCAGTCTGTGTCGCTGGAGACCCTTACCGTCATATCACGCTTTCTTGCCCCCTTTAGTTGGGGTACGAATTGCAGTCGTTTTCGTTCCTTAAATTCTGTGGCAAGTCTGTTTCGTTCCTTACAGCATATGTACCATAGCGAATGTAGATCTTCCCAGGACTTATGCCGTAGTTCTTCAACAGTCCAGGGGCGACCTGCACCAATTAGTCGGTTAGATTGAACTTGGGGACCTAGCATACCAGTCCCAATTACATCTTCTGGTGTACTCAATGCCTTTCGGTTCTTATTGAAGAAACCCCAGAGCCCGTGGTCCGAATCGACTGGGATCTTTGATCTCTTCGTCGGATCCAGCACAGGTTGTGGGAGCGGCTGCTTCGACATGCCGTTTGGATACCTGAGGCCGGTTCTTCGTAGCGCTGATTCACCTCTATGCGGATTGCCATCACGTTTCTTGTTCGCGCGCACAGAGAGAGTCGCTGTTGTTGAGAATGAGGATCGTTGATGTAAAGGTTGGGGGATCGAATCTAGCAACGGCGCAAGGAAAATGGGAGGGTGCAATTCTCGTGAGAGGCCAGAGACTTTTCGTAAGATTGGAAGCTGACGTGTCAATGAACGGCCTGACATCCTGTTTCTCAACGGATACGATGCTGGCTATGAGCAAAAAGTGAATTGAAGCTTTGGAAGCCAGCCACGGTTCGGAACATCAAAAATCCGATAGACGCGGCAAGCGCGCCTGAACATGGCAACCCGAGCTCTCTTTTTGGCGAGGCAGGAACATTCAAGAAAAGTGATAGAAAAGATCTTTGGCAGCCATGAATCGACAAGGTAAGACACCATCTCTATACCTACTGTATCTTTCCTGGCCACCGGAGCAGTACCTACAACAGCTTTTATCCCACACGGATCTTGGGCAGCGGTCTGAAAATGCCTGGATACTCTGTGGACGAAGGGTACCCTTCGCCCAAAAAGAAAATTGGGAGCGCCAGAACGTCAAAGAAGTCCAAGAGGAGGAACGCTATCCGCTATGTGGAGTGGTCGGGGGAGCAGGAATCCGTTAAATCAAGTCCTACGGAGGTCCAGCAGCAGGCTCAAGACGTTGCGGGTGAAGATGAGGCCAGTCCTGAATTTGCTGGAGAGGGAATGATTCCTGTAGCCTTTGAAAATGCTTTGGAAACTCCCACCTCTCTGGACCACCAAATGACGGACGCATCCCCTGACAGCCCTGCAACCGCTCCCCAAACCCCCTCCCCTCCTGAGGATCAACACGAGGATGCTGCCCCTCCGCAGTTACATTCACCTACGACTAGCGAACACACGGAAGAAATCTATGAAATTCAACGGGCCCAAGAAGAGCAAAAGGCTGACGAATGGCCATCAGAGAACATGCGTCCAAATGCGCAGAACCTGCGATATGGGGGCTACCCCGCGCAACCAGCACCCCAGAATCGAAACACGCCATTAGGCTCGGGAAGATTGCAAAATACTACAAAACTAGGTGCATTTGAAATCCTTGCACCTCGCGCTGTACAACGGAACGCTGACGCTTTTCGAGCTTGTTAGGTAATGGCACGAACTGGGGTTTTGGAGCACCTGCAAATGGCGCGCCAGGACTACCCAGCGTCCAACCGAGCCAGACAGGCGTAGCCACATCAAGCTTTGCGCAGAGAATCGGTGGTTCTCAACCCGCGGCACCTCTAGACTTATCGTAAGTATATGGTTCTACCTACACTGCTTGCTATGTTCTAGAGACTAGTGGACTTGGACGCAGTCTGAATCGTGCTGATTTAGCTATGTCGTCTTAATAGCGAATTTCCTTCTTTATCTGGCACATCTCAACCTCAATACCAAAACACAAGCCAAGCTATATGGGCAAATCAACGAGTCGCTCAACAGACTCCTGTCCAGCGTCCGCAACAATCACATCCAGTAAGCTCGCAAGCACAGCAACAGCATCAGCCAAATCAGCAAAGTCAGGATCAGTCTCAGAGAGGGAATGATGACATGTACTCTGCGTCATCCAATTTGCAAAATTCGCTGGATGATCATCGCTACGGTGGCCAGAGTGGAATTGGTCAAATGCCGGTATCTCGCCAGCCTCAGCCAACTAGTGTCGATGACTTTCCGCCTCTGGGTAGAAATGGTACCGATGAAAGCGATAGCGATCGAAGGAACCTGATGCAGAATGCAGGTTTCGGCGGATTCTCAAACGCCAACACTTTCTCATTGCCGCAAGATCAGATACAAACACGCCACGGCTTACCAAGCGCCTCAAGCAGTCAAGCGAACAACACACGATCTTCCTCGATGGTGGAAAGACTTACGTCCCCCAATGGCGTGGGGTTTGGAGGTAATGATGACGAGACATCCAGGCAGTCTACACAAATCCCATTGACTATTAATTAGCATCTTCCACTGGACGGTCACCGATCGAGTCGAATCGTCAAGGCCAAGCTGGGATGCAGGACCATGACAGAAATGTAAGCAAATTTGTTGATGCTTTAAGCTGCATCGTATCGTCTGACCAGCCAGATAGATTATATCGACAACGCAGGGCAATACTCGGAACGAGCACGCTTTGAATGCGTTACTAACCAGTTTCAACGATTCACAATTCCCACCTCAACGGCAGACAAGCCAGCCGCAGCAGCCCCCGCAGGGCCGGCAAGATTATGGGGCTAGGACAGGCGACTCATCTCGATCGAACCATACGCCAGATCGAACACCATTATCACAGATGAGTGCAATTGATGAATTTGGCCTACCAGGGTTTCTGAGCACAATCAGCAATGATCATCCAGAGGTCTCTTATCTCGCGAGAGGTCAGGACTTGACCACTCTTGGCCTCAATCTTAATTCTGCAGAGTGTGTCATCACCACCAGCTAGACAGGTATTTTCGCGAAGCTGATGAGGCTATGCAGACCTCTTTATCCCACTTTCGCCGGACCTTTCGCGGATCCAGGCTCAAGACCGATGCAGCCAGACTTCCGATTACCCGAATGTTACACTGTCGACAACATCCACCATGTGAGGGAGAAAATACCACACTTTTCCGATGAGACACTCTTTTGGATTTTCTACACCCAACCGCGAGACATCATACAGGAATTTGCTGCCACTGAACTGTATGTTTAATACGCGTGACCAAGAATTTCTCACTGACCCGATTTCAAGAACGAACCGCAATTGGAGGTTCCATACCGACCTCAAAATGTGGCTCACGAAAGACATCACTCTACCTGAGCCGATACAGATGAGTGTCGAGAAGGAGCAAGGGAGCTACGTGTTCTTCAATCAAATGGCGTGGGAGAAGGTCAGGGTGCGTAACCGGACTGCTCCCCCGAGTTATTTGATAGACGCTGATAATGGGTAAAGGTATCAAACTTTGAGCTACAGTATAAGCAACTGGCACCTAGCTTGTCGCGTCCGAATGGTCCATGATCGTTTCAGCGAAGGCGTTGGATGGTTGAAGATGGTAACGGTATCCTTGATGTCGCAGGCCTTTAGAAGCCGTCATGGCTGGGGCTTAGAGCTTCATGCTCTTATGGCTCATCGATGCTTGGCTTACCATTAGGAATGAGGTGACAGGCAAACGAAATGGTATCTTCGTCATAGCACTGAGGTGCTAGGCAAAAGAATTGGTATCTTCATCATAGCACTGAGGTGCTACCCTCCTTGTCAAACATCTACCTTTCTACATTGCTGCAGTTTCGTGATGTTGGTTACCTCTAGAAGTGCTAATCACGCAGCTTACCATACCTTACCCAGCTTTAATCCTTTACTCTGAATCGATAGGCATCCTTCCGGTCCAGGTAAACCACCTTATCTCCCAGCCCCGCTTCCTCCATCGCCTTCTTGAAATCCGACAGCGGCGAGAGGAAGACATCGTAGTCACTACGTTACTCTCAGCAAGCTGTTCACCCACAAGCCAAACAAATCACGGAGTTACGATCCGTCAACTTCCTCTACCTAACTCAACTGGCCAAGACCTCATTCCCTCCCTCAACCAGACATGAAAACGCTGACAGCGCAAAGGAAAGGGGAATGAAACTCCCAACTCACTCATAATGAATCGGAATCGTCAGATCCGGCCCGATCATCTGCACCAACTTGACGCCTTGCTCGGCGTCCATGGTGACCATGAGCAAGGGCACGCTCGGGGAAGGGATGGTGGTGCCGCCGAGGTGGACGAGCATGAGGTCGACGTGGGGGTAGCGGGTCGGGATCTCGGCGAGCTCGGGGACGAGGAGGGTGTCGCCGGAGACGTAGATGCGGTAGCCGGGGCGGAAGGCGGACGCCGGGGAGCCGCGGCCGAGTTCGAGCATCCAGCCGTTCGTGGGGGGCACCTGGACCCGCCTCCGTCAACCAACGCTCCTCATCCGAATCCGCACACCGGGAGGAAGGGAATCGGAAACGGTGGCGGTCGCACTCACCGCGCCCAACAGATCGTTCATCTTCCCGGCCACGCCCCCCGGACCGGGCGGGACGTGTTTGCCCGGCATCCCCGTCACTTTGATCGCGGCCTCCTTGCCGGCGATGCCGACGAGGCATTCGTCGAAGAAGTCGAGGTCGTGCACGGCGGTGAAGGCTTCGCCGGGGTCCTTGGAGGCGGAAGCGAGGTGCGATTTGGCGTGCGGGGTCGTGATGATGGGAAGGTCTGGGGGGGGTCGCGGGGAGGGTGGGTCAGTGTGGGTGTTGCGATGGAGGTTGAATGGATCGAGTGAGTGGGGGGACGGAATCGGTGATGTGGTGCATCTCGAGGAAAGACAGACAGACTCTAGGAGACAAGCTTACCGCGACGGAGGGATGCTTCGACGTGCTGGTCGAAATGGTCGCTGTTTCACCTCCCGGAATGAGCGTCGGTTATATCTATCCATTTCTTGCGGAATGGGGATTGTGACTGGACCGATGATGATGGAAATGGGGTCTCGGGCATTGGGAAGATGGAAGTTAAGGTGGGCATGTTTGGGGGGAAGAAGGGGGAAGGAAGACGCACGCGTGATAATGGGACAGACAGATCAGATCGATCCGCGGCAGGTCATGCAGGTCGACCGCCGGGTTGGTACGACGGGTGCCCGTGACCCCGGGCCCGAGATGGACGTGATCGCCCGCGTGGAGGAAATTCTGTACGTGTGCTCAGAATTTGTGTGTCTCTCTCTCTCTCCCGTCTAGGGGAAAGAAAAACCCCCCCCTCAAAAATCGTAGTAAGGGATAGGGATAGGGATGGGGATACCGGATCCGTCATCAACCGAACCCCCTCCCATTCTCTGCCCCAAACGTCAGTCAACAAAACATATCACACCCCATCTCTCCCTCTACTTCTTCCGCTATTCTTTTCTCCCTCCCTCCCTCCCCCCCAACACCACCCACACCTCCACAAACAAGACGTACAAAATCGTAGTCGCCGTCCCCACAAACAACAACCTCGCGTTCTCGCCCCCAGCGACGCTCGGATGCACTTTCGTTTCCCCGGCGTCCGGGAGGGCGTCCGGCACCGTAGCGGCGGTGGGGAAGTCTCTCGTCGCCGGCTGCGTGTGGTCGGGGTCGAGGGTGAGGTGTTTCATTGTTGTTGTTGTTGTTGTTGTTGTTGTTGTTATTGTTATTATTATTGCGGTTTTTGTTCGAGGGGGGAGGTAATAGAGTAAGTGGTAGAGAGTATGCGGTCATAGCTCCAGAAACTATCTGACCTACCTATGACGACAGCGACTGCGGGACTAATACAGTCTCTGCAGCGCGAAACGAAACTGCTATCCTCGCCGGCTGTTGCGACGTTGTTGTTTAATTTGTTCTGGTCCACGGAGCGCAGTGGGTATGAGCAAGGAAATGGCGAGATACGGGACACCCTACGTGCGAGCTTCCAGAGGGAGAGGGTGGAATATGTTCTCCGTCATCCAAACACCGTGATTGGTAGGTATATAATACACACTTCAAGGTCATTAAACCAGCTACGGGAAGAATGGAAAGTCACAGGTCGGAAGAATAGGAAGTCGTAATCGTGCCACATCAGCGAGACGCTCGTCCTGGAGACTATGAAAATCATCCACCTTTGAAATGCGACCTACCGTATGCTGAGGAATGCTGATATAATGAAATGCCTCGAGATACGCTCCGCTTGTCCGCTCGAAATAATCAAGACACGCTCTTTTTCAAGGTTGAACGTAAGAAAGAAGGACCGCTGTTAAAGTAAGGCCACAATGCTCAATGCATATTACAAGTCATCGCATCGTAGTCCCATTGCTGTCGTTGTCCTCTATGCGTCGTGCCGTATATCTCAGGTCATCTGTTCTACCCTGGGCCGTTTCGTCCTTCGCTTGGTGTTGCTGATTGCTCAACTCTGGGGTCGTTGTACTCTATTCCGAGGTCGTGTGTCATGTCCCCGTGCTTTCCTCCCCCTATTCCCGGCTTGTCAATAGTCAGACTCTCATGCCCACCCACCCCGGCCAACTCCATGCGAGCCCGCTCCCTAGGCCCCGTGTCCGTCAAATCCATATCCGCAAGTCCCGAATCCACATGCTCAATATCGCGTCTCCACCTCTCCACATTTTTCCCCCTTCGAGCGTTATCTAAATTCGCAAAGTCGATCTCGTCGTCGAAATCGTCAAGCGTGTCGCGATGGATTAGGTAAGGTGTACCGTCCATGTTGATCTCTTCCCACTCGCGATCGCCCGTTGGGGAGATGGGGATGACTTGTGCTTCACCACTTTCGCTTTGGCCAGGAGATATGTTGTCGGATGCATACGAGGGTTGGAGTAGGCTTCTCTTCAAAGGCTGAAGAGGTGTGTGACTGATGCTCAGGGAGGGCGATCCATCGAGGGGGATACCGGCACGGTCAATTCGAGCAGGAGAGTATCGTCTACCACGGAAAATTTTGCTCTCGTCGATCTCTTGATCTCGGGAGCGATTTCTGGAGGAGCGTTCCAACCGCGATGCGCCAGATGTTAGTTCCCGGTCCTCCTGTTGATATCGACTCTGCCTTTCTCGGAAACTCTCCCCTATGACGTCGGCACCCTCAGCTTGTACGGTGGACGAGCCGTCCCAGTGTTCAGAGTTTGGGACCAGCGCATGAGTTTCCTTTGACGAAATTGGCAAGTACTCTTCGACCATCCCCGGAGCGTCGAAAAGAGCAAGAAGGTCCCTGGCTGCCAGCCTCTGCTTTGATTTCGCCGCGAGACATGTTAATGCCAGATCTCGGAAGTGATTGGGGACATTAGGTTCGGCATCGTCCAGGGTCAAAGGTCGGGGCTGTCGCTCCGGCTCATCTTTTTCCATTGCCAAGGCCCACAGCACCATGCCCAGCTGATAGAGATCGGACTTCACCCCAATGTACATTGACAGCCTTTGTCCGCTCTCCACAAGTGGTACCATCTCCGGAGACTCCCAGCCCACAGGACATCCTCGACGGTTGATGTCGATTATCTGAGCTTCATCGTTCTCGTCGATTACGATGTTCGAAAGTGTGAAATCTCCCTGCACGAAGCCAGCTTCGTGGATGTTGGAGAGTCCCTGAACAATCTGCTTTGCCCATAATTCTCGCCTTTCCCATGGGATGCGAGGGATGTGGCCTTCCTTGCTATCGTAGAGAATGTCAATGAGGGCACCTCGGTCGGCATAGCTAAGCAACAGCCCCTTGATCAGGCTCTTGTCCTCATTGACCACCAGTCCTTTGAGCTGTATGACATTCTTCGCATCCACAAGCTCGCTCAGAGCATTGACCTCGTACAAGAACTCGTCCACACTGTCTGGACCCGGTATCTCTTTCTTGATCCATGTATGCTCGCCCGCATTGACTCTGTAGACGAAACCGGACATGTGTTCATCGAAATGCAGCTCGCTTTCTCTGTATTGACGGCATGAGAGATGCTTCACCAGATGTACGGCCGGATACGGGATGATTTCGTTAACATCTTCGGTGACATGTACATGTAGCCTTTCATCCTTCGTTTCAAGCTTGAGGTTTGTGACAGTTTCGTAGAATTGGATATCTGGCAGTGACATACGTATCGACTCGTAGACCCGGGCACTCTTGTCCTTCTGGTAATGGAGACTCTGGAGATCTGCCTCGAGAGAGTCCGGCGGCGCGTCTCGATAGTCGCACGAAACCGTCACTCGTCTCCATCGATCAGGTGTTTCGGCGTATGTGATGAAGAATTTCTCTCGTGGTGTTTTATCCCGGAAATGCATGCTCAGGTTGAGGATCCATTTCTTCTTCAGCTCCTCGGCGAGTTCTTCGTCGACCGCGTCGTCGTAGGATACTTCTGACATGGGGGCTTCGTCTTCCTGGAAGTCAGGTGGAGACTGCGGCGGAGGTGGTGGTGGTGGTGGTGGTGGAGGAGGGACCTGCTCCCCCGGTTGTTGTGAGAGTTGAATTGATGTGTTTAGACCAAGGCGTTCGTCAATCGATGCGAAGGCATCGCGAAGATCTGGGGGCACTGATCGCTCCCTTCTTGCCTGACGTGGCGGATCAGGAACCGCACTCAGAGCTCTCTGACGGACCTTTGAAACATCACGGCGTTCCTTAATGGTCGGTTGGACGGGCGTCAGATTTTTTCGCTGTTCTTCCTCCTGCCTCTTGAAGGTTGTTGAGCGCGGCAAGCCCACAAAGCCTTTACGGGAAAAGCGTCGCCCAACTCCTGGTCTCGCAGGCGTTTGAGGTGGTGTATCCTGTTTGGGATCCGGACACGGCGTTTCCTCCGACTTGGACCATTTCCGAAAATTGAGAAAGTCTCTTAACCGCCGCCTCTGCTCGACCTTGTCCGTCTGATTTTCAGGCTCGGCGTCGAATTGCTCGGGATGAGTGGGCAGCTCTGTCATTGCTACCGCCATTGGCATGAATGAAGTAGCACAAGGGGGGGCTGTGTATGGAGTCACCAATCATCTGTGATCGTGATACTGCAGGCTTGTCGTGGGTCCATGCAAGATAAATGCGAGGATATCCGGGCAGTCATTTAAGCATATGGGAAAAGCAAGTAGGAAGAGATCAAGAGGTATAAATCAAATGTGTAGTCGGTATATGATTCAAGGATTTTTCTTATTCGTCGCCCTGAGCTTGGAAGGAATAGGGATGTATGAATGATATGATAGGGTCGCGTTGTTACTTGTAGGCTCTGTGCAGGGAGAGCAATACGAATTAGCTGCCCGAGGGGGGTTGAAGCTAGTGGATTTCGTACTTAGAGCTTGAACCTTAAGTTAGAGCCTTAGAGGTACCTTTTAGGCTGGTGGGCTTTGCATGAGATTGACTCCTGCGCCCTGTGGCCCTGGCGCTTTGAAACTTAGGCAGTCACAGTTTGTTTTGCAATTATGATTCTTGACACTCATTCATTCATTCATGAAAAACTACATTTATAGTCTGCCTGGGCGCACTCCTAACTCACCGCCTCACATCGTCACTCGATCCTGTCAGCTTCGTGTTGGTCTTGCGCCGTTATAACCCAAAACATCACTACCACTCAAAATCAACTCCGCGAACCCCCTCGAAGTATCTCGTAGAAACGGCCGTCCTGATTTCCTTCCCCTTTGCCGCTTTCAATGATGATATTCACGTCATAGTCCGCAATCGCTCTGTTGCATGGATACTAACCTGGTCCATTGGTTGGATAGTCAGGCCTCACTTTGCTGCGCAATTAATATTGGGCAATGGGCATTCATTGTTCTGTGAGCCCATCTCGCCCCGTCACTTCCGCGGCATCGTGCAGTAGCTAGCCTCAGCGTACAGTAGTAGCTTCCCAGCGAATTGACTTTGCTTTGTGACGTGGCAGTACATAATCCACAACAGCCCCAATTGAATTGTTGACTCTTCCGCGAGCTCTTCGTCTATCCTTTCTCCTGTCTCCTGCTGCCCTCACTGCTCGTGCCTAGGGCAATTTGAGTTCAGGGACATCACAAGAGACGAAAAGCTCAACCATGGTCCCATGTGCCTTCCGCCTTTCCTCACTGGCGGGCCGTCGCTTAGGCTGCATAAGTCGTCTATGTCGAATTATGAGACACTGTTGGTCCTAGCTTCTTAAGTGTGTAGGGATTCGCAAAAGCGATGGGAGGGGACCGAGCGGTCATTTCTGCTGCTGGTTTAGAGGCGAATGTACTGCAGGAGGACGGAAAACATGGTGAAGCGAACTCGACAGGGTCTGAGTACCTATCGGATGCACACAATACTTGGGCAAACGGTCGCTACCTTCCAGTGCTTCCGCTGCACAAGCTTACATGAAAGTAGGCGAGCACGAGCTAGCGTCTAGAAGATTAGATGGTAGGATTCCTGGGAGTTCGAGGTATAATGCAATGCTCGCATAGCTATGAATCTCTCCAATTATGTACATCTATACAGGAGCGGAGTCATTACGTATCTACGCTAAACAATCATGGCACCATGATCCTCTTTCGAACTCATCCTCCCACTACCCAATGCCAATGCAGTAGCTGTAGAGCTGCCCAACGCCATGGAATGCTACAATGCTGTGCCCAAGCTAACCATTCAGACCGGACTCCGAGATCGATACTCGAAAAAGGCTTCCCCTTTTACTCATCCTCCTCTGGCTTCTTGCTCTCCTTTTGCGGCTTGGCTAATTGCTCTTTCCAAATGTCGTTGGCTCTCTTGGAGTCGAGATTGGGGAAGACAAGGTCAAAAACGTCGGCGTACCAACTAGCGGCGTGGCCTTCGATACCTTCTTTGATGTTCTAGTCAAAGGATGTCAGCACTTGCCCACGCGGAGTGATACTTGTTAGCTTTGTACTCACCTGAGGCAACTCCAGCCAGTCGGACGTATTGTCGGCGGGGAAGATGATCGTCTTCGCCCCAGCGCGTCGAGCGGCCACTGTTTTCTCTCGCAACCCTCCAATACGCAAAACCTTGCCTGTAACGGTCAATTCGCCGGTCATTGCTATCGTAGGGTCCAGCGGCTTGTCCAATGCGAGCGATAGCAGCGATGTCGCCATCGTGATACCAGCAGACGGCCCGTCTTTCTGGACAGCGCCTTCGGGGCAGTGTAAATGAACTTTGGCTTTCTCGAAGAATTTGTTCTCTGGAAACAGCCTCGCCAGCACAGATTTGGCGAACGAGTAGGCAATGACCGTAGACTCCTTCATGACGTTCTTCAGATTTCCCGTTCGCTCTAGACCCGGTCGTGACGCAGCATTTAGGGCATTCTCCAGGATTGATTCAACGTACAAGGCGGCACCGCCCATACTAGTCCAAGCGAGCCCCATTGCCACACCTGACGGCGTTGTTTCGTAGAGCCGATCGGATGTGAAGACAGGAGGACCAACGTAGTCCTTGAGATTCTGGCGGTCAATGCTCACGTGGACACCGTCTGGTACCTTCATCTGCTTCCGAGGTGTAGGAGTTGTCTCTTTCTCGATGGCCCCCGGGGTCTCTTTGACGTCAGATTCATCCTTCTTCGACTCTGCTTGGGCAGCTTTGCCTTCTTCTGTCAATCCCTTGTCTTCTGAGAAGACATCCTCACCAAGGTCTTGGATGATGTTTAGCGCTGACTTGCGATAGACCTTCTCAATCTGCTTCTTCAGATTGCGTACTCCACTTTCGCGGCAATACTTGTTGATAAGCTCCTCGATGGCGTCTTTGTTCAACGCTACATCCACGTCCTTGAGACCGCTCAAGTCTTTGGCAGCTGGAGCCAAGAACCTTTCTGCGATCGCCATCTTCTCGTCAGCGACGTACCCGGACAATTCGATCAGCTCCATCCTGTCGAGCAGCGGTCGTGGTATCGTGTCCGTCATATTAGCAGTACACACAAAGAGGACTTTGGAGAGATCGACAGGGACGTCCATGTAGTGGTCGAGGAAAGAGTTGTTCTGCTCTGGATCCAGTAGCTCAAGTAGAGCAGAAGAAGGATCGCCTCGATGATCTCTGCCAATCTTATCAACCTCGTCAATAAGAATCAGAGGGTTTTCTGTTTGACATTTCTTGAGTGCTTGAATGATGCGACCTGGGAGCGCGCCGACATATGTCCGTCGATGACCCTTGATTTCAGCGACGTCTGTGAGACCTCCAACACTGAATCGGTAGTATTGCCGATTCAGCGCTCGAGCAATTGACTTTCCCACACTGGTTTTCCCAACTCCCGGAGGCCCAACGAGGCATAAAATCTTGCCTTCGACGGTACCTTTGAGCTTGCCTACGGCAATGAATTCGAGAATACGGTCCTTTACGTCCTTTAATCCATGATGATCCTCATCCAGTACCGTCATCGCGTTCTTGATACCAAAGTTTTCGGCGCTCTGTTGGCCCCAAGGTATCTGGGTCAGCCAGTCCAGATAGTTTCTAGTGACATTAAACTCTGATGCCGCGGGTTCAAGATGAGCCAGCTTGCTCAACTCTTCATCAAAAACTTTCTTGACTGCTTCTGGCATTGCCAGCTTACTGCCCTTCTCTCTGAATTTCTCGACCATTTTCTCTTTGCCATCTGATTCGATGCCCAGCTCTCGACGAATTCCTTTCATTTGCTCCATAAGCCAATACTCTCTTTGCCGCTTCTGTATCTTGTTCTCTACATCTTTCGAGATCTTGCTTTGGAGTTGCGCGTTCATCAACTCCTTTTTCAATACCATCAAAGCTTTCTGCAGCCGCTCCTCAATATTCATGGTCTCCAGCACGTCTTGTAGTTCTCGGACTTCGCCCGTCGACACCGCTCCAGCAAAGTCCGCCAACTTCGCTGGATCCTCGTGAACGTTCCCGGCAGATTGAGTCAAGGCAAATGTGGAGATCTGATCCCTGAAGAGGTGGTTGAGTTGCGCCACCTCCCTAAACACACTGACAATCTCGCTGGTCACAGCTCTCAATACAGGGCTTTTCGCATCATACTTCTGTTCCGGTATGTTATCAACATCGACCATGCTGACGCGATAATCACGGAGGAAAGACGTCGGCTCATATGGCTGGACTTCTTTAGACTGTGGAGGTGTACTCGATTCCTCAAAACTCGCAACCACATCGCCTGATTTCTCCGACGAGCCTTGCTCCTTCGACGATGGGTGCTTGACTTCCTTTAGGTCTATGGCCACAGGACCAGCCGGCACGCTCGCAGGCCTTGGGGGAATCAACTTTGACATCCTGATTCTCCGGTGAGGATAGAGGACGACCGTAAGACTGTCGGTCTCTCCATTAACAGGGAACGCACTGGTAATTTGTGCAAAGACTCCGATGTCGTGTACATCTTCCCTATTCTCTATTATGTCCTTGTCTGCAGTCTCGTCCTTGGACAAAAAAACACCAACGTATGGCTGCCCCCGCCGAAATGCCTCTTGGATAGCAGCTGCAACATTCCGGTCTCGGACAGTAAGAGCTTTGTAGAATCCTGGAAACAATGGCCTTTGGGCTATGGGTATAGCCATCACTTGGGGATAAATATCTGGAACGCTGGGTTTCTGGATTGCTCGCTCTGTAGATGTCTTCTTTCCACCTGGTTTGCTACCATCTCCGCCCCCAGAGCCAGATTCACCACCACTCCCCGCACCGCCGCTGCCTTTTGCATCACTAAGAGTCGTGCTAGACGTGCCGGAAGATTCTTGTCCTTTCCTTGCTTCCGACGATTCTTCAACATTGCCCTCTGCCTGATCTGTTCCCTTCTGTTCTTCTGGCTGGTTCTTGTCCTCTTTTCTGACAGGTATAGGATCGGGCCCATCGTCAGGTGCACGATCTTTTCTTCTTGGTATTGAAGTTGTGAGGCGGCGAACGTGGGTTGAAGGGAGAGATGTTACTAGACGATTCGTATGAAAGCTGGAAATTTGACGTGATAGAAGAGAATATGATATGTATGTGGAAGGTTGTCGTGCTATTATATGGTACCTAAGGGCACTATTGCGAGTACTGCGTAGAGTGGTCCTCCACGGCAACATTTGGCCACAAACCATACTGCGAGGGTTTCAGACGCAGCAAATTCGTTGAGAGTACAAAAGCTGTCTAGGGATTGATTGACGGGCCTGATCAAACATCTAAGGAGTCTGTCAGCTTCAAGCCCTCTGCATAAGTATGTGGCGATTCAAATGGTGATCTGAAATGTCGAAATGATGATATGCTCTGCCCCGGAGGTTAGGAGAAAGGTTTGGCCGTTGCCACTCAAATCCCGACATTCCGTGCGAGGGTGGTCAATCTTTGCACTTCCTAAGACCTCAAAACTACCTACCTTATACACTGTAGACATCTAAAACAACCTACCGCATACGTGGACCAGCTTCCTTTCGAGAGCAGATTTCCAGGGTTCACCCAGTGGCTGTCCACCTTTCTGCTGCTCAGATGAACTATGCCTCACAAGCGGCTAATATCACGCTGTTGGAGAAGCACAGTGCTCAGTGGTAGCAGCAGTGGATGGCCCCTTAGGAAACGTATTCAATTGGATCTGGGAGCCAAAGGGTTGTCAAGAACATGAGTGCCCAGGTAATCGGCAATTGAACAAGCCGTATAGGCATCAAATGGACGTCTCTGTTCTGTAGCTGAGCTCGATGTTGTCACACTCCTATGCTTCTTGATCTCAATATATTCTTGTTGAGCGTGTTTGTTATGACGAGAAAAAATTCGGCGACTGTACCAATTGTATGGGCGTCGAAAGGGCGTATCAATTGTGTAGGTAAGCTTGAAACTGCTGTTGCTCTGCTCCTCAAAATGTGCTTGTTGAGCGCTTTCATTGCAGGGAACAGAATATTCTGCCCTCCTTGACACGCCTGTCTTCCAATCACGGAATACTTAGCGTGGATCAGAGCCGACGGCACAAGAGCTCCGCTTTCGACTTCTGCACATCAACAAAGTTTCTTCTGCTCTCTCAATTGCCAAAGCAATCATCGAACATACGTCTCACCGTTCAACAGTTTACTTCGTCTTACATATTCTACGATTGCAGCCATGCCAAAGAAGGAGTATTCCCTCTTATTCGATGAAGCTGTGTATGCAGACATGGTCCAGTATCATTACGATTCTTCCCGATGGATGGACATGCAGCACGTCCCGGCGGAAGCAGCCAGGATCCCGCGTAGCAGCAAGAAACTGGAGGAGTTGTGCAGAAAGGGAGCAATTGAAGTCGGCGACACATGGACGATGAGGAAGACCGACAGGGATGGCAATGTAATCGCCTTCAGTGCTACGGTGAGTAAACAGTGCTTAGTGTTGCCATCAATAGCTAATACAGGCTATTGGTCTTTCACAGATCGAAGCACTTGACATATACTCGATCCCCACGATGAGGACAAACGGGCAGCTAAATGGCAACACATGGCCTTGCATAGGACCCAGTGATTTCGATCAAATGATGGTTCGAGCCCACTCCGGAGTTAATAGATCCTTCCGCAACACGTGGGATATCATTTCAGTGACAAGGAATAACCAGGAGCTTGGTAGCCTTCACTTGTGTCGTCAGTGTCTCCAGCTCTGGGAGGACGAGATGGAGAAGTGGGGATGCAATGGTTTGGGCGAGAGTGTGGGCGACCGATGGTAAGTGTCCGCACAGACGCCTTATTCCTCTATAAAGCTCACCGAAGTTAGCTGAACTACGAGCCTAAAAGATCACCGCAACGTACAATCCAAGGAAGCGGATTCGAGCTGGCCTGATGCACTGAATAGCAGACTGTGATTCCCATCTGAGAGACTGCCTTTTCAACAGTACTGCGGATATTGGAGTCTCTATGTCAACACGTCTTCATCCGCTCGGGGCTTTCCTCTGCACTTGGAGCTGTCAATGCTACAGATTGATTTGGTTGTAACGACCTAACCACCAGGCGAATTCCATTAGTAGTACGCGTTGGTCGCGCCTGCTAGATCAGGAACTTTACGGAGATCAGAGGGCCCTATGGCTCTTCTTTCTAATGGATAACTACTATCCTTTGAGTCCCCTTAGTCTTACAGCCTTCAACACCTTTACGCATTTTTCCTAACTCCACTATCACAGGCTCTCATTATGTAACTTTACTTTAATGTCCCAAGCGCGTGAATTATATTAATCATGCCATCCCTCAATCGCCCAAATGCTCCAGACCGTCTTCCAAGCTCTGATTTCGGCAACCTTTTTGGTAGACCTCGCGCGGTTCGCGGCTCAGATTTTGCTAGCCCGACCAGTACTCCTTCCCCATTGACCACTCCAAGCAACTACATTGCTGCGCAGCGTCGAGCGCTCCGAAGCTCCGAAAGTGCAAATTCGAATCCGACCTCAAACACACCATTGGCGTCTCCGTCTCCTTTTGTTGCGCGCCAACAGCCGAAACAAGCAGAGAGGCGAAGCTACCATTCGGATGTCAGTGCCACATCGCCTCGAGAAACCAGCAACGTTTCTTCGCCCTCTAGCGAAGTCCCCCTCATCATCGAAGAAGGGCCTGCCCCACCAAGAAATAGAACTGCCTCTGAATTATCATCAATTAGCTTGCGAACGCGAAGGCTTCTGGGCTTACCCGATACTCGCATCACTCCCGGTGCTGGAAGCGAGCAGCCCCCAAGCAAAGCAAGAAGTGGCTTCAAATGGAAGCGCGAGTTCTCAGGCCGTTGGCTTGAGATTCGAATCGGGCGCCGGGAACAGTCCGCTGAGTATTCAGTGCAAGCCTCTGGGGAAGCAACTCCTGTTCCCTTAGGCCAGCGCTCAGCAATCACTCTTCCTCTCAGCCGAGGTTCGACAAGTACAGGTCTTGATGGCCGTGATCGGTCATTCAATGCAGCAAGCGAGCAACGCCTGCTACCTGAAAGCCGGGATTCCTTGCATTATGCTACCCTCACACCCAAAGAAGGTCTCTACTGCCGGACAAAGCGCGCCTTGGGCCTCAAGCACGGCCCTACAGACCCTGACATCTCTGAATCCCAAGCGAGAAGCTCTACAGACAATCTACTCGACCGAGTCTCAAGTACACTGCGGTTTTTGCCGGATAGAAGGACGCCCTCGCCAGGCTCAACAAACAGCGTCAGTAACCTGTCCATCGCCGCTCCACGCTGGCAACGCATCGTGAGCCGCCACGGCAAAGTAGGACTTTCCACTTCCAGTTCCATTCGCGGAATGCTGATGGGGAGACCACCAATCCACACCCCAGAACCCGAAGCGATGTACACAGGCTCCGACTCCAACAAATACGTCGCCGTAGACCTGACGGAAGAGGGCGTGGCCTTCCTACCCTCCGAAGCCCACAGGATCCACACACCGCCACTGCCGACCGACGCAAGGAGTGCCGGCATCGGAAAAGCGAGAGGCTTCTTCTTCGACTACAACGCACCACCCACCCCAGGCTTCCCCGATCCACCGGCGGAGGCAAACGCACGAGTGGGCGGGCCGCGCAGGGATAGCGATTGGTACAGGGTCAAGATGCATGCCATCGAAGCGGACTCGATAACTCGGGAGCAGCTTGCAGTCAGCGTGCCGGAGCATTTGCCAAACAGTCCGTTGTGTCCGAGGCATCCGAAGCACAAATCTGGTGGGACAGGCGAGTGTCCATACCATGGGCGGAACCCGTCTTTGCCAAAAGAAACCGATGCATCAATTCCAAAACTCTCACCGTCTGAGCATTGGTGGTAGGCAAGTTAGACGAGTGATGTGCTACGATCTGCTTCGTGGGATGGTTTACCTTATGCTTTGGGATGGATTCAAGGCGCTTGAGCTTCTGTAAATGTAGTATTCTATTCTATTGGGCGAGATCATCTTCATTCGAAAGTGAGTCATTGCTCGCGATTACAAAGAAGACACAAAGGCTCCATCCTTTTTGCTAGCCATCCGTCATCTAATTTGTAATCTACATTCTTCTTCTCCAAAAGCTCTACAACTTGCTCTTCCCATTCAGTCCACCGACTACCATCGACCCACCCTTCCCCAACCATCCCACCGCGTCCGTAACCATCTCATCCACAATAGCCTTTGCGCTCTTCTTTTCATTGACCACAGCGGCCGCCTTGCCCATCAAGAACGGCCGAGCATTATCCATCGTATCGTCGTCGATGTCATCCCCGAGGGTTTCGAAATCATGCTCCACGGGAATGGTGCCCTTGGACGTAAGTTCCTTGATCTCGGAGGCGCGGTTCTCCTCCCAGTTCTGGATGTAGGGGTTCATGCGGACGCGCAGGGGTCGACCGGTGAAGATGATGGTCCTCACATTGTCGTCAAAGCCGGATGTCTGAACAGCTTCTTGATGTGCCTTGGGCGCACCGGCTTCTTCCGACAGAACAAACCTGGTGCCGATCCAGACAGCACTCGCCCCTAACATCAGTGCCGCTGCGAGACTCTGTCCGTTAAAGAGGCCTCCGGCCGCGACAACCTGCACCTGATCCCCCGTCATCGGGCTCTTCTTCCCTTTCACCATCTGCGCCACCGTCGGGATCAAAATCGAAGTAGGCACGTCACCCGTGTGTCCGCCTCCCTCACCGCCCTGGGCGCAGATCATATCGACGCCTACATCGAGGCATTTCCGCACGTGCTTTGGGTGCCCGATCATGTTCATGTAGAGAATTCCGGCTTTATGCAGGCGTTGGACAACGTGGACTGGGGGCACGCCGACGGCGGAGACGAAGAGTTTAGCGCCGGAATCGATTATGATGGTTACTAATTCTTCCAGTTTCCCTTTGGTGTAGTCGTAACTTCAAATACGATAGAATCAGCATTGCTGGTAGAAGGCGAGGCTGGGATTCTGTTGGCAAAGAGAACGGGGCAGGATTCAAACGTACTTGGTCTTCCTGGCACTACCACCAACCTGCGGGATCAAAAGGTCCACACCAAATGGTGCATTCTTGTCTTTCAAGAAACCCTTCAGCTCGGCAATCTGCTCCCGCAGCATATCTGGCGTGTAGCCGAGGCCTCCAATGACGCCGAGACCGCCAGCGTTGGTGACTGCAGCTGCGAGTTTTGGACCTGCGGCTACGTTCATGCCGGCAAGCATGACAGGGTGGTTGATTTTGAGGAGGTCGGTGACCGTTGTTCGGAGTTGCTCTGGGAGGAGTGTCAGTCTTCGAGTTGGGGGGGAGAACGGGGGTGGGGGGACACCAAAGGCTTGACCTACGTGGAGACGCCATGTTGAGTGAGTGGTATTCTACTGATGGGCGTATGTATTTTGTTATAGGTAGTGGAGATCAGGATGTGTTGGGAGAGGAAGAAAGAAGGGAGCGAGATGATGAAGCAGTGGACAATGCTCTGAGTAATCCCATGTAAAGTAAGTAAGATCTGGTAGATGCCGAGGTATGTTTTTGCGGGGCCGGCGCTACTTTATTGGCGCTGGAACTGCAATACTGTACAATCCAGAAGTGAGTTCTTGATAGAGTGAGGACACCAATAGATTACCGGAATTCGTGGGGATTTACTGGTGTCCTCGCTCTATCAAAGAACTCACTTCATTGTACGAGTAGGAATTCGTGACGATGCTGAGTTGGGGACCGATCTGGTGACACTATCAACATATCAACTTTCCCATTATCAACTTTCCCATGATGCATCATGCATCATGCATCATGGTCTACTTCTTTCCACATGTGCTTCATCTCTCCCTGTACTTAGACGGTTACAATTCGGCCGTTGTCTGCTGAGTTATGTTCCTATCCAACGTGCCAAGACATACGATTGGAGGTTTTCGCTGAGAAATATTCGTTTAGATTCGAGGTATGCATGGATGGCATTGGCGTGTGAATTTTCCAGAGGAGATCTGATTTTGGTCCAATAGCCGCTTTGGCCCTCGAGCCAATCCCAATTTCTACAGAACAGATGTTTATGTGCCTTCACCCCCAGGCTGCTACTACGTTTCGGACTTCCGTAAAAGGACTGCGGAAGTGCTCAATGTCGTGTCATTGGTGCGAACGCATGCCACGCCTGTCTGCTCGATCCATGACATCACAGAGAGCCTTGCTTCCGATCTCCTAGCCACGTATCCTGCAGCTCTGGAGACCCTTATCGTCTTCCAACCAGATATCCGAAACAAATTCAAAGTTGAAAACCTCATTAGAGCAGATTGCAGTTTTTCCAAAGTCAATCCTCGCAGCAAACGTCTTACTGCTGAGCAGAACAGCATATACCGAGTCACCACCGAATGGCACTTGCCGAGTCCACCGCAATCGGGATATGTGATCTCGCTAGTATTACAGACCGTAGAGCGCAGTGTATCGACAGTCTACGGTCACTTGGAATTTACCAGCTCTCGTTCGAGTCTCGCTTATGTACATCCAACGTTCGGCCTTCATGAGGAGGTAGCAAGATTTGCCGAACAGCTTCAAAGTGACAGAGCAGAAGGTGCGGCACTTTTGCTTGCGCAGTGTTTATTCCACCTGGCCGATAAACAATCTCCATGCAAACGCCTTCAAGATGTTCGTGTGGTGATGAGAGAAGTATCGCCGCTGATGGAGGGATTCCGGACCAAAAGAGAAGCAATGGTCGAAAGGTTGAAAAAAAAAATCGACAACGATTATGCTACCGGTTGTAGCGTACACCTTGTACGTCATGAATACGAGCGATCTCAGCGTAGCTTGCTCAGCAGCGATGTTCAAAATGGACGGCACCGAGCGTATCTCGCGCTTGGAAGCAATCTAGGCAATCGCGTCGAGATGATCGAGTCGGCCGTCCGACAGATGAGTGATCGAGGGATCACTGTACTTCGAACGAGTGCTCTATATGAAACCAAACCAATGTATTTAGAGAACCAGCAATCATTCATCAACGGTGCTTGCGAGGTATGTAGCACTGATGCGAAATTCCGTCCAAGGTAGTGTTGACATGACTAGATTGAAACATCGCTAAGCCCGTTGGGGTTATTAGACCAACTAAAGCTGATCGAACATGATCTTGGAAGAGTGAAAACTGTAGAGAATGGACCTCGGACCATCGACTTGGATATTTTGCTGTACGATGAAGAGCGGGTGGAGAACTTACGTCTCTCTATACCCCATAAGAGAATGCTTGAACGTGAATTTGTTCTTCGGCCTCTATGCGAGTAAGTCAAGATGCCATGCATCGAAATGTTGGAAAATTGACTGTATCCTTAGTCTCATACCCGATTCCATTCCACCTACGCCTGATTCGATCGCTACATATCAAGATATCCTCGAACAACTGCCCGAATCTACAGATCCGCTATCAGCTTTGACCCCACTGTCAGATTATCTCCCTCCGATACGAAATCAATCCCCGACACGGCCCACCCATCTTATGGCCATATTGAATCTGACCCCTGACTCCTTCTCTGATGGCGGTCTCCACTCAACCGCAGATCCTATACCACTCTTGGATACTCTGCGTTCCTACACAAACCAACGGCATCCTGTCACCATCCTCGATGTTGGTGGTCAGTCGACTCGCCCCCATGCCCCTCAAATATCCCCGGACGAAGAACTCTCCCGGATCCTGCCCACCATCGAAGCAATTCGCTCCGACCCTTCCTTCCAAACGATGGCAATCTCCATAGACACCTACCGCGCGTCCGTGGCGGCTGAAGCAATCAAGGCAGGTGCGGATATCATCAATGACGTCTCATCTGGCCAGCTAGACCCAGAAATGCTGCCTACAATAGCAAAGCTTGGCTGCACATGCATCTTAATGCACATGCGCGGCACCCCTGAGACAATGAAGACCTTAATTTCTTACCCGGACGGCGTGATTAACGGAGTCGGTAACGAACTTCTGGAGCGTGTCCGCGACGCCGAGAAAGCGGGTATCCGCCGATGGCGCATAATGCTTGATCCTGGAATAGGCTTCGCGAAGACGCAAGCCCAGAGTTTGGAGCTGCTCCGCAGATTTTCAGAACTGAGAGACTTTGAAGGCCTCAGGGGCTTCCCTTGGGTTGTTGGTGCCAGCAGGAAAGGGTTTATTGGGAAGATCACTGGGGTGCAGGATGCAAGGGAGAGAAAATGGGGCACCGCAACGACTGTCGCCGCGGCGATACAAGGAGGAGCTGACATCGTGCGGGTACACGATGTGAGTGAGATGGGGCAGGTGGTGGCGATGGCGGATGCCATTTGGAGGGTCTGATCACGACTTGGACGGCATTTGCAAAACGGGACGGCTGCGTTCAGAGTGTTTGGCGAATGATCTGGGGTAAAATAATGGCTGTATGAGTGATGAGATTTTCGGTTTTCAGCCAGCGCTGGCTACATCGTTGAGGTGTCTGGGCGTTTTATCTGTAATGAGTACTCAACATAATACTGCATACTCAAGAAAGCATTCTAAGCTCTTGGTATCAGACATCCTCCAAGGAAATAACGAACACTACAATTGCCCTTTCTCCCATCAGCGAGCCTGACTACATTAGCACAGCAAAATCGGAAATCGTGAACTTTTTCAAGTCACCGTCTACATGAATCTGCGTGAAAACAAACCACAATAGTAAAAGCAGACGCAATTCCCCAGTATCTCTCACCTTTACAAAACCATCGCTCCCTCGAGTCCCCCGGAGCTCAGACCGAGAGCAAGCTCTTCACTGTCGGCACGCTCGATGATTCCAGATCTCCTCATGCAAGGAGAGCGGCTTCCGTCTCCCCAAACGCGACTCGAGAAGATGATCTTCTGTACGTATACGGATAGAATTATAATAATGAATAGTGATTATTAGTACGATTGGTGATCGATGAGCAACACAAGCACGGCTCCGTCGTTTTCCCTACCACCCTCTATCCTATCCCAGAAAAAACACCTAGACTCGTATGCAGCACTATCTCTTTGCTTCGAAGTGTGATACAGAGCCGGCCTGCAAACGTGAAAGAACCAATCGTACGCACCCCTTTATATCGTAAAAAAGAAAACTCACGTTCAAAATGCGAAGCCATTGATAAGCCAACTGGTCCTTCTCATCCCCAAAGAAGTCATCCAATCCATCAACACCACCCCGATCGGACTCCACATCAGAATCCGAGTCACCTCCGAGAGCACTACTGAAGTCGCCGATACCTCCATCTCCCGAGTTCTGGAATCGAATCGGAGCCGTCTTGCGGAGCTGGAAGGGCGGTGGCGGGGGTGAAAAGGCCTGCGCAGAGGGCTAGGAGAACGGTGGAGTGAGCAAGCATGGCGGGGTTAGGGTTGGGGTTTTCGGTTGAGGGGCTTTTGGAGGATAGGGTTTGCTTGGGAAGAAGGGCGGAATGAGAGACAGTTGGCAGAGTACAGGTTGTGGGGACGCTGATTGATGTGTTATGGAGACTTTGCAAGATGCTGGGAAAGTACAAAAAAACGGAATTGGAGAAGAAAAGCTTTTACGATGCTTTCTATACTTTTGGGGGGGAAATGTGAGCTTGGTCACAGCTCCTGGCTTACCTTCGGCCTACCTTCGAAAACCCCAGCAGATCTGAAGCACGGCGACGCAAGTCAAAACATAGATTCTCGACACTAAAGACGACTCTTACGAAATGAAAGAGCGAAAACATGGTACGGGGACTGTGCATTGCGCGAGGAAAGAAAGTGATTGGGCCACCTGGGAGACGGGAAGTCTGAGGCTAGGGGTACATGATGATCAGTTTTAACAGTATGTTGTACCACGGGTGGAACTCAAATTGGTCAATGATTGTGACGAGCAGTTGAGATGTTGAAGTCCATCGATCTTTAGATTGCCCGTTTGAGGTAATAGAATATAACAGTAGCCAATATTTTTGCGGAATACAGGTCGAGGCCTGACTATAGCGAATGGGGCCCCACACTCGTGCTTTCATGGGGACGCGCGGGAAACTGAACCTTGGGCTCGTACATAGAAACGGCAGAGATAAGTTACACGATATCAGTGGCGCGTCCAGAAAAGGTGCTGCGAGCATTGCAGTGAGTGCTAATGAACCGAAACCCCGGGTAGAAGGGGGCAGCAATTACGCTCATTTGGTCCTTCTGCGTTTTCAGTATTAGCTGAGTGCTCACGTCTTGATCTTTCTCCAACCAAAAGGCTTAAAGGTATTACTTGGCAATACCCTCGCCAGATCAGAAAACATCTTTCTGCTTCTTATATGTCGCGGCCAGGCATAGCAGATGTCCACGAATAATGAGAGAGAAATCCGGTTTGGATACACGGATATGGTCTAGGCGCAAGCCTCTCACTGGAGCGCCTTGAATAACCTCCGACAGCACGTGGAACAAATCACTCCTGAGTTCTGATGTATGTATACAGATTGATATCGTCACTGCGACTGAATCCCCTTTCGTGGTTAATTTCCTTTCCGAAGTGGTGCATTCGCCAGATAAAGAGCGTCGCACTACGAGTAGCGAAGATGGCAAATCTCGAATGTGGTACTTCCATGATGGATCGATAAATTAAGATTCTTTGAAGAATGAGCTGCTTTCTTTGTTCGCAAAGAAACTGCGCTTTTTTTAGTCAATCGAAAAGATTCACATAACTGGGCACGGAGGTATGGCTTCCAAAGGACGGTCCCAAGAATCAAGGCTGCTTGCAGTCCATACGTCGTGATACAGTCTTCGAGACAGTCATAGAGCAGATGGAGAACTTGCAATGGAGGAACTAGTCTCAGTGGTAGTCTCAGAATTCAGACTCTAATTTTTGGGGGGGGGGGGGCGGAACATTATATTGCCGAGCCGATTCCGTCATACCCGCAAAGGCATTACGAGATTTCGGCCGGAAAAAGGGTTTTCCGACCCACCACTACCACCAATAGCGATGCGCGATGACCGTCAGAATGCATTCGTGACAGTAATGACAGTAATTACCACATTTTGGCCGTTAGCACTGTAATCTCTGTAATCTCCGGATAGAAGTTCCTCCGAGCGTGACTAAGCCATTTGATTGGCTGAAAATACTCTAAAGTGAGGTCTTGGCGGTCTGCGGGCAGAGATCCTGTAGAGAAACAATTCAAACCCCTGGAATCTCGAAAAAACCCTGAAAAGTCGCCTCAAAACATCAGACGAAAGGTAGTACACTAGTGTAAGCTACTACCTAATCGGGTTAGCTGTCAGGCCTCCTATTCGTGACCGTAATGACCGTCCGCAGACATGTCTGCAGCAGACAAAAGTCTTGGCGGTCGCATCGCTAACCACCAACCCTTCCGAATAGAACTGATGGGCTTAGCCGAGATCCGGGTAGTGGCCGTGAATAAGATACCCGAAAAGACTAACTCGTGCCGATCCGCAGCTCTCTGCAAATTTCAACGTCACCAACGTCCCCTTAGCAAACAAACTCTCAATCAGCCTATTCTGCCCCACGGATAAATAAGAAATTACTATGGCTTCAAAAACACCTCGGAGCCTAGTTTTGGGGACCAGCAGCTCATTGCGAGACTCGAATAATTTGATGCAGCAACACATCGATAGCAGCCATTCGCTTCGCTTGCATCCATCATGGTCACAATCACATGCTTCGCCTCGAAGGACGTCAGGTTTCCAGTGAGTCTCACCACCAATGAGAAAATCAGTCAATGGCTGAATAAAATAGACCTCCCTGGACAAGACGGGCTCGGACGCCATGAACCCAGCAGGTGATTACTCGTCAGCCTACTGCATCCTACAAACAGACTCCCCACATACCGGACATGGCATGGTCCTTCTACCGACTCGCAACGCCCAATTCTAGCTGAATGTTTCCAATACAGACATTCACCATTGGCCGCGGTAACGACATTGTCTGCCTCGCCATTGAGAATCTCGCTGCCCGCCTGATAGGTCGTACTCTAGAATCATTGACGGCGAACTGGGGTCAAACATGGCGCTACCTCGTCTCGGATTCCCAGCTACGCTGGATCGGCCCCGAGAAAGGTGTCATTCATCTCGCCCTCGGCGCCGTCGTCAACGCTCTCTGGGACCTCTGGGCTAAAGTGCTGCAAAAACCCGTCTGGCGAATCGTAGCCGAGATGAGCCCGCAAGAGTTCGTACGCTGTGTAGACTTCCGCTACATCACCGACGCCATCACACCTGAAGAAGCCATTGAGATGTTGTGCAAAGAGGAATCAGGTAAAGCCCAACGACTTCAAGAAGCAGAAAATAACCACGCAGTGCCCGCCTACACCACCTCCGCTGGCTGGCTCGGTTACGGTGAGGACAAAATGGAACGTCTGTTGCAAGAAACACTCGAAGAAGGCTACAAACACTTCAAATTCAAAGTCGGCACCTCCATTTCCTCCGACATCCGCCGCCTCACCATCGCCCGCAATGTTATCGGCTACGACCGCGGCAATATCCTAATGATTGACGCCAATCAAGTCTGGTCCGTACCCGAAGCCATCGCATACATGAAAGAGCTTGCGCCCTTCAAGCCGTGGTTTATCGAAGAGCCTACGAGTCCGGATGATGTCTTGGGGCACAAGGCGATCAGGGAAGCGTTGAAGGAGTATGGGATTGGGGTTGCGACAGGGGAGATGTGTCAGAATCGGGTGGTGTTCAAGCAGTTGTTGATGGGCGGGGCGATTGATATTTGTCAGATTGATGCGTGTAGAATGGGTGGGGTCAATGAGGTTTTGGCTGTTATGCTGATGGCGAAGAAGTATACATTGTCCCTTTCCCCCCTCATTCTGGACGTGTGTAACGCTTTGAAACCGAAGCGCTGATTGACACATGTGCCAGATTCGACATCCCAATCGTCCCCCACTCCGGCGGCGTGGGTCTACCGTACGTTATGATTTCCGAGGCAATTCTACCCCAAACACGCTATCAGTCGTCAAAGATGTCTCCAGAGTTCTCTGCTCCCAAACATGCCTCGCGATTCCAGAATCCCTCCCGAAAGAGTAATGCTGACTCCCGAAATCATCAAGTGAATACACTCAGCACCTCAGCACCATCGATTACGTATGTGTTTCCGGCAAGCTCTCGGTACTGGAATACGTAGACCATCTGCATGAGCATTTCAACCATCCTGCCGTTATCAAGAACGGGTACTACCAGACTCCTACAGAGCCCGGGTATAGCGTCGAGATGAAGGAGGAGAGTATGGAGAAGTACGGCTTTCCGGGGGAAGAAGGGGGGTTTTGGAGGAGTGAGGAGGCAAGAGCTATCTTGGAAGGTGTGAAGATTTAGCATACATCGTATCTTACTGAGAGCACAGAGATGTGTACTTTTAGCTCCATCTGTACAGAGACTCTGAGAGGCTGAGAAACTTGCGGCTAGTGTGTTCAAACATATCGAGAAAGATGTCATCGTGTTCAGAGTCAACGGTCGTTGTGGCGTCAATATTGCATTCTCGGCCCGTTCCACACACACGCATACAATTTGTTCTAATGATCTACGCCCTATCTACATCAATTCCTCTTCCCAAGCTCCAGCCACTGACTCAAGCTGGACTCCCGACCAATCTCGCGGACCTATTCGCGCGAGCTCGCAGTCTCCGAGAAGTAACCGTCGAGTTCGCCGTGGCATTCCGACGCTGGACCAAGGGCTCCAAAAGCTTCCTCGTTTTCTCGCTGCCCGGGTTCGGCGCATCGTAGTCGACTGTGAACACACTGACAGAGCTGAAGCATCCACTGTTGACGATGGTCGTCTCACCAGGCAGGGCGCAGTCGCCATTGATACACGTGTTGGCTCCAGCGGGGTGAACCTCGCCATAGCTGAAAAGGCCAGTGGTAGAATCGTAAACGGCGGTGTCGACCTCAGCGCCGCCAGTTATGCGCGTTTGGACGAAAGGCGGGTCAACGCAATCGTCATTCGTGAGGGAGGTGATTTCGGGGTAGTTAACGCTGATGCCGTAGCCGAGAGGTAGCAATTGAGACTTGTTTAATCCATTCTTAGCGAGTTGGTTTACGAGTGCGACTGAAAGCTGGGCGTCGACGGTAGCGGGGTCGGGGAAGCCAGAGGGAGTGGTTTTGTTAATCTCTTTGTAGGAGCGCTGGCCGTTGTTGCCACCTGAGAACGCGATGGCTGGGAGGGAACGCTCGACGGCTGCGTAGGTGGCGCCCATTGTGCCGGAGAGGGTGTACAGGAAGGGACCTAGGTTTTGGCCGAAATTGGGCCCAGCCACCAGGAGGTCCGGCTTAGTGCCGTTCCAGTAGTTGGGCACAACATAGTCCAGAGCGAAGAAGGTACAGGCAGTAGGCGTACCGTTGTAGTACCAGATGTGCGAGTCGTTAGGATCGGTGCCGAAGCTAGGGGCGCCTTTAGGAACGAGGTCGAACTCAGAAGGTGCGGTCAAATTTGCTTCGGTGGTAAAGACTTCGGTGCCTCCTTTTCCGGATTCGTTCGAGACGGGTGCGACGATCCAGGCGTTGTGGCCGGCGACATTGAGAAAGCGGTAAAGTTCGCGAATGTTAGCGGAGCCAAAACCATCATCGTTGTTTACGATGATGTTAAGGGCGATGGAAGTGAGAGGAAGGAGGGCAAGGAGCAAGGTCAGGGTGTGGGTGGTTGGGAAACGCATGTTGAGGGAAATTAGATGCCACAGTGTTTTTCAACAAAATGTTGGGGAGTGGAATGTGATCTGAATAATTTGTGAGGTGTATTCGCAATATGAATAGAATACTGGAAATGAAGAGGTCTATATACCGTGTGAAGCCCGTGTATGTAGGTAGCGCCAAGTCACACTGAGCCTAATCGGGCTGCGCAGTGTTTCAAAGGAGCTGGAACCGTGACACAAGGCGACCGTCTTGAAGAATCAGGGAGAAACGAGACATTTGAGCAAGTGGGGATAGCTCCATCTTATGGACTTCCACGTAGGGGGGAAAAAGGACCTAGCCGAGCTACCGTGTCGAGCTTCAAGATCGCTTCTGCCTGCACGTTGATCTCATCAACGTCCACAACTGCCGGGTTCATCTCTTCATGAAACCCACAAAGGAAGGTCGCGTGGGTTGCCAGCGGAGGGATTGGTCCAAAAGAGCAGGCGAAAAGCAGGTACCGGGAGGAAATCCTTCAGCTCCTGGTTACGCAAGTTCTGAAGCCCAATGAGGCAGGTGGAAAGAGATTGTGTAGCTAATGAGTCCATGTGTTTTGCCAGAATCTCCCTTATTCCGAATGGAATGTTCGCAGGAATATGGCATTCTATATCATGGTGTCCGAGATCCCATCTGTTTATTGGCGATGGAGAAGAAGATGGCGTTTAGCGCCACCGCGGCAGTCAAAAAACGTGCCGCTGGCGTCTTCGGTATCAGTTGCCAGTATGGCAATGATGCTTTGTATATTTGCGTTCTTTCCATAAAGGCAAACAATTAAGCCAACAACCAGCCAGACAACAATGATTTCGCACAGTAGATGTATCTCACTGAATCCTGTAAAGTGCCCCTCACGTGATATGCTTCGAACGGAGGCAATGCTCAGAACGCGCACTCAATGCTGTCCGTCGTCGTCTCTCTCTGCGCTGGCCATGCACAAATGCCACTCTTCTATGATGCTATCTCCCCTCTACCACCCTTTCCTCCTCATCTCCCTCACCCTCATTACTGTAGCCCTAAAGCTCGCCTTAAACAACTTTCTCCACCTCTCACTCTTTAATCTCTTCCTCTTCAAGCCCGGTCTTTCATGAAATCGTTGGCGTGACAAGTCCTGCTTGACCTTGTTGACGGCACAAGAAATTTCCAAACCTCTCAAGGCACGCCCGAAATCCACTCCTCTTTCAGGAACCACCTCGATTGTACGTCCAATTGCTGGGCGTGATCGGACTGTGCGAGTGGCCCGCTTAGGCGTCTTCTGAGTATTCTCCAAAGTTCGGTTTGCATCACGGGAGACAATTCTGGGGGTGCCCGCGCTTGTCAGCTCCTGGGAAGGAGGAAACTGCATTTTTCGAAATATTTCTTGATAATGTTTGTCGGGGGCGCGTGTACGGTTGGAGTTTTGGAAAGCGGTTTCGATCATTGCGGCGGAGGATTCATCAGCTGGTTCCGAGGATTTTCTTTTGGCTGGAGTAGGAGTGTGGAAAGTCGAATCCAGAAGGCTGTCGAGCTGACTCCCAAGTATGTCATCTATAGGCCTTCTTTGCGAGGCTGGAGACCGAGAAATTTGCTCAGGCTTTGGCTGAGGCTTATCTTCGAGAAAGTCGAGGTCGGCCGCCGTGGACGATGCATTATCCCGCTGGCGACGAGTTGTGGTATGAAAATTCGAGCTTGTACATCTTGGCGACTTAGGCATGAGCAGTCGCAGCTGTCGAGAAGCCGCGGTCGATCGCCATAGTGGAGGAGTTGAATGTGTGAGGAAAGAGAGTAGTGGTGGCATTCGAGATCTCAGCAGAGGATTGCTCACCAGTCTAAGTTCCATGACTGAAAAGGGATTGAATTGACATACAGAATAATATCTCCGAGAGTGCACCACTCGGATCACGAATGTCAATGGATGCTTGTGGCTAATGCCATTGGTTCGGGAATACGTTTTCCCGTGCCGGTGTGTTTTTGGCTCAAACTTCAAGGCGAGCTTCATGTTTCAAGATTTTCTCCGTTGTGTACTTACACCAAGGGTAACGACGTGTCAAGAGAGCCGCATACTTTGGTACTGATGGCAAATCACTGACTCGACTATCTGAAGCCTTCACTGTTCTTTCCACATCTTCTAATGTACAACTATCAAGGTATAATGACCCTTTCGAGCATCCTTATAAGCTCCATGGCCTGAGCTCCACAGGTGATCCTGCTCAGATAACCCTCGAATTGCTGACATGGCTTTCAGGTGCTCCTGGCTATGGCCGTTCCCCAGCCTTTGGGGGCTTCCCCGGGGGCAGCGCTCCGCCCGGGATGGGAGCTCCACCCGGAACAGGTAGGCCGCAATCACTGCGTTTCGACAGCTTGTGCTGACAGCTTGTAGCTGCACCAGGTACAGCTCCTCCTCCAGGCATGCAGGCAAATAATCAGCAACCAGGCCGACCCGGTGGCTTCCCTTCGAGCTTCCAACCACCGGCCAATATGCCCAACATCAACTTCAACGCACCTGTCATACGCCTCGGCACTACTGGCCCATCGAAGCCAGCCATGTCGTTAGGGAACGAACCGCGGCGTGAGTCAGAGGCCAGATCAGCTCGCCCAGGTTTAGGGGCTGGCCAGGGCATGGACGCACAACGACAAGCTGTTCGCGAGAGCATGATGCAGCTGGTGCCACCTACGAAAGAAGAAATTGTAAGGACAATTTTCGTCGGAGGTATAACAGAAGGTGTGGGTGGAGATGAAGGGATAGAACGTATCTTACGGTGTACCGGAAATCTGAGGCGCTGGATCAGGGCAACGGATGCAGACAATAAAGCATGCAGATTTGGCTTTGCAGAGTACGAAGATCCCGAAAGTCTTGCTACGGCCGTAGAGGTGCTGAAAGAAGTCGAAGTACCCGTCAAGCCACAAGCTGTCAATGGTACCAAGAAGGAAAGAGACAGCGATGATGTAAAGGTCGAGAAGAGCAAAATATTGGTAGAGTTTTTCAAGCGACTGGTGCCTGCGGCCCTTGCTAACATCATATCTTAGGTCAACATTGACGACGCTTCATACAATTATCTTGAGCAATGGGAGGCATCACGAGGTGACCAAGACCCAATCCAAGCTCAATTACGTCTAGATGCGGCCAAAAGCGCTCTTGCAGGAGTTCTTGCAGATCTCGCCCATCCTTCAGCACCTATACAAACGAACGACATGTCGAATGTGGATCGCGACGGTGACTACTCGATGCAGAATGATGACGAAAAGCCAGATGCCGAAGTTGTGACCATACCCCTCTCAGCTGATGATGAACTATCTGATATCCCAGCCGAGATGCGGGAAACCGTCGCCAAGGAGATCCAAGCCTTCCGCGATCGCAGCACGCGTCGAGACATGGAGCGTCTGAGACGAGAGGAAGAGCTAGAGGCAATGGAGAGGCGCAGAAACATGAATCAGTCCAGACCTAGTCGTCTTGCGTCTCCCCCTCTGTCAGCACCAAGCGGCCCTGCTGGTGGCGCCAATGGTATTCCAGTCGGCCCCAGAGATAGAGGTGTACCTAATGCTCCTGCTGGGCCAAAAGGCTACACAGAATCGCAGATGCCGCGGGATTACCAAAAAGGAGTTACGTTTGTGAATGGAAGTGGTATCAATGGCGCAGGCGCCGCCGGCCTGATCGATCGAGAGGACGCGGATAGTGATGCTAGCGATGAAGAGATCGAAAGACGGAAACAGGAGAAGAAGGAAGCGGAGCTAGAAAAGATGTATCAAGATCAGCGGCGAAGATGGTTGAACCGCGAGCGAAGTCGGACGGCCGCCGTGGAAAGAGAGAAGGCCAGAGACAAGGAAGAGCAAGCGCAAAAAGAAGCTGAGAAGGAGGCTGTGGCCAAGCGCTTGAGAGAATGGAACGATGATGCTGAAGCGAGTCGCAAGGTCGAGGAATATTACGTGGATCGGAGCATGTGGATTCGAAATCGCGCTACGTTCAGGAATAGAGAGTCAAACATTGATGATGTGGATCGAAACGCAGAGGAGAAGGAGAATGCTAGAGATGCCCAGCAGAGAGAACAAGCGAGAGGCATGGCTGATGATTTCCTAAACCGACAAGCGATGGAGCTGGATATCAAGGCACCTCGTGAACCACAGCGCTTCAAGCTTTCATTGGGTGCAGCAGCTCAAAAGGCTCAAGCAGCTGCTACAGGCCGACGAACGGTTGCTGAAGTTGAAGGCTTACTTGAAGACGAAGAGGAGGCAGACAGCTCTGCGAAGAGGATACTTATTCCCATCAAATTCGATAACGCAGCTGATGCTATGGGTCTGACCGAAGAAGAGAGAGCACAAGCTGCACGACAACTGGCCGCAGATATACCTTCAGATAAGGATGGATTATGGAAGTGGCCGGTCAAATGGGAATTTGTTGACGAGACTGTTCTTGGCGAACAACTCAAACCTTTTGTGGAGAAGAAGATCGTCGAATATCTTGGGGTGCAGGAGCAGATGCTGGTTGAGGTTGTTGAGGATCATATTCGAAAAAGAGGTGAACCTCAAGCTCTTGTGGGAGAATTGGAAGGGGTAAGCCATACTAGACTCGATTGCAGGAGACATGCTAACAGACACCTATAGGCTTTGGATGAAGAAGCGGAAGTACTCGTGAAGAAGCTCTGGCGAATGATCATATTCTTCAGCGAGTCCGAAAAACGAGGCTTGTCAGCATAGATAGCTCATCATTATGCAATGCAGCACGTATGCGGAAACCTTTTCTGCCAAAAACTTTATCCTCACAGTCCGTTAAGCGAAATAACACGCGAGAAGCCTGCGTTCAGCTTACAGATCTTGTGTGTTAGTCTTCGGTCGATGCTGAAATCGGTGTTCCTCCCCTATGCGCCTGCTATAATGGGTGGTGCACGACAAGACAGTGAGGTAGGAACGGGCAACCCTTTTCATCTCACACTTCGGACGCCTGCTCCCGTGGTCAACCACATCCCATCCCCCTTCAGATCCATTCATTCGTGACAGATTTTACAGCATACCATTGCAGCATCCTCTACGAAAGTCCTGATCCACGCATCTCGCAATTGGCATCGACAGAGCCATAACCCACGGTTTCTTGCGCTCCTTGTCACACTCGTTCATCATGTTCTTCTCCATGGTGCGCCTTTCCCTGATGGCAGCAGGTTTCCTCTTACCTATCCATGTCCAAGCCGTGGCGTTCAGCGTCGACAGCTTCGAAGGCATCGCCGTTGGCAAACCCATGAGCCTCAGCTGGTGGGGTGATAAGACCGTACGATCCACCACCTTCATCCATCCCAACGTATTGAACTGACGCCCGTCACGCTCTCAGCCAGTCACCATCAAGTTACTCCAAGGACCCCCAGAGGCACTCGAGGCAGTGGTGACCATCGCACGTGAGTCGATCACCGCCCTAGATGCTCATTTCAAAGACTGACCGCCAAAAAGCCAACCTAGCGGGAGACTCGTACACCTGGACGCCGACGACCATTCCAGCCGGCACGTACGTTCTCTCCATCACACAAGGAACGTGAGTCGCCTACCTCCCGGCGCGTAAACCACCCCTAGCGGCTGACGACCGCAACAGCGAAACGAACTACTCCCCCCAATTCCCTGTCGCCGGCACCCCCGCCCCTGCCTCCGCCGGCGCAAAGCCTGTGACCAAAGCTGTACCCCCAGTGGCCACCGGTCATGTCCTCCCGCCCGCTTTGATCGCCGCTCATTACCCCCCCGCCGGTTACGACAATGGCAGCAGGGGCATCTGCGCGCCTGACGCGTCCGGAAATGGCACCTCTGCCGCTTTCCCATGCGATTCGAGCGTCGAGCGGACTTTGGGCCATTTTCCGCGCTCCGTGGCTGGGATCGTCAGGACCGGTGGGGCTATTGGTGCTGCGGTGGTGGGAATGGCTTTTGCGTGTATGTTGGTGCTTTAGATCCTGGATGGATGGTGCAATGGCTGAGGACTGGTGACTGCGGGCGGGATCTGGAACAGTGGACCAGGTGGACAAGGTTCTCGGTGCACGCTCGCAGGGTCTCTACATGCACCGTGTTGCTTGACGTAGGTTTGCTCTTGTTGTTCGTTAGCAACACATCATCCTATAATCCAAATGGAATGAGCTCTGCAAGCAGTCTTTGAATGCTCCCGGTCTATGCTTCTAGGGTATCCGCAGGCGTGAGCCAAATCATCTCTATCATGCACGGCGGTCCGTTGCAACTATGCATCCTCCTTTGTGGTCATGTCCAGCATCGACGCCGTCTTCCCCAACCCCTTCCAAAACTCGACCCTCTCCCTCAATATCTCCCGGCACCATTCTTTCATTCCGTCCAACTTCACCTTCTGAGCGACCCACGAGAACTCCCCCAGATCCAGTTCCCCCTCCCCTCGGTGCTCGTACTCCACCATCTGCAGCAACAACTCCACCTTATCGACGTCGTGCACGAACAGACTCTCCAGCGTCTTGCTCTCCTCATACTCTTCGAAGATGGCCCGTATGCCCTTCCCTTGCTCCCCCCGCCCCCACTGCCCCAACAGCCCCTCCTCGCCGCAAAGGTACTCCATCGTCTCCGCCTCCCTCCTCGCCTTCTCCTCCTTCGGCACCTGATCCCTGGGCGTGATGTCCCCGACGAGCAACTCCGCCATGTCGTGCACCAAAGCCATCTTCGTACAGTGGGGCACGTCTAGCCGGGAGCTGAGGGACGGCGGGGCAAGCATGGTGATGATGGACATGCGGTACATGTGGTCGGAGATGGATTCGCCGGACGTGATGCCGAAGCGGCGCCAGCCTTCGCGTTTGGTGGTTTTGAGGCGCTCGAGGAGGTGGAGGAAGGGGAGGGGTGAGGTGGATTGGGAGGTGGGTCGTGCGGTGGGGAGGTTTGCGAGGGCTGTTGGGCTGTCAGTGTTTGGGTTTTTTGACTGTTGAATGAGGTAGAGAAGAGGCAAGGCGAAGGAGGTGGAGGAGCGGTTATTGTTTACCTGATCGGACGGACCATGGCTCTTCTGGGGCGGCTGCTGCAGGCGGGGCGCTGGAGACAGCATCTGATGTATCATTGAGTTCGGAGTGGACGGTTGAGTTTGCATTGTCTGATGGTGAGAGTGGAGCGGACATGATTATTGATTGACTTTTGGTCTAAGCTCGATGATTCTGGTTGAGAAAGGGCGGGTCGGTGGTTGAAGGGTAAAGAAGGAAGGCAATTCTAAGAAATTGTAGGGAGAGAAAAGAAGGGAGGGGCACGCTTGCTCATATATACATGTTCTTCGTCTTTAAAAATGTTTGGACGACGATTGTCTGGGTCATGAGAACAAAGACGAGAGCATTGATGCAGCCCGGAAGCGCTTGTTTTAAGGCTTGTCCTTAGTGGGGCATACCTAACCGCTGTTTCTACCCTGCTTCTAGGCCCTCAAATGGGCTTCTAGGCCCTTTCCAGCGGATCTTCAGGCACCGTCTCGGGTCATTGTGTTTACTTCGCGTCAACTGTCCCTGGCCTACCAAAGTACCATTTCGGACCACGGTCCTGTCTGACAGTCAACTCCATTCTCTTTGATCTACCGAATTGTTTCACTATCCCAATCATTCTGTTTTCCGCTTTTCACTCTATGATGACTCAAGATACGAGACATCGAAATGAGCAAACATTCAGCTGCCTCAGCTCCAACGCATGCGGCTCCAAGCATCTCGCTACTGCTCACCAACCTCCACCTTCTTGACCTCGATAGCCGCGATGACTGGCCTTCAATCACCGCCCAAACATTTACGAGCAAGAATACTCTGCAAAACGAGAAGGCCCGAATTCAATGCGTTGAGTGGGCCTTCTACCGCTTGTTTGAGATTTGGGACCCTGTGGAGACCAAAGACGTCAGACCATGCTCGTACATGTTGAAGTCGCTTCTTGCTAATAGGGAATAGAAGCTCGGACCGTTCTTTCCTGCCTTCGTGCCGCTGCAATCCCTGAATCTACGTGCCGCCCTCTTCAGATGTCTGAATGAACTCAAGAAGAACGCAATACTGGGAAAAGATGTGATAGTCAGAAAGACCTTTTTTGACGACTGTAAGGGTGAAAGGATCCAGGAGTTGCTAGTCTCGTTTTCGACGCTTGTTCTACGAAAGGTTCTGGCCGCCGGACTCGGTGGGAAAGCATGTATTGCTGCACGGCTTGCTACAGCCAAAGCTCTCACGGCGAAAGACCAGAGGTCTTTCTTACCTTTAGCTGTTGCCCACCGAGCATCTTTGACGGCTCTCCTACACAAGAAGAAGGACTTGAGAGAAAAGTACAAGGACTTCGGCCGCACTCTGGATGCGAAGGAGCGAGAGCTAAATCAGAGATTCGAAGCTGCTGTCTCAACTCAGGATCTTCTTGACAAGAACCCCATGCCTGATCACAAGGTCGCGCGTGTATCGAAGCTATTCGAGAAGAATTGGCAGGGAGACCGTAGGCCTCTGGAGGTCATTGCACAGGGCGAAGAACAGGGAGTGGAGGACTCTTTACTGGACAGACCATTTTCGGAAACTTGGCTGCAAATATCTGCTGGCACTTTCGATGGGGCAACCGGAACCAGCTGGCAGGGTCTCCTACAGGACTTGGACAAGAGGGTAGCAACCCAGGAGGCAAGGCTCACTGACTGGAAGAACTTCAGGGAGGCAATGAAGAGAGATGACAAGGCTATATCGGCTGCCCGTGACACAAGCTCAACGTTGATACAAATCCGAGATAAGAATTCGCATGACCAGAGACAAAGAGACTTCGTCTTTAGCCCGAGAAAAAGCCCGAGGAAGAGCGATTGGGAGGTGGGGGAAAGAAAGAACGAAACATCGCCGACCCACCCGATGCGATTGAGAAAGGAGAATACTCAAGACGAGCTCAAGGAGCGGGACCCTGTTTTTAGCCCAAGGAAAAGCCCTCTGAAGAGTATGCTACCAGTCGAGGATCCAGGAGCCGACACATCTCCCGCTTACTCGCGAGCAGCTTCGAAGCAGAAGGAGACAGAGAGTGTGGCCACTCGGAATGGAGACCTAGGTGGTATTACAAAAAGCCCAGTACGAGGTAATCTGCGGGACTATCAAGAAGGAGACACCGCCAACTCCTCTTCTCATGTGTCTAGTATGGACAATACGGATGAGTCTGGCTTCTCCGAAATCTCTGACGGACAGCTCCAATTAAGCGAACCATCAGACCACACGGTACGCATTGATCACTTAGACTCAACGCAACATTTAGATCAGAATGGAGCGTCATCAACCCCCAACAATAAAAAGGACGAACCGCAAAAGCTTGAAAATAGATTCAGCGACATTCCCAGGCCATCAGACCATCCACATACGCTTTCCACCAAAAACAGCGATCCAGCCACGTTGGACGATGATGACTCTTGGATTTCTTCTCTACCAGTGGAAGACAAGCAGGAAGACATAATTGAATCTGAGTCGCCAAATGAAGACGACATACTCGCGGAGCAGATCGTCTCAATGACCATCAACGCCGTTCCAACGCCCGCAAAGTCCAAAGTGTCCCTGATAGAAAGGACCCGTCAATCGATGGCTTTGGCCAGCCCTGTCGGGCTGCAGAGTTTGCTACCAGAAGGACCTCCCTCAACGCCATTGCCTCCTATAGCCTCCAAGACATCACATCCAACTACCGATCCTAGCGGTCCAACGACCCTCCTCGAGCGCACGAGACAATCAATCTCACTGGTACCCTCAATTCCCAAAGGATCTCGCAAATCCATGCTTGACCGCCGCACTTCCAAACCTTATCCAACAAATCAGTTTGAAACACCCAAGAGACAGCTGGAGAGGGTGACTGAATTGACTCCGCCGGAAGAGCTATTCAGCCCTGGAGCAGGGTATGATAGCGTCTTCAAGAGTAGGCCGAAAATTGCGTACAGTCCGAATCCCTCGCCTAAGCCTGGTGATGATCCCGAGACGGATGCTGCTGAAGGCGAGAGGAATGGCAATGGCAGGGTTAGGAAGGGGCAGAGGGATGCATCGCCACTAGCAAGAATGACGACCAAGGTCTAGGGTTTTCGCTTGCGGAGAAAGTAGCTTCAATGAGAAAATTGAAGACCTTGAGTGCTATCTGTCATAGTCTTCGCTGATATACATTATTATGTTCGCACTGCTGATATCCCGCAGCTTTGAATACAGTAGCACGTCTCCTTCCTCACACGTGATAGATCTGCTTGACCGCCAGGATGTGCCCGGCATGACGAAGAGACTACTACGTGCCCTGATTCTTAGATACTCTCAAAAGCAATGTCAGAATAGCCTGTCTGAGACCGGGCGTGCTTCCCTACACAACCCAGGCGAATTCCAAAGACAGCGACCTTTTGCCGCACAATGCAGTGCCACGGTCTGAACCAGTAGCACAGATTCCGGAGGCCCGCAACCGGTGTCTCTTTCGAGGTCCATCGAGAGGCGGGAGTGACGACGACGCCATTCACGATTTGCAGACTTGATCGAACCTCTTGACGAGCTCCTGTGACCACGTATCGTTAGCGTCGAAACCCCGAGACCAAGTCTCCGTGACGATGGACCGGAACACTGGTCGTACCTCGAAGTCGCAATCGTCCATGCTTCCAAACACCGCGTGCTTCCCCAGCTTCTCCACGGTAACCCTCGGGCTCGATATGCCAAAGGCAACCCTGGCCAAGAATCGCGCGTCGTCCCGGACCGTGGTAGCGGCCAGAATCGCCTTGATCTTCCGCTCGTCAATACGGCCTTTGCGAGACTGGTTGTGCGCTTGGATGAATTTGACTTGGGTTTTCGTAAGACAGAAGTTGCAGTGTCCACAACCTCCTTTGGGCACAGTACCATCGTCCGCGAAATGTCTGGCCAGTTCCCGACTCAGGCAGCCCTTGGTGGTGACGAGGTCGATAACTTGCTGGACTCGTTCCATGTCGCTCTTTTCTCTGGCCTCAATCTGCGCGTAGATAGATGTGGTTATCTGACGCTTCGCCTCTTCCCCTTGCGGGAAGTCCTTGAGAACGCGGAAGCGGTTCACCACACCACTTGGCTGTAGTTCAATAGCTCCAGAGTCGTTCCATTCTTGCAGTTTCTTCACCGCGTCCGCTCGCTGGAAGCCTCCGCTACCAGCAGCTGCGTCGACGTCGATTCGCGTCCACTTGTGGGCAGTCTTGCTCATCTTTTTGAGTGCCTTGGTAACCGGAGAGCCATCCGCAGTGCGGCTCTCGAAAGCTTGAGACTTGATGTATTTATACTCGGAATACTTGGGCTTGATTGCCCTGATGAGCTCAAAACGAAGCTCGAGCTGCGCGTTCAAGAGATCCAGTGCATTTTTCTAGGGGAAGGTAAGGGGTTGTTTCCTCGTAATTTAGGAGTAGGGAGGCTTACACGGATGTCCCACTCCCTAGACTCCTCATTCAGATTCCGTTCAATGACATCCCCTGCCTTAGCATATCGGTGAAGTTCCAAGAACTCCCCTACCAAACCTTTGACACTCCTCAGGCTTGGCACGTCGGCCCTAGACCATTCCTCCATGATCTTGATGTCCTCGGCGCAAAGATAGATCATGCAGGTACTCTCCAGGCCATCACGTCCAGCGCGTCCGATTTCTTGGCTGTAACCTTCAAGGCTCTTGGGGACGGCGTAATGGACAACGTTGCGGATGTTCGATTTGTCTATACCCATACCGAAGGCGATCGTAGCGACGATGATGATGTTATCTGAGGCCATAAACTTGTCTTGAATCGTGGTTCTAGCGTCATTTGCCATTCCAGCATGATATCCATGGGCATTGAATCCGTCTCGTTTTAGACTTGCAGTTATAATGTCCGTTTGCTGTGTGAGGATTAGAATCTGTGCACTTGCAATGGAGGTCTCATACGTACATCATGTGTTTGAACGTAGACTATGGAAGGTCCTTTATGCTTTTTTAAGAATGTTTTCACAGCTTCCTCCTTGTCCTTAGCAGACTCGAATAATAGATAAAGACTAGAAACTATTAATAGACGAAGTAGCTATTACTTTTAGAGCGGCGATAGTATTTATAGAAAGGGCGAATAATAAATTTAAAATTTAGATAGTCTTAGACGAAGTATATAAACTAGTTATTAACTTAAGTAATCGAGATAGTAATATAAAGAAAAAGATTATATATATTAAGTATTAGATAGCTAGTCTAAAAAGTAATATATCGATAACTAGCTACGTTAGCGTACTAAAGGCCGATTCTTAATATTCTTCTTTACTATTAAAGAAATTCTCTATTATATTATTAGTAATATCAAAATAAGATTAAGTATTATATAATAAGCTAAATGAGATTATTATAAAGTTATAAGATAAGATAATAAGTAAAGTATTAAAGAGGAAGATATCGAGCGAGATAATTACGATAATTAATAAATATATAAAGAGTATAAATATTATAAGAAAATCTATTAGAACGACTAGAAGGCTAGCGAGTAGCGATATATATATTATAGCTATAAATAAGAAGAAGGCGAATAGATTAAGAAAAAGTAAGGATTAGACTTTAAAGATAAGTAATAACACGAGAGTAATTACTAAAATATATAGTCTTCTACTTTATAAAGTAAGAATTAATATATTTAATATTAAAGATATAACTACGATAATTAAAAGAGTTTAGAATAAGAATATTAATACGCTAAGTCTCGATATAGTATAACTAGACTAATTTAACGCGAATAAAGAGAATTATAATAAGAGTTTATTAATTATCGAATTAGTATCTCTAGAGAAAGAAAATAGAGTACTAAAAGAAGGTCTAGTTATCGATTCGAAACTATATAGCTATTACGTCTATAATAAGTAGTATAGATTAAAGTAATACTTCGTATATTGGAAATACGATTATCTATCGACTATATATTCTAAAAAGAATTACTTAGTATACGGGAAATACTTAGAAAAGTATTATTATAAAGAATATACGGCCGATACTCGTAAATATTCGATTTGCGAGGGATTATATAAGGCTTAAAATAAGATATATTTAGTAAAGAAGAGGGAGATAGCGAGAATAAGAATAGCGAGATAATAAACTTCTTTACGATTTATAATAACGAAGGAAGTATCGATTAGCTATTAAATAAGCGATTAATTAAATAATTACTTTTAGAATACGTTTAATCGTAGGCGAAATAAGGAATTTTTTTTAAGGCTAGTATTTACGCGTAATAAGTTAATAGATAGAGATAGAATAGTTAATAAGAGAGGAATTAGAGGGCCGAACCTCGAAAGAACTACTATATCGAATCTTTAGTCGAGTAAAAGAAGATATACTTTTATATTATTAATAAGGGTCTTATCTAGAAATAGATCGCTCTTTAAAGTAGTAAATGAAGTTAAATAATATAAGAACGATATAGCGATAGAGGAAATTAATAATCTCGAAAATGATAGATAGCCTCTAAGTTAAAAGAGTAATAATAAGAGAATTACGATTCTCGTTAATAAGAATAAAAAGAGATATATTCGATTTATCGACGATTAAGAAAAGAAGAATACTTAGAAAGAGAATATAAACTCTATAAACTAGGCGAAGCGAGTAAGTAATATTAATAATAATATCGAGAAATAATAGTATATCTTAGTTAGCTATTAATACTATAATATAATATAAGAAAATTTAAAATAATTATAATAGAACTCTTCGATAATAAAAAGATCTATAATATCGATATAGTAGTAATTTAGAAGCTCTTAGAGAAATACTAATATAAATATATCGTATTATTCTCTAAAGAATAGATTTAACTTAATCTATCTCTATTATAATAATATATAAGTATACTTCTATATTAATAAGAGAATATTATTAAAGTAATAATATTTATTATATTACTTATTAAACCTCTATACTCTTAATATTAAATTCGAAAATAATAGAATTATATATATATATAATATTTATAACCTCGACGACTAATAAATAGATAAACTTAACGAATTATATAAGACGCTTATAAAGTCTAAGAATAACGAATAGATTATACTAGGCGACTTTAATCTATACTATATAATATAAGAGAAATTAAATACTTATATCGATAAGAGAGTAAAAGAACTAATACTTATAGCGAAAGAATTCGCTATAAAATAAGTATTATTAGTAGAAATAATAATATATAAAGAAAACTATTAAATAATAATAAATCTACTATTCGCTACTTTAGTATTAATAATAAATATTATTAACTATAATATCGAAAATAATTTCGAAAGCGAATCTAATTATCTTTTAATTTTTATAAAGCTTAAGCTAGTCGTAATAGAGTTAGTATTAATAATACATCGAAACTTTAATAAATTAGATATCGAGGTTTTAAGAGAGATACTCGCTAGAGCTATAATATCGAAAGAGTATTTAATTAATTCTCTAGAGAAATAATAAAAATCTTATTAATAATAATATCGATTATTAAGTAGCGATTATTATTAACTCTATTTAAGCGGCTATAGAGAAGTTTACTTTCGATTATTAAATTATCGCTATAATCTAGATTAAGATTTATATTAGAATATAAGAAAGTATAAAGGCGTTATAAATCGCTAAAAAGAAGTTGAAGAATAACGCTCTTAAAGAAAGTATAAGATAAGTATAAAGTCGCTAAGAACTTTAAAAATAATCTAATTAAGAGAACTATTAGAAAGGCGTTTAGAGAGTTCGTAGTAGAGGCGTATAAGTCGTTATAAATAATATAAAAAAAGATTAAGTAGATTAGAAAATAACTTATAATATAGATATATCTCTCTTCGCTATTTAATAAAGATAAATAAGAATATAACGAATTAGATTTAAAGATAGATCTTCTTATAAGAATATTCTTTTTATTATTAATATAGACGAAGTTAGATAATATTAGCGTCGATATAACGTACTTATAAGTTTATCTAATAAGTATAATTATTATAAATAAGATAAGAAAGACTATAACGTAAGATATCGTTAAAGAGAGTATCGAGAGAAAACGCGATCTCTAATCTAATTCTTAAGAAGATTCTAAAGTCGTTACTTTCTTATCTATATAGAATATTTAATATATATATAACGAACGACTACTATCTAGAGCACTTTAGAATATTAATAATAATTATTCTTTTAAAATCGGGTAAAGATTATTTAATTTCTAAAGAATATCGATTAATAGCTCTACTTAATACTATAGAAAAGATAATAAAGTTTATTCTTACTAGAAGAATAGCATATCTTACGAAGATATATAGACTTCTACTAGTTATATATATAAGAGGCCGTAGATTGCGGTTATATAAATATAATATTTACTATCTTCTAGAAAGAATATATTAAATCTAAAACTCTAATAAAGTAGCTACGATATTACTACTAGACGTTTTAGATATATATAATAAAGTCTCTTATTCTCGACTACTTTATAATCTTTAAAAGCGAAAAATCGATATAAGAGTAGTTAACTAAATAGAATCGTTCTTATTTAATAGAATAATAATATTAAAAATAAGCGAATACTTTATATTAAAGACTCTTATAGTAATCGAAATTTCTTAAGAATTACCGCTATCGCCTATACTTTATCTCTTCTATAACTTAAATCTTATCGATAAATATAATAATCGCGTCGACTTAGAAATAATAGCTATCGACTTTATAAACGATATAGACCTTCTAATAGTAAGAAGACTTTATCGAGAAAAATTATAACGCTTTTTATAAAATCTACGATAAAGTTTATATAAAGTAGACGTTATAATATAAATCGAAGTTTAATTCTAATAAATATTAACTATTATATCTTAGTAGAAAATAGAGATTTAGCTTAAATTATTCTCTATAACTTAATAAGAGATAATATATTAAGGCGAGACGCTTTATTCGCTATCTAGAAGTCGAAATTAACTTTAAACTTCTATAGAGCTATTATAATAAGAAGATTCGATTTAAGACTATTAAAAGTATCGATATATTAGCGAGAATTATCGAATCGATATAGGGTAATAATTATAAGAGTATAAGATAGCTCTATTAGGCGATAATTATTTTATAAATAATATATTACTACTTAGTATAATATTAGCTCAAAGATACTATCAACTATAATAAAACTTATCTCTTATTACTATAAAGAATTTAATCTTAGATAGAGAGAAAGATAATTAAAGTATTTAAGATTATATTTATTTTAGTACTTAATATAGAAGTATATCTTCTATTTTAGTTAAATAATAGCTAGATAAGATTATCTTAAAAGCTATCTTATAAATCGCTATTAGTTTAATATATAGCGAGATTATTAAATTATAATTTAAGCGATAAAAATCTAAAAGAAAATCTAAGAAGAATAGAAAACTAAGTTTACTAAAGCGATATATTAATAGATTTAAAGAACAATATAGCGATATTAATAAGATTAAGAAACTACGCTTTTTTAGCGTCGCCTTCGACTAAGAGTCTTTTAAAATAATAATTTATAAGATTAAGAAAGCCGCTAAAGAACTAGCTAAAAGATCGATTAATAAGAGATATATAATAATATATATAGACGATAGCGGGATTAATAAAAAGATAAGAGTATTAGCTATATCGTTAGATATTAATTCTACTTTTAATATCTATTTAAGCTTAAGCGACTAATATACGATATATTCGACGAAGTTATATAATATTCTTTAAGCTCTAACTATAATAGTTATATACTAAATAAAATTATAACTTAGTAGAGTTATAGTAAATATAAATAATTAAATATTAATTTAGACTATCAAAGATTCGAATAAGTATTTAAAATAGATCTATATAATATAGATAGTATAGATTATTAATTCGCTAAGATATCTCGAGATAGTAATAGAATTATACTAAATTTCGATATATATTAATATTAATAATAATAAATAAGCGAATAAAGAGGTGAAGAAGGCTATTAGCTAGCGAGAGCGAGTAATTTATAATAAAAGAGTAAAGATAAATACTAACGAAATAGTCTAATTATTAATTATATAGATAAGAATAATATCGATAATTAAGATAGCTATTAAAGACTACGCGATAAAATAATAAACTATTAAATAGATTAATAAGAAGCGAGGCGATATTCTTAGAAGAATTTAATTAATATCGTCGAAATAAATATAACTTCTATATTCGAGAGTTAAGCGCGCTAAGACGTCGCTAATAACATAAATAAAAATCGAGAAAATAGATCTTAAGGCCTTTCTTTATAATCGATGAATATCGAATATAGAGAATAAAGAATATAAGTATAAAGCGAAGTAGACGACTCGATATATTCTTTATAAATATAAGCTATTTAATAAGAAGCGAGGAATATAATAGATCGAAGAAGAAAGAAGAAAGATAAAAGAGAGGTTATTACTTATAAGGATATGCTAATAAAGCAATAAACTACGCTACGCCTCTATAGCGGCGGACTTTATAAGAAGTATTAGGCTTATTAGATAATATTAAGCCCTTAATAAGAACTAATAATAAGAATTTACTAGAGTAGGCGGTTAAAAAGAAGAATACGATTAAGACGGAGAGGGCCTTAGCGATATAGAGTATACCCCTTCCTAAGAATCAAGTATAATAAGACGTAGAACCATGACGGTGACTTATATAGCCTCATTTATTTGAGACTATATAATTGGCCGAAAGGATCAGATAGATTACGTAACTCGCAGCATGTTAATGATGCGCTCTTCAACCTCCGACAGTTGCACTTCGGCATCTTCGATATGACAATCCACGAGCCAAAAAGCCACGAAGAGGCAGAAGCCTTCAAACTGAGCGAAATGTACAACAAGCTCGGCTACGAAATCACCCAGCTCGACTCGCCAGCCCAGCTAGGCGGAGGCTATGACTGGGGTAAGTGCTTCATCCCCCCTTTCCCGATCCCTTTCCCCCTTGTCTGAAGTCCATACTAACCACACGATCCCTCATCCAGGCCACGGCGAAACAACCTTCGGCCACCTCCTCGGCGGCTACGACGCCGGCTACTACGGTTACCTCTCCAGCCAAGTCTACAGCGCCGACATGTTCCACACCGTCTTCGCCAAAGATCCCATGAACCGGGAAGAGGGCAGGCGGTACAGACACATGGTGCTCGAGAAGGGAGGGAGCCAGGATGAGATGGAGACGTTGAAGGGGTTTTTGGGAAGGGAACCGAACGGGGATGCGTTTTACCGGGAGCTGGGGCTGGCGTGAGGATGGCGGTGGTGATGGGGGGGGGGGAGGGGAAGAGAAGAGGGGCTCGTAAGGGGATTGGCTTGGCGAGAAACGGCGTGTATGATATCCGTGACTTTGGGTGGCCTTTGAGTATGATCCGTTGCGGCTTGGCTTCAGTACTTGGTATATCTCATTCTTCTATGACAACAAACGGAAAACTTCTGACCCTCGAAGGAATCTGTGTCCCAGAGCATAAATGACTCTTCTATCCTGCTTCCTAAACAGCGGAGAGTCTAGCCTTTCATTAAGCCATACACCGACCTCTAAGCCTCAGCTTCAACCTCCTCTGTCCCATCCTCCTGCGCCTGCCCCTCCGCATCACCATTCACACCATCCTCCGCAGGAACCTCCTCACTCACATCCACCAACGTCTTCGTCTTCCCTTCCCTCTCCATCGTCAGATACTCATCCCATTCAGGGAACAAATCCGCATCTCCCTCCCCATCGGCTGGCGGTACGCCCAGCATCCTGCTCACTTTACCCTTGGAGCTCTTCTCCAGCCCCTCCTTCCACCGCGCAACGACTTCCTTACATCGACTTGGCTTGTAAGTCTGCGTAAAAAGCACAGCCTCGGCGGTTCGGTTGGTGCGAACAAGGAGGTCAATGCAGCCATCGATATCGCCCAGGTGCCAGAAGCAAGAAAACGAGATGTTGTGAGATCCCGCAAGATCTGCTTGAGCGGTCAATTGCCGCAGTCCATCGATATTGTTAGTTGCCGTGTGCAACAGCAACAACGACCCCATATCCTTAGCGTTGGAAAAACACTCTTCGGCCAGCGCAAGGTCCCAAGCCGTAAGCGCAGCATCGCCAACGGTTTTCCATCTATGCTCGACATCAGCTTCGCGAGCGATTTCAAGAGCGATGGGAAGATTGTTGAGGGCGAGAGCGAGATCGAAGCGATGTTCCGGGTCCGTCGCGACCTCGAGGGCCATTTCTTTATAGCCTTGCCCCTCAAGGAAACGGGCGATTTTATTCTTCTGGTCATCCGCAACGTCTTCGAGAATTTGAGCAGCTGAGTCCATGTCGCCGCGGAGGACGAGGGTCTGGTATTCGACGACAGAGAGGGAGAGAGCGTAGGAGATGACATTGACGTCTTTGTCGGCCACGTACGCCTTGCCATCGCGAGGAAGGTAGCCGAGGAGGTACATGGGCTGGTCGAAATGGGAAACAGTATAGGTTTGGTCGCCCACGAGGTAATTGAGGCGGTTGGTGCTGTTGGTGTAGATGAAGCAGTCGCCGACCCATTGGCCTGTGCGAACGGACTCGTTGATGTCGGTCACCACTTCGAAGGCGGCTTCAACGCCATCTTCGTCGCCGAGACCCTGTTGGAGGGCTTCAACGTAGTTTTCGCGTGAGAAGCGGAGGACGTAGAAGGTCTCTTCACAGGCAAGCGTAACAAGTTCACCAGATTCGGACCAGTACACCTGAGTACACGTTAGCGTTGTTCCTATGCAAATAACGAGGCCAGCTCACATTCTTAGGATCAACTTCTATCCTCCGCACCAGAGCACCCGTCTCCCAGTCAAAGAGCCCAATCCCACCTTGACCCCGTACGCCTAATAATACACCGCCGCTCAAACCTTCCGCTTGAAAGCCCACATCAATGCCATTGCCTTTCTCTTTGAAGTTGCTGAAGATCTTGACACTCAAAGCCGATTCTCGTATCGCATAATCATTCGTCTTGGTATTAACGCCCCACGCAAAATCCTGAGCAGACCCGAATGCTTTGTTACGCCAAGCAAGAGCAGTGTAAATAATGTACTCACCATCTCCGCAGACAGAGACGAAACGACCATTGGGAGAATGAGTAAGGGTCTGGGGGTAGATCTCACAGTTGCCGAGCTCCTTTGATGGCAGGCTTATTGGAGAGCCATCTTTGATAGTTGCATCACCACCTTTGATCATGGCGGATAGTATCTCGCTGTGCCGAGCCCATATGAGTTTCCCTGAATTGTCCATTGACACAGCTGGCTCTTCACGTCCCATCTTCACTACCACAGCACCATCATCAAATCCCACGGCAACGCCCTGCTTCCCACGCTGGTAGCTGACACACCAAGCTCGTTCCAAGCCATATGTCAGAGACTGCTCTAGTCGGTAGGTATTAGCATGCCATATTTTGACGGTACCGTCTTCCGATCCAGAGATGATAATTGGTAGTTCGGGATGATAGCAGGCGAAAGAGACATTGCTGGTATGGCCTTCGAGAGTAGCGATGAGTGACTTTGTAGTGTAATCCCAAATCTTCACAGTCTGGTCATCCGATGTGGTAAGAAGGTATGGTTTGTCAGCCTGTGGGTAGTAGTCGACGTGATTCACTCCTTTGGTTTCATGCGCTTCTAGGGTGTAGTTTGCATGCCCTGAGCCAAAGCTCCATATCTTGACCGTTCTGTCTAGACAAGCCGATGCAAAAGTGTTTGTGTCCTTGGGGTTTATTGCCATGCCCATAACGTAGTGACTGTGACCCTCATACACCTGCACACATTTCCAACCCTTGTCCCAATCCCATAGCTTTATTGTCATGTCATCTGAGGCGGTAAGAACGAAAGGCTGTGTAGGGTGAACAATAATAGCGCGGATGTAGTCAGGGTGAGCTTCGAAGGAGGTGATTTTCTCGGAGGTATTGTAGTTGTAGACACGGACTTGGAAGTCATCTGAGCCGCACACAATCCAATTCTTGCGGGCGATGAAGCGCCCTGCTCGTACGGGAACATCGGTGAGCTCGAAAGTTTTGACAATCGCCTATGACATCTCAGCGCACCACCTTGCTATAAGTAATGCTGGGGCCTACCTGTGTTTCGTATGACCATATATAAACATGCCCTTCAATCAATTAGCTCTGCTAGCGTCTTGAGCCATCTTTTGGGTGCGAGTGATTGATTCGTACCGCTGTATAGTGTGGTGAGTATCTAGGAGCTGTTAACCTATGCCTGCAATACATGTGTAGCGTGGGGAAGATACCCATGGCTCTGTGGGGTGAAAATCGATGCCCTTGACTCTCTCGGACCTAGCAAAAAGCTGCCTCTGGAGATTCGCGTTGAAGTTAACCATCTTGATCATGGGAGTAATGGTATGTAGCAGCTCTGGAGCTCAGCCAAGCTTACCTTGACGTCTAGACGCATCTTTGCGCCTTGTGCTCAATGCAGGGGAAGGTGCATACGGAGTGCCTCGGGGCGGTTCAGGAACACTTTTGCGAGGGAAGTTGTGATCATCCACAAGTCAACGTTTGAGTTACGGCTAGGGTTCAAGTAGGCATCTGGAATAGCAAAAGCTCAACTGTAGGGCGTTGAATTGAACAGCTGGCAGCGGACACATCGGACTTTCTTTCGCAGTCAAAATGCCAAGACTTTGGTCGCTTACACTCAGCCCTATGGCGCTGGATCATCAGGGATATCATCTTGTGCCGCTCGCCTCGTCCGTTGGGATAATACCAAAATCATCGAGTTCTCCAGAAGTGTGTCACAGGACCTCTAAAAGTGCATAACATTTGCTACTGAATTGACATACTCGGAAATGGCAGACTACTCCCTCTATCTGAATGTGGGCTGTCATGCAAAAAAGGTCCATCTGTGCCCAAAACATCATCTGCCCGGGTCTACTCGTAAACTCGAAGAAAATGAATATGCAGGGTAGACACCATACTCTAGAGAGGGACTAAGGATTCACTGTCAGATATGGACCAAGACTAGTAGATCTAGAGGAAAAGATGATGAGATTCCATACTATCTATGCACGTTCTAATCCAAACTATCAGTACAAACTATCAATAACCAATAACGTGATTTCCCAGTCAGCAGAAGTGTCCTCCTTGGTACCCATATCAAATCCTTCGTCCCAAAATTTCACAAGTCACTTTAGCGAGGGGCTGACGGCTCGAAAAGATAAGCAGGCAGCTCCGCAGGTAATTCTGGCAGCATGCCAACAGGTCCAGCATCATGCTTGACACTTCCCCCAAAATTTGCTCGTGCGGCACGGTGAGATGCGTTCCTCCAAGCCACCGATTCGTATTGTTCTGTGCTGAGCTCCTCATCCAAATGTCGGTCTTCCTCATGTGCTTTGCGAATTTTCTCCCTCAGCTTCGCTTCGGATCGGTTAGTTGATATCCTCAAAGCTTGTGGCTTCAGTTTGGCTTCGGTGCTCTTAGTTGACACCTTCGAAAGGCGTGGCCAAGTAGCAGTCCCATGTTCTTCGTCGAGTCGACGAGTTTTGTGCTTGCGGAGTTTTATCCAAGCCAAGCCGATCATGGAGAATAGTATGAAAAATGCAAGGACGAACCACCCGTCGAACTTCCCGCAGGCAAGGCGCTCGTCGAAGCCGGTTGGTGCTTCGCACATAGCAGTGTCGCGTATTGCTAAGATATGCGACTTGGAGACGTCCGCAAGATGGAGTTGGCGGCTTGCGAGGTTATGTGTGGGGTTGATGGTGCGTTTTGTGACGGGACAGACGGCGAAAGTGACGTTGTTGACATCGGTATTGGTAGCATAGAGCTGGCATTGAGGTGGAATCTCGCCAGGGATGTACAACTTCATGCCGCTAGGGCCGTTGCTCTGGTGAATAGGTATAGGTCCGGTTCGTCTTGATATGGGCTTTCCTGGCGGTGCTTGGGTGGAGCCGATGGAAGGCTCTGGAGGTGGAAAGTCCCCGTGATGTTGTTCAAGGGCCTCGAGCTTGATGCCAGTGGGAGTATTAGCTGCCTCGTCCTCAAGGATAGGGCCGGTGCCGGCGCTCATAGGAGGATCTGGTGGTGGAAAATCCCGTGATGTTGTTCAAGGGCCTCGAGCTTGATGCCAGTGGGAGTATTAGCTGCCTCGTCCTCAAGGATAGGGCCGGTGCCGGCGCTCATAGGAGGATCTGGTGGTGGAAAATGCCCGTGATGTTGTTCCAGGGCCTCGAGCTTGACGCCAGCGGGAGTATTAGCTGCCTCGTCCTCAAGGATAGGGCCGGTGCCGGTGCTCATAGGAGGATCTGGTGGCGGAAAGTGCCCGTGATGTCGTTTTAAAGCCTCGAGAGTGGCACCGGTGGGAGAATCAGCTAAAGTCGAGAGGTTAGCTGCTGCCGCTGAAGCATATTCCTCAACGAAGGGCCACGTACCTGTGCTCAAGGAACGGCTGGGTGATGGGTAGCGGTCTCGGGGGTGGACGAAGCCCGGTTTGGTGGTGTTCGAGGCGAAGTCGGCAGAAGAAGTCTCGTTGAGAATTTGGACCGGCTCGCGTCCTCCAGGGGTGGGTGAGGGTGGAGGGGGGAAGTTTGGATGATGGCGCCCCCAAGAATCGGCATACACGGCAGCCTCTTCACCGTCGACACCAGCCTTTTGAGCATCCATGCTATTGCGAACGGAGGAAGCGAGGCGAATAGCGGCCAGATAGGCACTGACGTCCTCTTGGGGGGATGGGTAGATGGTTATCACGGGACGGGTTTGCGTTGGTGTAGACATGATGGATGTGGGCTTTGGTCTCTGAGATGGTCGATGGTCGAGTTGGTGTAGTGTAAGATGGAGAGTTTAATTCGAGTATCAAGGGGATTAAGTACCCTGAGCATGAAAAATGAGTATTAAAAAAAATTGGAAAAAGGGCTTTTTTTTTCAAATTCTGCCTGTATTGCTTGGCTTCTTGCCCTATTCCGGACTTTGAGAGAGATATCTCCTCTTGGCTCTAATCCACAGAACTCTACCATGAGTCAAAGGATAATGGTACTATAATAATGCAATTTTTGAATGATGCTGAGGGAACGATACAAAAGTACTGTTTGGCGGACAATGGAATCTGACTTCTCTGAAAGTACAATTTGGAGCACAGCGGGTTAACACATTCAACAACACGCAATTGAGAAATGAGCCAGTGCCGTAATATCACAAGTCACGGTCGCGTCAAACACTTCCTACAAAGCAGTCGAAAGTTGTCACACATCTCTGTTTTCGATATCAGCCCCATCGATTTTGACACCTGCTCGGGCACGCCCACACTCGCCATCTTTACTCTGATAGTCACTGTGATTGTTATTATCTTCATCGTCAACTGTTTCCTCATAGGCAAACATCAAACCGGGGACAAACATGAGCTCACAATGCCTGAAAAAGGTCAAGAGCCAAGGTATGGAGGAGAAAATGTCTGAAGCAATTGACGGGACAATGAATACTTCGGAGGATAATCTCAACGATAGCCTCAACGATGTGTTAGACCCTGACCATACATCAACCAACGGTGAGATAACGGACTTAGATCACTTACGTAAGAAGGCAAAATTGGCGCACGCTCCATCCTCATCTTTTGAAGCATCTTCGAACAACACCGACAGCGCGGACTCAAATACATTGAACAGCAGCATCTATTCAAATGATTATAATGCAGCCAATATCTTGCAGTCCTCAAAATCACGCATATGCCCGGAGAAACTCTCATCCGGACGTCAAAGCACCACTGCACCAGAGGAGTATCTTGCGAAAACGGTCCACAGCATCTCAGAATATGGGGCCTCTAGCGATGAACTACTAAGCCCTCCTGCATCAGAAACCTTTCACGCCAAATATCGCAAATCCAGTCCGGACCTCATGACCCTCCATATGTTCACTGGAAAGATGAATGGGAAGACCCCAATCTATGTGCCTGTGTACAAGCGGAACAATTTCGGCAAGCTATTGAAGCTGATGGAGAATTGGTCCGGGCATTGGGTGTATATGGAGCTGAAGAAGTTGACGGAGGAGGAGCTTGACGCAGGATTGAAGATCTTGGAGAAGCCTAAGGCCGAGGTGGTCTTGCAGAGTTCAGAGCCTAAGAAAGCAGTGGGCCGTCGCAAGCTGGCAGATTTTGGCCTTCGAGAGACGAAATCGAATGGCGGCCGGGATTGGCTTTGAGGTAGTCGGAAGAGAGATGTATTGCTGGTGGACAAAGGAATAGTGATGATCTGAGGACTACTGCTAAACGGAAGAGTGTCGTTGAGCAGACAAGGCTTGCTGCTAGACTCGAGGATTAGACGTCAATAGATGTGAATGCACTGACTCAACCCCAATCTTGCATATTTTAAAGCAGGCAACGGTAGATCTTCATCACGCCAGATTGCAATGCAATTGAAATGTCTTTTTGCAAAAACAAGGGGTTACGAAGCCCACTTGATCTGCTTTCACAGTACAGAAGCCCCGTATCAGAAAAGCGGCTTCAGTGCTTCGGCTGCTTTGACTCTGGCATGTACTTGTAGGCATTGAGGTAAGAAGCCGCCACACAGGAACAAAACTTGCCTTCGAGATGATGGTTGTAATGTTCGAAATCCGGTAATCCTGCCAATCTTGAGATAGAGATTGTCAATTGACATAGGTGCACGGCCAATAGGGCGATCGAACCTTAACTTCAGAATAGCGAAGAGAGCCCGGTGTCGACAGCAACTTACCCTGCACTTTACGCCTGCGCTCCCAAGGAAGGACTTGCTGACAGACTGAATCTTCCGTCACTAAACGCTTGAGATAGTGGTGAATTTCTTTTCTGGGAGATGCCCAAAGCTAAACCTGACCGCACCTCATAAGTGTTCTCGAATTCTGTGAGCCCTTGACATAGAGAGGCACCCAGACGGAAGATTGCTCTCGTCCCTAGGTATTCGCCTACCCGTTCACGTGAGCAGGAGGGCAGCCTCCAGGCATATATTGCTCTTATCCCTTGACCTCTCAAAGTGCGTCTAACATGTCGGTGGCCCAGCTGCAAAGGTCTCCCATGGTATTAGAGGATGATGAACAGCCAAGGCTCCTTTCTCCAGGGAAGACTGGCTCACAGGGAAGACATGAAAGTTGTAGATGTTCCGGTCAACTATACGACTCTCTCCATGTTTGAAGCACAGAGAACCTTTTGGATAGTGTCCCAAAGGAAAGGCGAACAGACTGGCGTGTGAAAGGCATGGCTATGCCACCAATGCAATGCTAGGTACAATGCGAGGCATCATGATCCGGGTTCAGGTATACAAGGCAACGGAGCTAGATGAGTATCCTGCACACACGGACTACCGCGGACAGATTGAAATACAGAGCGTCGACGTAGCACGAGATGGAGAGGCAGAGTGGAGAGCTCAAGATGTGCGTTTGGCAGCAGTGTCGAAGGCCTGCTGTCTCGCCTGCTTGCTTAGTCATGCCATCGATCGAGTAAAGTAGTTATGCATTGAGGAATGATGGATCTTAGATCTGTCGATTTGCTTACCATCGTTACTTTACTCCTTCCTCCACACATCACGGAGTGCAGAACTGTAGCGCGATAAGTGGGACTTTTACTGCACATTTTGATCTACTGGTGAAATACCGCACATTTCTTGGGCCGGGATCAGGTCAGGTTTGCACAAGGGTATTGATCATGGGCAAAGTTTGGGATTCGTGGGGCAGCAGTCAAAGTAGCAGGAAAGCGGCTTTCCTCAATCCTTTGAAATCTGACGCTTTAAACATCAAATAATTTGCGGCTTTTTTTCGTAGAACATGCGTACAAGGTCCTTGGCCAATAGTATTTTGTTGGAGAGGCTGGAGAGGCTGGAGAGGCTGCCGGAGAGCTTTGGTTATGCTGCTAATGAGATGCACTAGAAATTAGAGTAGCCAGGAATGGTCAGAAGTCAGGGAAAAAGACAGAGGCGGTTATTTTGGCGCAAGACACTGACGTATCTCCTGCGATCCCGGAGCAACTTCCGGTAGCGCATTGTTTACAGTCTCTCCACTCTCCATTCTCCATTCTCCACCCTCCACCAAGGCACCAACGGCTCGCCTGCAAAGCCAAACACGGCTCGACCAAACGTCGATACATACATGTAGGTAAAGCACTCGATGAAAAAGAACATGTGGGTTTCCAGGCTATTCTTCATTCAATTTTACTACTTGGCCGGCCACTCAGTTCTCGCATTCTCCTTCTTCTTTTGCTGCCTTCTTCCTCCTCCCCTTCTTCATCATCCTATTCTTCCATCTCGACTTCAATAACTACATCCACCCCGTGGTCGTAAAGGAACGAGGTCTGGTAGGAGTTCTGGCAGCTATGAGGGAGTAGGGTGATGGTGTGGCTTCTCCCCCTGGCAGCTGAGACTGTCGCGATGCTGGTTTCTTCTGCTCTCACGCTCAATTTCTCTTTCTGCTTCGTCAATCATCGCGACCAAGCCGTCAACTAGGGCTCGGCATTCAGTATTACACCTGGACAGTATCACTGCAAGTCTCACGCGAGATAAATAAGGTCAGCACTGCGCCGCATGCCATCAATTTTGGTAAACCACCTGCATCACCTTGACCAACCCTAGGGTATCTGCCAGTGCGCTCAGCGGCCCTCCTACGCTATGCCCGCAAGATCTTAAAAATGCCGAAATGTTGCCCGCCCTGCTGTCTTCTACCCCGTTCATTTCGCCGTCTCTGTTCCTCATCATCATCAAATTCCTTCACGTGAATTTCCGACACCTGCGCACTGCCGTCGCCACTGCTTCGATCCCACCACCAATGCTTCACGACCCCAGGCGATCTTTGTCCGCCAGGCTTCTGCCTGTGCATCAGTCGTTCAATAGGCTTCCAATTTGCATATACCTTCCACTGGAACTCGAACCCCGCCGACCCTGTGCAAACGCGGCCACCACCTGTCGCTGCCACTCTCCAGGCCAGTCTTTGGCAATTTCCGGGTCGATTCGAGGAAGAATCTGATCGAGCGGCTGTGTGTAGGATAAGCGGGTACATGTATCCAGGATGTCATCCATAACATAGTGGTCGAATGAACCCATGATAGCTCTCATTTCGTCTGAGAGTTGTACGTCACATTCCTCAGCCGTCTGGCAGAAGAGTGACTGAAGTGGGCCGCACAACGCAAATCCGGCACTAGTCTGCTGCAATACCTCCAGGCAGAACGCCACCGTATCTGAAGCTGGAGGCTCCTGTGGTGAAAAGCGCACAAGACCATCACAAACATGGACAAGGCAAAAAGTCAACAGAGGCATGGAAAAGCGTGCCGAGTAAAGGCGTCTCGCATGTGCAAGGAGTTCAACGCTGCTTCGAGCGTGGAATACAACGATACGAACCAACTCAGCATGATCGTCGGGAGAAAACAAGCCGCAGTGGAGAAGCGGGCTGACATGCTGCACCAAAGCAGTGTGATATTGAACGCTAGAGACAGTCAGCGCATACTCCAAGCATTCGAAAGTAGAGACCTACTGAAGATACAGTATATGCGGCAAGGGCTGATCCGCCACGTCGACGTTCGCGATCACGGACGGCAGGTCCGTCTTCCAGTCCATGTACCTTCTGTATACTTCAAGAAACTTTTCGGCTGATATATTACCTCGAGCACCGCAGTACAGGTTGAGACTTTCATCGATAATCCGGAACAGCCCCGCTTGATAGCAAGCTGCCACGATCGCACAGCTTGGTCGAGTCGGAAGTTCACGCTCATCACCTGGATGTCGGTAGAAACGCCACAGAGCGTGATCTCTATCCATATTGACGTGTCGGAAAATAGCCTCTCGAGGCCTCGGCGGAGCGTAAAGCTTCTGATATGTGATACTAGCACAAGCCCTGGGCCCGTTAGCTGAGCTCGCCTAGTCGACTGTGAGTTGCCCTTGACATACGTATTGAGCGTATGGAGACCCCAGACTGTGATTTCGTGCGCTTCTTCCGAGAGCTGAGGTCCATTGCTAGTCTTCAGGTTGTCAACTGCAGATCTCAGATATCCGATGGCTTTTCTCGCCTTGCCGGAACTCAATTCGACTAGGAACATGATTGCCAACGTCTGTACGGAGGTCATGTAACTATAGGAGGAAGGATCCAGGGTTGCTCGAGCTTCGTCCATGAAGCCATTTCGCAGTGTTGCTGCATCTATGCGGTTACGTCTGTCCCCAACGTCCTCACTTTCGAGCAGGTTACACCCCATCGCACAAATGGCATTGACTAAGGATGCTGAACAGTTGGTGTGCATGTTTTCCCTGAAGTCATGTTTGAAATCTATTTCGCTGAAAAGCATGTGGACCGGGTGCACCCAAGTGAAGTAGAGATCGAACAGGTGCCCGATGAGCTTGTGACTTATGGTGACCTTGGTCCATGGGATCTCTGCTGCTGATGGACTGGAGCTTTGGCGACTCAGACCGTCATCCTGCTGGCATTGCGCTTCGTAAAGCTTGACTACATCGATCAACCTACGGTGAGTGGTTGGCGCTTCAAGGCCGTGTGCGAAGTCTGGATTTTCTCGATGGAGCCACTCAGCGATGGACTGGTGCGAGTCGCCCCTACGAAGTTTGCTGATGATCTCCCGGTCGTGGCCATTGCTCCCGATGGTCTCCAGTATCGTCTTTTGCCAGGCACCTTCTTCCCGTAAGTTTCTGTTGTCTGCGTCCAAAGTATGGACGTCGTCTCTTATTTCACGGTTGTGATCCTGAAGGTTGGCATTATTCTGTCGCAGATTCTCGATTTCCTTGATGAGGTCGTCTTTATGCGTTTTGGTATGAGGCTCGTAGACGCATCTCAGTTTGCGTGCTGCACATCTACCGCAAACATTTGGTCTGGTCCCGTCACACTAGAGAAGCACAAGCAAGCCCGCAAATTAGCTTTCACTGAAATGAGGACGTATACATGATGTGCATGCTCTGTGGCGAAGGCATCATCGGGTGGCATGCACGCTTCATACCTTCTGCCTGGCCGTCCTGCAAGGAGTACAGGCCATAGTGGACACGCTACCGGCAGTGCGCCGTTTGCGTTGAGGTACATCCCCACCACTGCCAGAGCCACCACCACCACCTCCAGCTGCTCCGCTGGTGCCCCCACTGGTAGCAGGAGTAGCTCCGCCGGTGCTCGAATCGTTGATGACTTTTGCAGAAGAGGAAGAAGATGATTCTGCTTGCTGATTCGAGGGAGCCAAAGATCGAAACGCAGACATGTTGTGTGCAGTGATCAAACCGTTGGAGACGTATACTTGTTATGTCGTTTATCTGTATTGTGGCGAATGGGAATCGTGCTGGAGTGTCAAGGCTGAAAAGGAAGCGGTTTGGTTCCACTGAAGAGCACAAAATTCGAGCATCGAGCATGCAAGATTGTATCATGATCGATTTTGACACGGCCGACCGTTTAATCCTTGAGCTGAAATTTGAGACCCCATAAGGTACAGTCTTGAGCCTTGAGATGGCGGGAGAAGAGCTCGTGCTAAAATATTTTCGGTTTAACGTGGGAAGGCAAACGGAAAAGAGCCCCACGTCGAATTTATCGAATACGATTATTGAAATCCCCATCGGCCCTACTACTACTACTACTACTACTAATACTACTACTGCTCCTATTGCTACTACTGTGCCTGATTGCGTTGTCTTCGTGGCAACAAGTAATACATCTCTCTAGCCTCTACCAAACTACCATATACTTAGGTCATTCCTACCTACCGTTCAAGAAGCCTGCCTCCGATCGTTTTTACAATGTCATCATTATGGTACCTGGAAGTTCGCAGGTGTCATACGAGTACGCGTGCGAAGCCAATGACGTAGCTCCAGAGTTCATCGGTTTTCATCTTTTCCCGGTCCTGCCAACATTGACAAAATACACTTGTCCCTTGCATGTATTCCATGACTATGTAGGTAGGTAGAGCAGCTACCACGCGATCACGATCTCTCCACTTCTGGACCTTCAATCTCATCGCACAAGACAACCGATACTCTGCATTTTCCACGGTATACACAGAAGACACCTATGACCCTCTGCTACGCCATTTGGGGGTTCGATACACCGACAAAAGTCTTCTCGCTGAGCATCGGGTAACTTTCTATTAGGGTCCAGACTGGCCCTGACCCAGGAATCAGCTGCGCCAATCCCCAGACCCTGCGTCTCTAGCTAGAGAAGCCGAATAACTGCATTTTCCGAGGTTGGATGGAGGCATGCAGAAAGCCGCCCTACCGCTATGCCACATGTCGAGCTGGCTTCTCTCCGTGTCCGAAAGGAACAATTTGACCCATGCTCTAGCAATGGTGTACTAACGTACAGACCGCAGAGAAACGCTCAAATGCCAGTGCATTTCACGAGTCATTGCGAATCGGACTCACTGTCTCAGCGCCCAGGATCCGACCCTCCACGACTCTCATGCATCGGAAATGCTTGTTTGTTCTTTAGTGCTACCTTTGTATCGAGGCGGAACGGCTGTGCACTTCGTTCGATGCTGGGAAAAACGGACAGTCGCAAATCGGTGCCTTCAGCAAACAAACCTTAGTGTTATAATGTCACCTGCGGACTTGGTTTGCTTCGCTGTAGTCTTAGGAAACTTCTTCTCCATATATCTGATCATCATGCATCCCTGCCCGACTCTTCCCGACACCTCCAATATTCCACTGTCGTAATCTTGCTTGAAGATGTTTGGCTCGTCCCCACAATACCGGATTCATTCTCAAAAGGCCGTGGCGGGAGTGAGGACTGGCACTTGAAAGTGAGAAACCATTTGTGGCGACAAACATGCCGATGAGTGGGTGGGGGGTTGATATGCAGGATGCAGAATATGGAGATGTGCCGCGGAATAACATCTGCCATGCATGTAGAATCGAATTTTACAACATCTCGATGACCTTCCGGGTCCCGTCTCGGAATCTGGCATCCGGTTGTTTTTTGCGATTTATGAATTACGATTACGCATGCCTGGATAGCTGCACAAAAATCTCCAGCGGCGCCCTGTGGAAATAGTGACACGAGACATAGACATCCCAACACAAGAAGCCCAAGTAATGATCGTAGCCGAGAAATCCTGAAGTCCCGACTCCCCACCTCCCAACCCCCATTTCCTCCCCCAGCCAACACTCACACGACAACAACAATGTCGAACCCACCCCGAATCCACACCTACCACTGCCTCTGCTCCACCCTCCTCCTCGCAACACCCTACCCACTCTCCGCGCTGCCCCGCCGCGCCCCTCCCTCCCTCGACCGCGCCCACATCCTCCCTCTGCCCCCGTTGTCACGACCCCAGACCGAGACCGGCAATGCGGACATGAGCTCCCTCCACATCGACGGCCGCGCGGGGGCAGGAACGGTAGAGGGTGGGCCGCTGCCGAGTCTGCTGACGCCCAGTCTCCGGCCGGGGCGGAAGGTGCTGGTTGTGAGGCGGGAGGATGGGTTTGAGAAGAGGAGGTTGTATAGGTGTGGGAGATGCGGGGTCGGTGTGGGGTATGAGATTGTGAGGGAGGGAGGTGGGGAGGGGGGTGGGAAGGAGGGGGGGAGGGTGATTTATTTGATGGAGGGGGGGTTGGTGGAGACGGGGGAGATGGGGAGGGAGGGTGGGGTATGAGTGATTGGGTCAAGAGAGTCTGAGGAGGTAAAGTGGTTGAGGAACGGGGCTTGGTGGATATTGCTGAGCACCTGGGTCATGGAGGCGGACTACGATTAAGCGCACAAGACGTGTGTGACAGGGCTCCTATGTTCTCGATCCTATCTCCAGCCCTCGAAACAAAGTACAGAAATGTCCATCCCCGGCTATCCCGGGCCTCGATCTATGCACCGAAAGGGATAACGCCTAGAGTATGTGGATGGTCGATGGTAGGAAACAACAGAGAAGTGATCGAGACAGTGGTATCAATTGGCGAGGATGGTCCGGACGAGGTCTAGGGGGCCTCACGTCAGCTAGATGCTCTCAGAAGAATGCGCAGACCAGAGGTACCAGTGTAGTTGATTTCCCCACTACTCGTGTCCACCGCCTTCAATAGCTCATCCACCTCATCGTCACTCATCTTCTCTCCAAGGTTCGTCAAGACTGCGAGCCTCTGTCAGCACTCCAAAAAGTTCCATAGCCACACACGCAACACGACATACTGTATCTAAGCTGGCCCACGCCAATGAAGCCCGTCATGTCTTTGTCAAACACCTGGAAGCCCCGGCAATACTCTTCTGGCTCGCCCGGGTCTCGGAATCCACCCGGTCGGTTCAGGACTTTTTGGAAAGAGTCGAAGTCGACTATGATTGCGCAAATACAACACATTAGCCATATATCCCTCGGCTCCAAAGATTGTGTTATTGCTGCAACTTACAGTCACCGCCAACACCCTTCTCCAAGTCATGTATTTCCGCCAACGTTGGGTTCTGTCCGCATGCTCGAAGGAGGTCCCCTAACGATTCAAGGGCAACGCGGCCATTGCCGCGCTTGTCGAAGAGGGCGAAGGCTTCTTTGTAGTTTGTGGATGCCTGTAGATGTTGTCAGTAGATGATAGCAGGAGAAAGCATGATGGGCAGCCTGTGCTTACCATCGCTGCAGTCGCGAGGAGTCGAAGTCTTGTTTCTTGTGAGCAGACAGATAGAAGATTCGTGACAAGCTAGCTCTTAGTATTTTGAAGCTATTTGTATGCAGTGCAAGTAGAATGGATGATCGCAGATGCGGTTTAAAGGTTTGTTTACATTTGATCTTGGTGTGGGGTTTCCTTGGCGGCTGACTAAGCGCCGCCAAAAGATATTTGGTCCTTCACGACGACCATCTGTCCGTACCTTGTAACCTACATCTCGTAAAATCCTTTACGAGGGAATTTCAATCTCAAACATAATGTTGCTTCTAACATCTGTGATTCCTGCGTGGTGATCTCGCTTTAATACTCTCTACAGGATGCGATTTCATGGCATTCACCCATTGATCATGCCCCCGTATTTATGTAGTCCCAATGCACGGGCCCCAAGCATCTGGGTACAATCCCAAAAAAACAATTCTATTCGTATCGAAGACTCTCCGCCGATGAGCTCAATTGGCGTTCTTGAAGCATTCTCAAGTCGCACGTCTCTGATTTATTTCCAACGTTTCCGGAGCGCAGTAACTATGTTGCTTGCCTGCTTCCCCAGGCAATAATGATGCGCAATTCCTCAGCTGCCCATTATTGATATCAACCTGATCCACAATGGCCGCTGAGAGAAACGCGATCTATGTTGACCGAGAAGTACCGGAGATTCTGACAATTGCTACTCGTGTTTCATGCGAGGAAAATTGCTATTCAAGGCTAATAGTCTATATCGAAAGGTCATCATCCGAAACTACCTCTTACTTCTCCCGAGACTCGTGCTGCGAGTCTGCGTTCTGCCTTTGAAAAGCAACGCTGACTCCAAAATCCGCGCAGATGGCATTAACCCTATTGTTTGAAGGACCATCATGCCTAACGTCAAGCCGAACCACCGACCTTGAATTGTGCGTACCGAACCATTGTCCCATACGACCAAATCCGCAAGGACGCAATTGCAAAGGATCTGATTGACAAGCTCACAATGGAGGTGTGGATGTCGGACAAAAGCTACATAATTTCATACCCAATTTCTCCAGCCAAAGACTTAGATATGGCTCTTTCGCATTACCGTTTGAACTTGTTCAATGACGTCGAACTAGTCGATATTCAAGGTTTGAGATACACATATACAGACTACGATCCTGGAATTTAGCGCATCGTGGACATGATCTCGGAAGCTCAGAGGTGGCCTTTGATGGCCACAGGCCCTTCGAATAGGTGGTCAACACCTTCTCGGAACATTGTCCTGATAGGCGACGCGGCTTACTCCATGCTGATCCATTTGACGCAAGGAACGGCGACTTCAATATGGAAGACGGAATATTTCTTGCGAAGACCATTGGTGAAGCGGTGAACGGCAACATGACCATTGCAGAAGCAGTCGAGCTGTACGAACGAGAGCCGATGCGGAAAGCATACGCTAAGTAGCGCGAAATGGCATCTTTCAGACAGACAAGAGCAATGAGCCCGTGACAACGCCTTGTCGCCCGAGCTCACAGGAGAAACAGTACGTGCGATCTCCCAACCTTTATGGTGATACCGCAGCCGTTCTAGAAGTCTATGGGTTCGAAGCCGAGGAGCATGTCCGGATAGCAATAGCCAAATTTCTCCAGCAGCGTGAGCCAGCTGATCCCCAAACAGGGGTCACGAAGCCACTTGAAGATAAGTACATGAACTGGTTTCGGCCAACGCGGGAGAAGGCGCGATTGTAGATAGTCCTATGCAAAACACAATATCTCATTGATCATGCCGTCCGTCAGAGCGTCATATCTCCATATCATCCTCATCATCCTCGCCCCCTCCAATCCCATTCTCCCTCTCCTCGGCCTCCCTCTCGCGCCTGCTCATCTCCTTGCTCGCTCCAATTTTCCTCAACCCATCCACAACACCCCCAATAAAAGCCCTCCCCTCAGCCACCTCCATCCCGCCTACTCCGTTCATGTTGACCTCCCTTCCTCCCTCCAACACCCCCACTCCAGCCCTCATCTTCGCCATTCGTACCTCACGCAGATCCCGCATCAATCTCCTTACATTGTCAGGTTCGGGGATATCATCACTTGCGGCTTCCAGTAGCATCTCGCCTAATTCGAGCCAGTGATAGGGTAGTGCGTCTGGTGGGGCGTTGGCTGTGGCGCTGGGCAGGAAGGGCGGGGAGGTGGTTGTATGAGGTGGTAAAGGCAGTGGGGGGGAGAAAGACGGTGTTGACTTTTCAAAGTCGAGGATCGAGTGGAGTGATGGAGGAGAGAGCCATGGTGGAGGCAGGACGTTGGCCCGACGTTGGCGTTTAAGGAGAAGGGCGAGCCAGAGGGGAAGTGGAGTGCGGTAGGGAGGGTTGAGGGGTGGAATGGGTCCCTGTATGGGGAAAGGCGGTTAGCAATTGTCTAAACAGCTTCATAGCAAGGATACGTGGTAGTAGATATCTTACAATCCATTTAAGAGACGACAACTGACTGTGGGCTCAACTCACCCCAAGTAGTTCGAGCCCCTCGAGCCGTTGGCGGGGAATAACCGTTACCATCTCCATTTCGCACAGAAATGCGGTCTCAGGAGGTGTCAAGCCTGGCGGCAATGGTAAGGCCATTGTGTGAAGTACCCAAAATCAAGAGAGTCACGAAGGAGATTGAAGTTTGAAGACCTGTGAGTTAGTCATAGAGACAATCGCGCTACGCGTGAAGTTTGCTGAATCTGGAAGCCACAACTCGTCTACAGCGTCTACAAAGATTACAATATCCTTTCTTTCTTCTCCTTCTTTACTTCTTCGTCTGCTTCTTCTTCTTCTTCTTAGTATGTCAGATAAACCAACTTCACCCGACACATGGCGCGTTCTATTGGATCGCTGACCTCCTGGAGCTCTGCCATTGCGCTTGTGTCTCTTACAGCTGCGCTCTGGTCATGCCTGATCGATGCCATCGTGCCTGACCCATATCTTGTAAGCCTGGCTCTTAAGCCCTCAAACAATACTCATGCAAGCAGGATGAGGTTTTTCATGTTGGGCAAGCACACGCCTATCTCCGTGGTCAATGGGAAATCTGGGACCCAAAGCTTACGACTCCTCCTGGCCTGTGAGCTCCATTGAGTGCTTGTGTGGCACTCCCGAGGACTAATCTTGTCCAAAAGGTATCTTGCCTCATGGATCTTATGGAAACCACCCCTAGCCTTGGGTCTCCGACATGTCTTTACTGATATCTTGACTGATGCATCGGCCTTGCGCTTTACCAACATCATCGGTAGTGTATTACTTGCGTGGCTAGTACGCTCGCTTCTGCTTCTCAACATCGAAGTACGTGATGGGAATTGTGGAAGGAAGCATGAGTCGAACGTACGATGCAAGCGCTGTCCCAATTGGTCTGGCTGGGAGTTGATTCATACTACCATCAACGTCTATCTGTTTCCACCCTTATTCTTCTTTTATGGACTCTATTACACAGATGTCTTATCAGCACTCTCTGTGCTCTATGCATATCGATGCTACCTTGCAAAACAACAGACCAGGGTCCTTTTTGCGGGCCTCCTGTCTTTACTGTTTCGGCAGACCAACATCTTCTGGGTGTCTTTCTTCCTGGGAGGTCTTGAATTATGCAGGACGATCCCCAAAGGTCGACCCGAGATCGAATTTCCAAGCCAGCCTACTTTCTACGATGTTATTGAGGGAAGCTGGCAACATGCTTCAGCGTATGATCCACTCATCAGCCAGGCGTGCTTTGAAGGTCATAATGGCACGGCGGTGATGCAAAATTCCTACTGACCTTTTCTGTAGACTACATCAAGACCGGCATCTCCTACGCTATTGCTGGGCTGACTAATTTCTCAACTGTCATGTGGTCAATGAGTTCGTACCTCGTCATACTCTGCGCTTTTGCGGAATTTGTATTTTGGAACGGCGGTGTCGTGCTAGGTACGCGAAACCTTCTATCTCTTCTTTTCCGGATCCTCACATCTTTCAGGGGACAAGGAGAACCATGTTGCATCACTCCATCTTACGCAGATGATCTACATCTGGCCGTACTTTGCCTTCTTCTCCTGGCCTCTTCTCTATCCTCAATACCTCCTCGCATTAGCACAGCCCATCTTTCCTGTCCGTATCACAAAAGGGAAAATAAGCGCTACCACAATGGCAGTCATGTTGGTGGTAATCCGCTACAACACCATCGTTCATCCTTTCACGCTTGCCGATAACCGCCATTACATGTTCTACGTCTTCCGCATTCTTCTCCGCCATCCATCGATAAAGTATCTTGCTGTGTTGATCTACATCGACTGCGCTTGGGATACGCTGTCTGGTCTTAGTTGGCTGCCAACCGCAAGATTGGTATCTCAACAAGAACCTAGCCCCAGGAAGAGAAAGTTTCCACAGGAGGAACCATTTCCACCTTCACCCCAATTAAATCCTAGCCCAATGAAGAGGTCAAAATCTCAGGAGAGCATTTTGCCACCTTCACTGCGGCCAAGTCTCAGCTCCAGAATGACAGAAATGCCGAAGTTTGCCATTCCTCCACCGCCTCCAAAGAAGCAAAAGAAGCAAAAGAAGAAAAAGAAACAAGTCTCGGGCCATCGAGCCAGCTTCACCCTCATCTGGCTTCTCGCAACTGCACTCTCTATCATTACAACGCCCCTCGTCGAACCAAGGTATCTGATTGTGCCGTGGCTGATATGGCGACTTCATATGGCGATTCCGCGCCCCGGAAGACCCTCTGTACCCGCGACAAGGCCAGATACTATGGAAAAGAGGTTCTTCGAGGCACTCAAAGCAGCACTCTACGAGCGGCACGATCACCGTCTTTGGCTCGAGACAATGTGGTTTCTTGCCATTAACCTGGCCACTGGATACATTTTTCTGTACTGGGGGTTTGAATGGCCGCAGGAACCGGGCAAGGTGCAGAGATTCATGTGGTGAAAACGATGTATGAGTAAGGACAACCGAAGGCGCACCGGCGGAGATTCGAGCAGAGTCTGAGCATAGATCGTGCACTTTTACAGCGTATCATGGTTTATGCTGCTGTGATCAAGGGCTCATACCCTTGTACTGGTAAAGGAATAGAGTACTACATCCCGTATCTAATAGTATGAACACAGCTGATCACTCCAAACGCTTAGACTCAAACGCAGTTTTTAAGTCTAACAATAGTGGTAAGCAATCTACTCTTGCCTTAAAACCCGCTCATCCTTCCATCAATAGACGCGAGGTCCGGGTCCAACAGATAAATATTACCCCCATTGGAAAGCGATTTCGAGTAGTAAAAACGAGCGGAAGTCTTCTCCTTCTTGGCACCAGAACACATTGAATGATTACTATCCTTCTCCTCCTCCTCCTCATCCTCCTCCTCCCCTTCCTCCGTCCCCTTCAACCAACCAAAAGCAAAACTTTTAAAACCCCCCCAAAAAAAAAAATAAAAAATTAAAAAAAAAAAGATTTCCCCCCCCTTCCTCCGTCCCCTTCAACCAACCAAAAGCGTAGCTTCTAAACGCCGCCGCAAATCAAAATGTGAACACTCGAGAAAATACGTGGAAGATGAGAGACGGGTAAAAATTCGACGACGTCTGTGGCCCCCCCGAACCGACTTGATTTCTCACGTGTGGCACCCAGCCGCCGGTTTCGACGCACAGTGTTGCTGTAGAGTGAGGAATTAAAACACTGAGGCGTTGCTTTTTCCAAAGGGATGGCCATGATCCATTCCTTGCACAAAAGTGGCATCGGCCGCCTTTTGTGGGACACGCAGTGCTCACGGTTGAGTGGAGACAGGAGCCCCTTGTGTAGTCTTCCGAGGCGGAGGGTTGTCCACTGGATCGCATGACAGGTGCCGCTGGGCAGCTGGCTCCTGATCGCTTGTGCTTTTGTTTGATAGGACGGGTAGAGACGTCGGGGATGAGATTGTTAGATATGGCCGGTGCTGATTCTGCTCTTGCGAAGAGAGAGAGAAAGAGAGGGCGAACGGAAGACAGGCCGAGGGCCAAAGTTGTCGTCCGACTTTAGCGACAGCACAGGCTCCGTGCGTCCTCCTGTCCCGCAAAGGTTTTCCGGGGTAACGTTAGTCGAGAAGAGCGGTGAGCGCTCCGCACGAAAACCTGACCGGGTGGTGAACCAGTCGATTCATCTCGAGATTTGCTACTAGAGGCCTCGTCTGACATCGTACTCGTACTCTAGGAGAGACTGCAGTCATCATCCCATGGTGCATTCGGCCAATTGGCGGTTATCATGGCGGTGGTCACTTTGGGGGTAGGACTTGACATGGGTGATTGGTTGAGGGCGTAAGCGAATAAGATGCTGACTCGGAGCAGAGAGCAATGTCGGCGATGGAGTAGATAGTATTGTGGTCGAAGGATATAGAGTATATTTTGCCTGTGTTCCGAGGTCAGGAAATATAGCGGCGATGGAGAGGCCTTTTGAGCCGTGGCCTGGATCGTCTGTAACGTGCAGGTAAGGTAGGGCCCAATCATATGGCTTGATGGGTGTCTTGGTCTTGGCAGCCACAAATTCAATCTCCACGCTAACCTCCCCTAGTCAGGCTGTCGGAATACCTCCGTCCTCCACGTGCTCGAGCCCACTTGGGTAGTAAAACACAGTACGCCTCAAGCCACCCGATTCCAGCGCAGCCTACTTAAAAGTACTTTAACATTACGGAAATGTGAGTCGGGCTAAAAACTCGTCGGAACCAAAAGAAGAATGAGGTAATACTGTAGCAAGTCGGATGAATTTGTTTACTATGACATTGGTCATTGTATTATCACCATTCGTAAAGTAGCATACCAGACATGCTATGTCTCGTCATGCCTGCAAAGTCCACTCGAGAGTATACCTTATATTTGGTAAGGGTGCCAAGGTCCAAGATTCAAGGCCGGGTTTAACACATCTGCGCCCTAGATCGTAAGATGTCGTCGATCTTTTCACTCCTCGGAAGTTGTAGAGCTGGTGGAGCGTCCCATTGGTCGGTCACATCATGAGCATTACTGAATTATGTCAATGAGTGGAGGGGAAAAGCACAACCCTGGATCACCTACCTGAGTCATTTTCCCTTTTCACCCTTCACATACTGCTAGTCAGAGTTCTCTTAGCGCTCTCCGCTGCGGTATTCGGCGAACCGAGGGCTCGCCACTTTGGACTGGACATGATAAGGTAATAATCATCACCGAGTCTTTTCAATTTTTGTGAATTAATTTTTTTAAGAAAGCAACGTGGTGATCTGCCGGCAGCTAGAGAGAAGGCAAAGGTTTGCTCCAAATGGTCTAAATATCAATAACATGGGTTGTTGGCGCCGAGGAGGCATCTGAAACCCCCGTGCCAACAGCACTGGAAACGTCTGAGAGATTGAAACTCGGAGATTCCAAACAGCCGAGATTGCCCAATTGAGCCTTGACCCTAGAGTTGTTGATATGGCGTTGCTTGTTTCATTAGTCGCTTCTCCAGCGTCAGATGTGACGAGCGGGTCCGTGCCATCATGTGGCTTGTTCATTTTTCGGGACCATGTATATACGTACCGATTGTGAGCCATGTGCGCATACCTAGGTATCTATCCAAGAGAAAATGCGTCTGCACCTGTGAGACCTCCTGTTGTCGAGCAGAGCGAGTCGGCACACTTCCGCGCTGGTGCAGCTAAAATTAGTCTCCTGCCGAGAGTTCATTATTGCTCTGAATGCAGCGAGTCCCGGGAATAATTTAGTATATGTAATCTGGGCTCGTGTACATACTGCGGGGGCAAATTTCGCCGTTTGCAACTGCCAACAATGCTCAGGGACGTTGCATTGCATATGCGTGCATATACATAAACACGAGGCTGCACATGGGCATTGAAGGTACAAGGTACAAAACACGCGAAACCTGCAGGTAACCCGACACCCTTGCTTGAAACGTGTTCTTGTTCTCAAAGACCAGGGTCTGCGGGGCAGCATGCAGTCTGGGATTGCCAAAATAGGGTAATTGAAAAAAAAAAAAAAAGTAAAAAAAAAAAAAAAAAAATTTAAGGGAAAAAAAAAAAAAAAAAAAGGGGAAGAAAAAAAAAAAAAAGGGGGAAAAAAAAAAGAAAAAAAAAAAAAGAAGAGAAAAAAAAATAAATATATGTCTGCACCCGGGCAAGCTCAGCAGGTGAGAAGGTGGCAAAGAGAAGAGCTATCATGGTGTTGTTAATTTACCTAAGGTAAGTAGAATCACGTAAGATACCATCGCTGTCCGAGGAGCCTTTTGACGGTGGAGCCACGGATGGCTCAAACCATGGGAGATCTTGGCATGCGCGCTAGTAACTTTAGCCTTTCTTCTGGAAGACAAAATTGGGCAGAGTGAATAAATGTGGTGAAAGAACCCCACGATCCGAACTCCCTTGCAGCTGTATAATGGAATCCGCTTTTCCTTAGTAGTATCTTACATTTATACCCAAATCCAATAGAACGATATCTTCGTAAGACAATCCAATCCATCAGACTCCCAAGCATCATAGAGTACAAGAATAATCTCATTACAAGATATCAGTGGGGCTTATCATCTACGAGATCACGAATCCTTCTCAGCAGCAGCAGCAGCAGCAGCAGCAGTCTCATTGCCGCTTCAGCTGGGGAGGAGGCAAGGAGGCAGCGAGGCAGTCTAAGCAGAGCAGGCTAAGCAGCAAAGCCCATGCTTACTATGTTAGCAGTTAGCACACACGGTGATGCTATGCTTATTGCTTACAGGGATCTCACATGCTCCTTCTTTCTTTAGCCTTTAGCGTCATCCTTCTTCCCTGCGCCCTCGTGTCTTTGTCGATCAATGATCTGACACACCCAAACTCTTTTCTTTTGCCGGTCGTAGCGGACCCTTAGCTTTGGCACTGTTCTTCCTCCGACATCTCCCACCACCGCTTCCCAGGCTCCCCAGGATCAAACTATTACCACTACCACTACCACTACCACTACCATTAACCACTACCATTAACCACTACCAACATGTCATCACAGCACATCTACCAACCCCAGACTCCATAATAATAATAATTTTACCTTTTCCATTCCCTCCGTCCACTGGTTTCTGGCTTGTCAATCTAAGGGGTAACTGCCGAACAGCCCTAGCCTTGAATCGTCTTACAGCGGTTTTTTTTCCCCAATTCCTCCCTCCCCTGCTGGACCTGCTCGTTTGCTTCAATAATCGCAGCTTACATGACGGGTCTGTCCTCGCTCCTGCTTGCTCCACTCTATCGTGGAAACACCCTTGCTGCTTTCCAGCCGCTATCCGGACACTATCTTCGTCAACGAGAGCCATGATTAACACTGCTCAGAACACATAGATAATCCTTCTCAGCCGTACCCTCCGACAACTCAACGCCATCCTCCCCCATCTTTCACACCAACATCGTCCCGCGATCCTGACAGCAATACCTCCGCCACCGGCCATCAGGCCAGGCACAACAGACTCTCAATAGCCGCTATCGCCCGTGAGAAAACAACCGCTGCTCTGGCCAACCTCTCCGTCCGGACCAAGACATCGACACAGTCTCTGCACTCATCGTCATCATCGTCTGCGGAACTACCCAAGCAGGCACCAACCGTTGCACCGTCTGCCGACAACAACTCCAGGCAGCACAAGGGCTATTTCAATATCTCGCCTGGTCGCCCTGACGTTAGCAAGGAGCCTGAATCGGCCATCTCACCTGGCTCAGTCCACAGCCCAGGAGCCGAGGGCTTAGCCCCATCAGCTGGTTTGTCTTCTCTTACCCAAGACCGGCGACGACTCCTAAATAGGACTCCCTCCCCTTCGATCCGTAACATCCCATCCCCATCAACGGAAACCCCTCAACAGGCCGCACAAAACAAGATGCATCAAACGTCTTCGAGGCTTCTCCGGATGACAGATGAAGAACGACCATTCACCAGAGACTTCGAAGATTTGTTCTCGACGCTGATGGTCAGCCTGCCGCTGTCAGCTCATCGTGTGCGTTTCCAAAAGATCGATCATACATTTACTTCGGAAGAAGCCATCAACAATCTTGGCTCTCTCAAATTCTCCCAATCCAACCGGATGCCCGATCCGAAAGATCCGTCACGCATCGTGACCACCACGACCACCACGACGTTCTCGATGGCGAAGGAAATGGCGCGATCGGTTTGTCAGCGCTTTATGGACGCTCGCTTCGTCGAGCACGCAGACATGAGAACCGTGCCTGTCTTTCCCCTCAAGAATGCCGTTTGGCAGCTTACACCAAAAGGTATGCATGTACTGACCCGATTCTGCCAGCGCAATGGCATCAACCAAAGACATGTGCTTGATCTTTTGGATAGCGCCCGCAATACCATGCAATTGGTCATCTTGGAAAGAGACGGTACCTCGGATAAGCTATCGCATGATCGCGCGACGATAGAAGTCATCTTCCGACGATTCGCTGGTCAGGACGGTCCTAACATCAAGCTCAGCACATCAGCCTCTGATAATGACTCACTGAGCGATTACTACAATGGAATGATAGGTGTGAAGATGGCAAAAGAAAGAAAGATCCTAGACCGTGTTGTTCCAAATACTTTTACTGGCAAGACAGCTGTCGACTGGCTGATGGATTGCTGTACCACTGTGGACCGCAGAGAAGTGTATGAGATTGCTGAACTTTTCGTATCTCACGGACTCATCTGGGCCGTCGTAGAAGACAAAGTCTATGCTCATCAGAACCCCGGTGCATCAAGATTCCAGCCCACTAAGAATGCCATTTACGGTCTCACAGACAAGGGCCAACGCATTGCAGGATGGCTAGGGAGAGAGGATAGCCCAAGTGGTGATGATAGCAGAGGAGAGTCGTCAAAGAACGCCAGGAACAACGCTAAGAATCAACCAAGAGACTCAAACAACAACCGACTCAACATCATCGTCAATGATCCAGCTCTGCGTCTCCTATTCAGGGAGTTTTTGCGAGACACCCATTGCGAAGAAAACTTGGCATTCTACCTTGAGGTTCGAGAGTTCACAAGGAGCTACGACGCTGCTGAAAGAGCAAAGGCCTTCTCGAGGCTAGACACGATTAGGGAGAATCTGGCGGCTGCATATGGTAAGTCTGCAGCTCCACGTCGAGTGTTCAAGGCTAAATGTCTCCAGGTCTCTACAACGCCTTTTTGGCACCTGGCTCTCCATGTGAGCTCAACATTGACCACAACCTGCGCAACAGCCTAGCAGGGCGCATGACGAGGGCTGTTGGTGATGACGACTCACTGCTAAAGAGCTTGCAAGAAGTCGTTGGATTATTCAAGGATGCTCAAACATCCGTTTTCAAATTGATGTCAAGCGTAAGCACCGCAGCCATATTTCGTTCAATTTGATCATCTTTGCTGACGATGTATCCAGGATTCCGTTCCCAAATTTCTCAAAGAACCCAAATATGCCGCTGTGCTGGCCCAGCACAACTTTGATCATGCGGTGGCACAAGCAAACCATTACGGATCGTCACAGATGGTCCTGCCGGAGCGATCAAGAAGTAAAGCTGTTCGAGACCGGGATCATCGGGCGTCGTAATCAAAATGACCTCTGACTTGCATAATTTTTTTGGTGATGTGTGACTCCGGAAATGATGGGAAGCCGAACGTGATTGGAAATCATTTTCACCGCCCTGCCGTGCATGAAATCATGCATGGTGCTCCACTCTTCCGTCTTTGGATCACACCGATGATTGCGTGGCCTGCAAAAACAATTCATCCGGCCGCTACGCTGGATTAGGATATAATGGTTCTTTCTTGGTCTGAGTGGAACAGGCTCGCCTACTCGGTGTGCAAGAGCAATCATGTCTCATGGGCCGGCATCTCAAAATGCCTCGTTACGAATTGTTATGGTTCCTGCATATGGCGTGGATGACACTCGGAAGTTTCTAGACACAACATGTTGTGATTGCGTGCAGCGGAGATCCTCGGCTGGGCAGCATGCAGCATCTTCTATTTCCGCGTTACGCATCTGGGAGGGCAACTGTATTCTTGACGAACGCCCTTGTTTAGTTTGTTTTCATCGTTAGCGGGTTGATTTGGAAAGAGAGCTTGGCTCTCTGTTTCGAGGGTGCGAGGACGCGAAAGCAGGCATGGCCACACTCAGGGTTACATATTTTGGTAGCTGGACATAGAAAGAGCATAGAAATAAGTAAACCACCTGAACAGAAGGCCAGAGTGCGATGATGGCGATTCCTCGAAAATCACCACCCAATTACATTCCGTGCCCAGCTTCACATTGGGACCAATGATAAGGGGCTGTCTAAATACTCGTGCAAGAAGTGCCTGCTGTCATTTTGTATTCTGATGGTCTCAGAGACTTGATATTCGCTTAGCGGCATCACGTAGCAGGTTATTCACTTTCCCCTTTACGATACTTTTATAACCCCCTCCTTAACATAATACCTAACAGATAAGTATACGTGTGACTGCCTTTCAGGCTCTCTCCGACATAGCCCGTCATGCCAAGCTTCGATCCCTCTCCCCGAGCTGCCAAACGGCAGAAGACTACTTCAGACGACTCAAGTTTACTCTTTACCTCTCGAGTCTTACGGACAGTGAAGCAAGCTGTCTCCGGAAAAGCTTCGGGTCCCAAGATCAACGATGTCTTCAACGAGACAAAGTTGATGGAGAGCGGTGAGGATACCCCAGGGACAGCTGTCAAGAATACCCGTGGACAGAAGTCGAATGGCAAAGACGCACTACAACAAAAATCTGGTGGGAAGAAAGCAGTATCGGCCCCAGTGATAGGTCATATGCTACTTGAGCATGCGAAGGATGAAATAGATGAGCTGGATGGGGAGGTGGAGGGCACCCCGAGTAGGGGGGGCCGACGAAAGGTCAATGAGAGAAGCCAGGAGCAATCGAAGACCACGGAGCTTTCAGAGACATCTACGAAGAAGAAGAGAATGAAGTATAAAGGCTGGGTAGAGATCGAAGAACCGGATGAGCTGCAGGGAGAAACTGGGCCCGGTGATGCTAGGGACTCGGACAATGCTTTGGGAGCCGACCATCTCGATTCCGGGAAACGCCTGTCTGAAGCTGTCCGGAAGGCCACCAGGGCTATAAAGCGAGCCAAAGAGCTGGAGATAGACATGCGTGACCAACCAGGCACCGGGACTCCAAGTGGCAGGTTACATCGGAAGTTAGGGCGGCTCTCTGATGGGGACGACAACGCTGCGAAAGCAGCGTCTGTTACTACAACGAGCTTGCGCCGGAACCAGGGTCAGCGAAAGCAGCCCCTGAAAACGGCTACCGTCTTGGAGGATAATAAGGGTGAGGTGGAAGACCCAGGCTTTGGGAAGATGCCTACGAGGAAGGCGTCTGTTGATGACCTCGCTCAAGGGCATCGAACGGATGAGCTTGATCATACGCAACCACTAGATACCCCCTCTAGAAAGTCAAGAAAGAAGCGCAAGGATCCGGCGCCCGCGATGGCAAATGGAGAGTCGTCACTCTCAAGAATATCGCCAGTGTCGGCGTTAGATGGCTCGACTAAGGACGATGGGACCAAAGTCCTGAGTGACGATGCGAAAGCACTCCAGAAATTGCTACAAGATGAACCTGAACTGCTCACCATGCTCCAAACCCGGATACTTGAGAGCCTGACAGGCAAGCGACGTCTGCCGTTAGTGAACTTGGAAAACGAATACCGGAAGGTCCATCAATTGGTCGAGCAGACAGTCCTAGCCGGCGAAGGGAACTCAATGCTTATTACCGGATCTCGGGGAAGTGGCAAGACGACTTTAGTCGAGACTGCCATCTCAGAGGTCGCTTCTGATCATCGTGACGAATTCCACGTGGTACGACTAAACGGTTTCATTCATACAGACGATAAGCTCGCTCTTCGCGAAATCTGGCGCCAGCTTGGCCGAGAAATGGAGGTGGAAGACGATGTCTTGGGTGGTAGAAGTAATTACGCAGATACACTGGCTTCGTTACTGGCATTACTTTCTCATCCTGCCCAACAAATGGAAGATGATGATGCTGCTACTGCCAGATCTGTCGTCTTCATCCTTGATGAGTTTGATCTCTTCGCCTCTCACCCACGCCAAACCCTTCTTTACAACCTTTTTGATGTCGCCCAATCACGCAACGCTCCAATTGCCGTTCTGGGCTTGACAACAAAAGTCAACGTCGTTGATAGTCTTGAGAAACGAGTAAAAAGTCGTTTCGGACAACGCTACGTCCACCTCTTACTCCCACGAAGCTTTACCGCCTTTCAAGAGATCTGTATCTCAGCCTTGTACTACCAGTCTTCCGCCCAGCATCGACTCCTGGGCAGCAACGCGGCTCTCCAAAATCTCTCCATGGCCTGGAATGCCTACCTCGTGCACCTCTTTGCTACCCCCCAGGTCGATCAATTTCTGCAGACACTCTATACGTCCAGCAAGTCTGTCGCTGCCTTTCTCTCTGCCTCTCTCCTTCCAATCGCCACCATGTCAGCCGTCAACATACCTACAGCTTCATCCTTCATCTTTCATTCTCTCCAACCTCCTGACAGCAAACTCGTCCTCTTTTCCTCCCTCTCTACGCTTGAGCTCTCTCTTCTCATTGCCGCAGCCCGTCTAGACATCATCCTCGACACCGATGTGTGCACTTTCAGCATGGTGTATGAAGAATATGTCGCTCTAGCCAGCAAATCAAAACTGCAATCTAGCGCTGCAGGGCAGATGGCTGTGGGTGGAGGAGCGAGAGTGTGGAGCAAGGATGTTTCCAAAGGAGCATGGGAGCATTTGTCGAGTTTGGAGCTTGTGCTGCCTGCTGTGGGTGCAGGAAGGGGAGGAGGAAGGGGGGAGATGTGGAGGGTTGATGTTGGGTTGGAGGAAATCGGTGTGGGGTTGGAGGGAGTCGATGTGCCTGGGAAGGCAGGGCTAGGCAAGTGGTGTAAAGAGATTTGAATTGTATAGTACTTACCTGCGAGCATCGAACGTCGACTCGTAACTATGCAGTGGTTGAGGCGCCTAAGGCGCCAACCCTTTGGTCCATGGAGACAATAGCTCTCACCACATCATTTGGAAAGGCCGCCTAGCCTGTGAAGGGCAGGAACGCAGAAGACAAGTACTCCCATCCTTCCTGAGACAACTTTACGGGCAGTCCGAAGATTTTTCCAAGGAGAGCGCCGCAATCCTGGGGCTGTCTTCTCATTCCAGGCCACCAAGCCCGGTTCCACCTCTGCGCCATCCATACGAAGCCTTCACCAATCTCACGGAGAGCTTCGAACGGAAAACCCTGCGTGAGCGCATTTCGCCACTCCTCGCGGCCTCGGTCCCGACTCCGCGGACAGAAAAGGGCACTCATGTCCAACCAACCAACCACCCTCTGTCATGCTTCTGAATACATCCAAGAGCAGCGGCCGTACAGTGATGCACCCCCCGACCTCTACACTTCTACAGTGCAGCGGAGAATCCAGATCAACCGTTTCCCGCAGCGTTCACCGGGTCTCTCGCGGACTCTGGACTTCAAGATCGTTTGCTGCAATGCGAGCTGATCACATCGTACGCGCTGACTCAATCCGTGGTGCGTGACAGGGGCAGGCGCTACGGGCGGAGGAATCGGTGAACCACGAGCTCTACAAGGCGCCCGAACGATGTGACTGCTATACGGGTCGCTTTGATTGAGTGGTTCGTTGGGTGCTACTGTCGAGATATTGGCTGCTGGGATCAGTGAATGGGGCTTAGGATGGGCTCGTGGAGCATTGTGGGGAAGGAAGGGTCGTGTATGCTCGAAAGTATGGAAGATGACGGAGTGAGTGTGTTTTGCTTGAATCATCGGATCATCCGCCGTTCTTGACGGTGGTGCAGCGACGGTGAGCTTTTTCGTCTACGGCTCCATGCTCAATGATGCCTTTACCAACTTTGACACGCGAAGTCGCTGCATCCCTGTCACAGAAAATATACTCATTATAGCATCCCGTAGCTCTGTGTCGCTGACTCTAATCGGACACGAATTTGAGTCCCTCGATCTCATTTGTCTTCTTCGGTCGTGATTTGCGATTCGGCGTGCGGGCGATCCCTCCCACGCGCTGAGCGGCGTCTTCTCTCCATCATGCTACGGGTCGCTGCTGTAACCACCCCCGAAGCCGGTGAAAAGTCTGATGGATCTCGCACTCGGCCGTGAATCATACGATATGGACTGATGAGCATGAGACACCTTGTTGCTTCTCCAGTAGGGGTCAGAGAGAAGTGGCAACGCGCAAAACGGCTGAATATCATCCATCACTCATGAAAGAAGAAAAAAGTGTCGGTCATTGCTCGGGCCTTTCGTTGAGTAGGAAGTAGCACTGCACAATATAAACTCAAATGGATATCACTAAATTCAACGTCAAGTCATAAACTCGCCTTTCCCCTCGGCTCGAAAGGTAGTAGGACCGTGAGTAGTCCAGCAGCGATAAACAGCGCCCCCGAAACATAGACAGGCGCACTGGTTTCAAGGTTGGCATAGATCGCGATGATCGGAGCCATGATTCCGAACACTCTGTTCGCAGTCGCCGTCGAAGCATTCCCAGTCCCTCGGTCTTTGGTTGCGAAGATTTCCGGGGTATACGCATAAAGTACGGCATACATGATGTTACTCATGAAGTTGTAGGCACAGTTCCAGCCCAACAAGGCGTTGGAGGTTACAGCAGTGGTGGAGCAGTACAGGAATACGCCTGTCAACGCTGTCGACATGGCCAAGGCACCTTTTCGACCGAATCGAGGAATTTCGACCAGCGCACCGCCGATCAGAGCCCCTGGGATACCAAGAACGGCGATGATAGTGGAGTTGCGGTAGGTGATGTACGTGGAACCATCGCCGAATTTTGCTCCACGCGTTGCCTGAATATCTACACAGTTTCGGGGTCAGCGTTTCTATTCCTTGACGAAATGTGATTTGCAAGACTTGTCTGAGAAGGATTTCAGGCAGGAGACTTGATTTGCGGCTCCCACAACCTGCCTTGAGATTCAAGTCAAGCTACTGAAAGGGAAGGATTCGCTCCGAAAGGGTACTTACAGGGAAGGAAAGCGTTGTAGAGCGGGAACCCAAGACCAATGAAAGCCCAAATAAGTATGATCAATGATGTCGACCATGCTAATTTTGGGCTTGCGAACAGCGCGCGTAGGTGTGTGAAATTGACCTTTTCAAGCTTACGCTTCAAGGCAGCGCTTGCGTCTACTCCTTGTTGGCCTGTCTGATTGAACACCTCCAGATCCGCCAACGTCAGGTTCGTCGTCTTGCCGTTAATCCTTGCCACCTCGTGCACAACACGGACGGCTTCCTCATCCTTCCCGCGGCCCATCAGGTACTTTGGCGATTCGTAAAGCGTAAAGAGAAAGAACCGACAGCAGAACATGATCATGGCGAGAAGCCCCATTGCAATCATAAACCATCTCCATCCGAAATTCTCAGATCTCGTGCACGTTGTCGCCTTCTCTTGACAGGTATGATATCCAAGCAAAGGCCATGCGATAAGATTCGCCAAGAGCTGGGCAAAAGCCCAGAAGACCGAGAGAACTGTAAGAAGATACTGATGGGACCCTGGTAGAAATTCGAGAAAGATGGCAGAGTCAACCGGCAGGTTACCGCCGACGCCGACACTCCATAGAGCCGCAAAGCAGCCAATTGCAGCAAAATTGGGCGATCCGGCTGCGATGAGGCCGAAGACAGAGGTAATGCCGATTGTAAGGTTGAATGCCCATCGGCGGCCGAAGAGGTCGCCTGCAGACGTCAGTCTTATCTTGGTCACGCTGTGGTACTCCACCACATACATCCGAAGCCCCAAAATATAGCACCCACCAGCAGCCCAATATTCTGTGACAACGAGAGGAGCGGCGGTTCCGAGGGCGAGAACTCGCTTTTTATCGCAGGGAGGATCAGGGATGTGACAATGGGCCAGAGATTATCACTCGCCCAACCGAACCCTGGTCAGCGGATCAGCATCGTGTCCGGTCAAAGGCTGGAAGTGAGTCGAGAGTCAAGACGGCTCTTTGTTCCCGAAACCTGTACAAACCTCCGACGACGACGAACAGCTGCCACTGATACCGTCCCATACCAATGTCCTGGATCGCGCTGTTCAATACCTGCGCCTTGCCCTCGTACACCGGGTCGATAGAGCCTTTGAGCAGCGTGGGCACGAGCTCTTCTTCATTTGGAAGACCATTGTTGAAACTCGGCGTCGAATGCACACTCGCCGCGCCTTTGGACTTGGAGTCGGGCTCCACCTTATCCATGTCTCTTTGTGAAGAAGAAGAGACTGATATTCAAAGGGTTGATCCTGACATACATCCGCCAGACAAACATGAGATGGCTTGATTGTGGAAGAGATAAAAGAGACTCCCGCTCGATGAGTTGAGATATTGACCTGCATCCGTTTGACAGCCATAACCAATTATGTAAAAGCACGAGATCAAGCCACGGGCTGGTGTGACGATTGCACCATTCAGCGCCTATAGTCGTTATCTTCTCCGACCATGTGTAAAGTAGTATGTAGCACTACTGCATGATGCGCCGTTTTGGCAGTTGGATATTCGGAAAAGCTCTGCATAATTGGACAATCGAGGGGAGGATTTTAAGCTGCATGCAATACGTAAGCAGTAACTTGGAGAGGATAAGTGTACTGGGTGACTGGGAAAGAAATAGACGAGGCTTTTTCGGGCTCAGGAAGAACAATGATCCGTCCTTATCGATAAGATGAACCGAGGCAAGACGAAATTCATCAACTCTTGGGTCAACAGTCTCTTAGACCATCAATCAATACCGGCGATGCTTTATAGCATAGCCACTAAAAGTCTTTGGTCAACGCTCCAGAGTGATACTACTCCTTGACCTTCTCCTCCCCAACCCCACCGTTTTGAAACACTAAAACACCTCACGATGGCAGAGTCAAAGCCCACCGCCCTCACCCTCGCCAAAGATTTCGTCGAGGCACTGCTCGCAGGCAGTCACGATCATGGCTTCGACTACGAGCTCTGCAAAGCTATGACTGTGGTCTCAGCATCACTGGACCCCAACCCTCGGGCCGCGACTCGCCTGACCGTCACTCTTGCTATGTGCAATCTTTCCGGCACTTTGCATGGAGGTGCGATCAGCACTTTATTCGACGTATGCACCACGGTGGCTTTGGCAACAGCGAGGAGGGAAGGGTTCTGGGAGATGGCTGGTGTGACGAGAACACTCAGCACTACATGCCTCCTACCAGTGTTCCCGGGGGAGGAAATCGAGATTGTAGGAGAGGTCGTGCAGATTGGCAAGAAGCTTGGTAAGCGAGAGCGAAAAGCTGAGGCCTCTTTAGATGGATTTTTGCTAATCAATCCTTGGCAACAGCCCACATTCTCGCCAAGATGACGCTGGTCAGGAACGGCAAACTGTTAGCGACGGGGGTACACGACAAGGCTAATATTGACCCTCCAGCGGCGATTTTCGGTCTGACTTCGAAATTGTGAGAGAAGAGATATCACGTGTACAAACATGTAACACGGGTTGAGGGCTAGTGTATGCGCGAATACAAAATGCCCAATGCTCAAAATCAAACCCGTGAACAAAGGGAGAAGGCAGATGTTGCAGTTGCCATTGGGTGTCAGGCTACCCACCGCGGATATCTGTTCTTTGCGCTACGACGTTTCAGACACTGCTCTCCAGGAGCGCGAGTGAGGTTAGGAAAGGATATTTCATGATGGGCTGGCATGGATCTACCGCTTTAAACGTCATAACTTGCAGCAAATTGAAATATCAATCAGGACTTGGAGATATATGTGCGAGCTTGCTGCTTGGTAATAGACGAGGATACGTGTCTTTCCGGTGAGGCTGGCTCCAACTCGAAAATGATGAGATGTGGGATGAGAGAGTGCTGTTATATAGACAAAACGCCAACCGTGAAAGGGAAGAGGATCAACGATCCAGCCGCAGCGAAGCCCCAGGCCAGGCCATCAATGCCTACAACTCCCCCAAACTGTGCAATCACGTGCAAAGATATTGGCCATGAATGGATTTTGCGTCACTGCAGCCGAGTCACGCGACACCGATTCAAGTGACACGAGTCTCGTTTTGACTGGTGAAGCAACGGCTCACCAACGGACTGAATAGATGCCGACGCGAGTCGTCTGCCGTGTTGGAGCAGATCAGACTGTGAGACAATATGAGAAAAGAATTTCTCTAGATTTGGGTTCAAGATTTGGCTCTCCTCTCTGCGTTTCGAAAGGATGTGACGGGTGGACGACTTCCCGTGAGCCCTCCCTGGACCAATTATAAGCGACCAATTGGGCCCGCCCCCCAAGCAACATATCCGCGAAGCAGCGTTGCGCTCGAAACCAGAAGCTCGATGTGAAGCAGTGAAAGGTTCCTCTCTAGGCAAGGTGGAGACGTGGTACGGTCGGGTGTCGTTTTGAACCCACACAAATTGTCCGAAGATAACTGAGAAAGGAAATGTGGATGTATGTGGCACGTGTTGCAGGCCCGGAGGAGTGTTTTGCCTCGTGAGCTTCATTGCATGCGCTCAAGAATAGCCAGTCTCTAAGAAACGCCAGGATGCTGTCAGAGTACCATGCCGCTTCGATATTCAATTTGGGTGCCGTAAATCCTGGGAGGTTGAGAAGCTGTATGATGAGTTCCTCGTAATACATCTAAGACCCCGATACCATCAAACGCAGGCCACGTAAGACTGCTCGCCGTTTCATCCCTCTTGCTGTGGTCGTTCCCTCTCCTTCTCCTGGAGTTTCCTCCTAGCAGTGAGTATCATCTCTTCCCTCCGTCTCTTCAGTAGGGCCTGCCTCTCGTTCTTGTTGTTACTCCAAGATTGCGGCTGTGGGCTTCCACTTGGTCCACTGCCTTCCGAAGGTGATGAAGACTGCGACGATACTCTCGATCCGAGATTATACCGCGTTATGAGATCGATGTGTTCTGACTTCGTTTGTGCTGGCGTCGTATTGGCAGTACTAGGTGTTGCGCCAGCTGGTATGACGGGCTGAAAAGATGGTGGTGGCTAGAAATCAACCGTAGAGTCAGCACGTGCTAGGCCCTAGAAAGCCCATCGCTTTTTCAAACACGGGGTCGCTCGAACACACCGGATCAAGCCTTCCTCTCCCTAGTATTCTCTCTGTGGTTGCATTCACACTCCCTCCATTCCGCTGTAAATCCCATATAATCTCCCTCCGCCCTATCTGGGGGAACATCGTAGCTATCTGTTCAACATCCGCAGGGTTGACGGCTCGTGGGTTCGCGCGCGGCGATGAGGTAGACGGCTTTGCGAAGAAGAAGTAGCGAATTGTGAGAGCGGCGAAGGCGGCGAGGAGGAGTAGGGAGGGAACGGAGAGCGTCTGTTGTTGATCTGGCATTTGGGGGGGTGGGATGAAAAGTCCGGAAACGGTGGTACGACAGACGCGACGATAGATAGAAGCTTCACTGAGAGTTGCTTGCTTCGATTGATATCCCGGTGTTATTCTCTAAGCTAGAGTTGGTATAAAGTGTAGTTGGTAACCGGGAATGATCTATTGCAGGACTTCATGAGGTAGGTACTTACGTAGGATCAAAGGTTGTACTCTAGAGTGACGCCACTTGCGGGCCTCTCTTTATGATCCATCCGGACAATATCAATTAGGACATGTCACCTCGCAAGCAGTATGCACAGACAACCACATGCACAGTCGGAGCTGACCGGCTCGAGACCATTTCATGTATCAAGACTTCTGTCACCATGCCTTTGTGTCTACAAATTGTTGGCAACTGCTGCAGCATCTGCGTTGTTGTGTTGTAGCTACGCCGCTTGGTGGCAAATAGGGGTATATAAGTAGCCTTCTCATCACTCCCATAGCTACTCAATCAACCAATCCTTCATCTATTCCAACAGGTTATAATGCCCTCGCGCAACTACTGCGCAGGCTCTCTTGGGCCTGGAAGACTTTTTTCTGTTCAGCTTTCTTGCCTCAAGTCCGGAAACTTTGCAAAAGTTTTAGATCTCCAGGGGTGAGGTGGACTTTTTTATCATCCTCATTATGGTGATGAGTATAAGTGAGATGATTGTAATCGCTCATAGCGGTGGAAGTAGTGGGTTCTTCTTGGTATAAAAGAGTAGACTTGATGCAATTGGGTGTAGTTTTTATAAAGGAAAGATCAGCTACTTTCAACCCCTGTTTGCACGCTATAAAATCCGATAAGTCCGACGTAATATTAAAACGCCTATATTATAGTTCTAAGTCGCCTTTAATATATATACGTCTCGATTAAATCTAATATAACTTAACGTTATTTATATAAACGATCTTTATAATACTCTTAGATCTTTATAACTATTAAAATCGATATAGATATATTAAATAAGATAATTAAGATATCTAATTATATAGATAAAAGAAAGATATTAAATAATAGATAAATATCTCTATTAAGATACGCTAAGCTCGAATAAATAAGAGAGCTATATAATATATTAAGAATATAAAATATACTCGTAATAATAATAATTATTTTTATTATACTATAGATTACGAGTAAAGATCTATAAATTAAATTTATAATTTTTTTTTTTTTAATTAGAGCTATCGAGTAAATTTTAATAAGCGATCTTTAATAAGTAATATCTAAATTCGTTGCTTTTAAATATCTATAAGACTAAATTTAAAAATTCTTTTTTTTCTAAAAGCCTATAATTCGTTCTAAAATTTAAAGAAAAAATTATAAAATCTTAATAGAAAATAAAAAAGTTATTCTAAAATTAAATAATATATATCTAATTAGAACTATCCGACTGTCGAGCGAACTTTAATAAGCGATATTTGAATTTCTTATACTTTGATAATTATAAGACTAAATTTAGAAATTCTATTTTTATCTAAAAGCCTATATTTTATTCTATAGTTTAAAAAAATCTTATTATTTTAATAGAAAATAAAAAAGTTATTTTATATATTAATAACATATATCTAATTTTTAATAAGAAGAATAAGATTTTAATAATTACGAACGCTAATTTATTTATTCGCGATATCTAATTAAAAAGCGTAGATCTATCGAATTAATAATTAACTATATATATAAATTTAAGATTTTTAAGCTTAGCTCTATCTTATTCTATTATATATATTAATATTATTTAAACTTTATTTTAATCTCTATAATCTTAGAGTTTAATTAGATTTACTAAGCTATTTATCACGGGATTTTCCGAAACTAGAAATTTTCTTTTTTATTTATTTTTTTTTTTATTATCTCGAATATAATAATATAGATTATTTAATTTAAAAAAAATTTGAACTCGATATTATTTATATTCTTAAGAATTTTTAAATTTAATTTAAACTTAATTAGATTAATATTAAACTTAATTATTTTACGAGTAAAGTTATTTATTAAACTCGATTTCTTTAAACTTTCTAGACTCTATATTAGAGATTTCTTTATTTTAAAAATATTAATTTTATATTAATAATAGTTTTTTTTTAGAAAAAATCGAGCTAGATATAAGAGTAAAAGTACTTAAAGCGAATTAATAGACTCGCTTATATCGCTTATTAGACTATAAGCTATATAGCTAAAACGAGTATTTAATATACTTAATAAAGTCTTAAATACTTACGAGTTTTCTTTTCTCTTCTTTTTTCTTTAGTTATTAGTTTATCTAATAATTAATTTATTTATTCTATTAATTATATATCTAAATCTCGTAATTATATAGCTACTACGTAGTTCTATTAAAAAAAATCTTATTATTTTATAATTCTAATAACTCTATTTATATAAAGCTATTTAATTTAATTATAGTAAGTAACTCGCGAGTTAATTCTATTAACTTATAAAGTAAAAACGTCTTATTATAATTTATTAACGACGTTTTTAATTTAATAAATAACTCTTATTAGAATATATCTATTATATAATTAAGCGATTATAATATTAATTCTAATATTAATAGAAATTCTAATAATATTATCGATGAAAATAATAATCGTTAAAGCGTTATATCTAATAACCCTTTATTTATAAATAAAGACTCTTATTTTATAAACTTAACTTAAGTTTAACGCTATTAACTTTTAGAGCTTAATATTAAAAAGTAATTAATTATTAAAAAAATTTAAGTTAATTAAAATATAGAATATATAAGAATATCGTTATAAGTATAGTAATAATTATTATCGTAATTCGAGTTATAAAAAGATAAATATTATTAAGATACTTAATACGTAATATCTTAATAACTATAACTTAATAATTATATTTCTTTAAGATTATAACGATTTTATCGCCTTAACGCTTTATATTAATTTTTATATAAATAAAGAAAAGACTCGCTAATCTTCTATTCTCTTAATAAATACTAAGAAATAGATTTAAAGAAATATTAAAAATACGATATTATATAATATTAAGAAATTTATCTAGAAGAAATATAAGAAATAATACTTAAATTAAGTTTATAATTTAGTCGTTAAGTTTTATAACATAAATCGCTAATTAATTAAAATAATAATAAGAGATATATAATTAATAGCTAGCTTTAATAACTATCTTACTATACTTTAATTATAGCGAGATCGCTATATAATTAATTTAAAATATATAAAATCTTTATAAGATAGAGTAATAGAGAAAATTTCTCTAAAAGCTATAAAGAAGATTATTTAATTTATTATTTATACTATACTATTATAATAGTATTAAAGTATAAAATAAAGACTATAAAAAATAAAAGAGCTCTCTACTTTAGATAAGACTCGCTTTAGCGATAAGATAAGTAATTAGAGAAGTAGTAATTAACGAGTAAAGGCCTATAAATTAAATTCATAATTATTTTTTTAATTAAGGCTATCGAGTAAGTAGATAAGCGATCTTTAATAAGCGATCTTTGATGAGCGAACTTTAGTGAGCGATATTTGAATTCCTTGCGCTTTAATAATTATAAGACTAAATTTTATAATTCTAAGAAATTCGGAAAGTATAAATAGCGCTTTAAAAATTAAAAAAAAAATATCAAAATTTTAATAGAAAACAAAAAAGTTATTCTATATATTAATAATATATATCTATTTTTTTAATAAGAGAGACGTAGGAGAGCGAGATTTTAATAGTTATAAACGCTAATTTATTTATCCGCGATAACTTAGTCGATTTAATTAAAGAGCGTAGCGAACTTAAATTAATAATTAGCTATATATATAAATTTAAGATTTTTAAGCTTAACTCTATCTTATTCTTTTATATATATTAATAATATATAAAGTTTAAGAGATAGTATATAAAGAATTAATAAGATTAAAAGAAGAGTTTATTCTCGTTAACGCTATAAGATTAAAAATTATACGAATTAAATTTAGAAGATAACGACTCTTATATTAAGTCTAAGACGCTTTTTATTAAAATATAATATTATAATTACGAGTAATTAGAATATTATAAAAATTCTCTTAAATATCTAAATTATATTATAAATAATAAAGTATATAATTATAGATTAAGTAAGAAAAAAGATAAAGTTTAATACTTATTATTATAGTATTAAATACGCTATTAATTAAGCGATAACCTCGCTCTTTATTATTAAGAGATAAAATTATTATATTAAATAAAAAGTATAAGATAATAGCTCTAGTAGATATCGATAACGAGAAATTTTTTATATTATAATCTTTTATTAAAGAAATATAGATTTCTAAATTTAAATATATATTAATAATAATATATACTATTAATAGTTATTAAATACTCTTATATAGAAAGTATAATCTAGTCTTTAGTCTTATAGATAGTTAAGAAAGAAAGTAAGAGTAAATCTTAAAGATATATACTATAAATATATAAGAATATAATCTTATTTTTAATTTTTCTTAGATTTATAATATTAATTCGAATATTTATTAGCGTAAGTAGTTTTAAATCTATCGCGATTTTTTTATAAGCGATAAGATATAAGTAGATATCGTAATAGTAAATATAAAATAGTTTATATTATTAGTTAATATAGTAATTACGTATAGTCTAAGATAAGTATTTATTATCTTTTTATATTAGATTCTATTTAAAAGTAATAGTAATAATTAGAATAAAGTTATATAATTAGTATATATAATAGAATAAGATAGAGCTAAGCTTAAAAATCTTAAATTTATATATATAGTTAATTATAAATTTAAGTTCGTTACGCTCTTTAATTAGATCGACTAAGTTAGCTCGATAGCTCTTTCGCGCTTTCTTATTAAAAATTTATATATAGAAGTTTTATACTTTAAAGTACTCAGCTTACGATATATATAGTTAATTTATAATTTCTTAAATTATAAAGCTCGCTTTACGCTTTCTAACGCTATAAAAATTATAAAGTTTAATCTACTATTAATAGATT